GAGTTTGCTTATGTATATTTCTGGACCGGGGCCAAATTAATGCTGAATCAGAGCGCGTACAGCAACGAGAATGCTCTGACAAGGGGGGGTCCACCTGTGGCATCATCGGCCGGTGTCAACAAAAATGTTTCAAAATTTTTCGACTCGCAACCATTCAGCAATGACGAAGGTTGGAACAAGCTAGAGGACCCTTGTGCCGGCACCACGAGGCAGCAAAAGTCCTGGCGCCGCCCGGCAGCGCCTCTTTCTGAGGCAAAAGCGCCATTTGGCTGGAAGACGTTGATGCCGAAACGCTTCGTGTGAGGCTGTTTAAAGTTTAGGGTTTTGTTGACCATTCGAGACGGGCTCGGCGTCGACGTCACACAGGTCGAATATTTCCAGAGATTGGTGCACGGTGAGCACCGTGGTGGATACTGAGCTCCCCAACGACTGTTTTGAGTCCCCTGACCGCTATGGAAATTTGTTGTATGACGTGTGTCTCGTCTTTGCTCGGAGCGAGGTCGTGGCAGGATGTCGGCGCAACAGATGGTCCAGTAAATAATACCTCATGGCCGAGGATTGGATGGGATCTTTCTTTTCATCTTTTGCATATTGCACATTCTGTTCAGTTCCCTATTCCAACTACCACACATTAATCCTACCATCATCATGTCTGCCGGACTCACTCGCACTCTCAACAATGGCGTCAAGATCCCTGGTAAGTCCTGCTCAATCTCACCTAAAATCAAGCTTGAGTCGCTGACCACGAGCTACNNAGCCGTTGGCTTCGGCACCTTTGCCAACGAGGGCTCCAAGGGCGAGTCTTACAAGGCCGCTCTGCACGCACTAAAGACTGGTTACAGACACCTCGACTGTGCCTGGTTCTACCAGAACGAGGACGAGGTTGGTGCCGCTGTCCGCGATTTCCTCAAGGAGGACTCGAGCGTCAAGCGCGAGGACATCTTCGTTTGCACAAAGGTCTGGAACCACCTCCACGAGCCCGAGGAGGTCAAGTGGTCTTTCCAGAACTCCCTCGACAACCTCGGTCTGGACTACATTGACTTGTTCCTTGTCCACTGGCCCATTGCTGCCGAGAAGGATGACAAGAACATGCCCAAGCTGAACGAGAAGGGCCAGTACATTATCAAGGAGGAATTGACAAAGAACCCCGAGCCTACCTGGAGAGCCATGGAGGAGATCTACTCTTCTGGCAAGGCCAAGGCCATTGGTGTTTCCAACTGGACCGTCGACGGCCTCAAGCAGCTCCTGTCTATCGCCAAGGTCAAGCCCACCGTCAACCAGATCGAGATTCACCCCTTCTTGCCCAACACCGAGTTGGTCGACTACTGCTTCTCTCAGGACATCATGCCCGCCGCCTACTCGCCTCTTGGTTCGCAAAACCAGGTTCCTTCCACTGGTGAGAAGGTGAACACCAACCCTGTCCTCAACGAGATCGCCGAGAAGGGCGGTAACTCTCTTGCTCAGGTCCTCATCGCATGGGGTTTGAGAAGAGGGTACGTTGTGCTCCCCAAGAGCTCTACTCCCTCAAGAATCGACAGCAACTTCAAGAGCATCGAGCTCTCCGACGCCGACTTCGAGGCTGTCAACAAGGTTGCTGAGGGTCGTCACACTCGCTTCGTAAACATGAAGGACACCTTCGGTTACGATGTCTGGTAAGTCGCATCGATCTATGCATGGACAATCCCTGACTAACGCATGCTGCAGGCCTCAAGAGTCGTAAACGAATCGCATTGACAGAATGACGACCGATCGATCATGTCCGATTCGAATTTTCACGTCCTGGTGACGAAGGCGGAGTTACATTGGCGCATACAACAAAAGCTTGTTTGGCCTGTGGCAATCGGTAGCTGGTCCTACCAAAGACTGGCGAGGCATAGAGACGTTACCACGAAAGAGTTACTTATTGTTGATACCAATATTATTGCACGTTTGCTTTTCCTAGGACTCGTACCGAAAACTGAGGATCTTGCTAGGATGGTGTCCTGTTTTTGTTTTGGAGCTCTCTCCGCGTGGAGAGTGCAAGTATCACAGCCACCTCTGACCCTGTCGAGCTGCCAATCGAAGAAGGGTGGTCTGTCACGATAGGTATCCGTTGGCTCGCATTGATCAATATCGATGTTAACAGACGCTACTCTCCGCTGTACGTGCGGTCATGCATTGTGAAATTGTCGAAACTGTGTTGCAAGTGACCGGAAATATCAGGTACCAGGTACGGAGTGTGGGAATGCTCGATTGCACGATCGACGCAACGCCAAGCACGGTCCCGTGGGATTCCGCACATGCTCATCTATTACAAAAGAGGCCGAGTTTAAAAGAGCGAAGAGTAAAAGCAGTCATCCAAGAGGTCGTTGCGATGCTAGAGATGTATTCGTTTAATTCAGGTATTCAAATCAATCGCGAATGCTGTTCGCAGATTTCGAATATGACATGAGTTCGCTTGAGAGATTGAACAACAGCCAGATATATGCCAAGCCAAAGACTGAATGGATTTCGATATATCGCTCTGAAAAGACGAAATTGCGAAATGTAATTGTGTACAAGAAGCGGAAGTAGACGTGCATTCATGTATGTTATTGTGATCGATCAGGTCATAACGTACTTGGGACCTTCACCACCCTGTTGCATTGGATTAGCGTATGAACTCTGGGAAGATTGAGAATTGATCCTTACCTGAGGAGTTCTCCAGGTGATATCCTGGTCCGGAACCTTGATATCACAGGTCTTGCAATGTACGCAGCNTAGCAGCACTAGGTTAGCAGAATCTCAGATAGAGCTCTTCGAGTGGTCTTACTTCTGGGAGTTGATCTGGAATCTTACACCAAGCGGTTTGCTGTCGTCCTCGATATATTCGTACACACCAGCAGGACAGAATCTATTCTCGACACCTTGGTACTTGGGATATTCAAGCTCAGCGTGCTTGTCCCAGTCCTCTACATGCAGGTGACAAGGTTGGTCCTCCTCGTGGTTTGTGCCAGTCCTGCTGACACTGGTCAAGATGTCGAAACTGATCTTGCCATCTGGCTTGGGGTATTCAATCTTCTGGCAGTCCGCAGCCAGCTTAGTAGCTCCATGATCCGTACCAGCATGTTTGATCGTCCATGGCACTCTGCCCTTGAAGAGATATGCTTCGAGTCCAGAATACATGATACCACCATAGAGCTTCAAAGGAGAGTGGAATGAAGGTCGCATGTTGCGAACCTCCTTCAACTCTTTCCAGATAGATGAGGAACGCAGCTTATCTTCGTAATCGTACAAGAACACAGGGCTCGAATCATCTGATTCACGCAGGGCAGAGAAAGCAGCCTCCGCAGCGAGCATACCGGAACGCATAGCGGTGTGAGTACCCTTAATTTTGGGTACGTTGAGGAAGCCAGCAGTGTCACCAATCAGAGCACCACCAGGGAATGCGCACTTCGGAATGGACTGGAATCCACCTTCGTTAAGCGTACGAGCACCATAGGAGATGCACTTACCGCCTTCCAAGTATTTGCTGTACATGGGGTGGTGTTTCATCTTCTGGAATTCGCCATAAGGGGCCAACCAGGGATTAGGATAGTCGAGGCCAACGACCAGACCGATACTGACGAGATTCTCGCCGAAGTGGTACATCCAGCCACCACCGTATGTGTCAGCAGGTAGAGGGTATCCCATGGAATGGACAACCAACCCCTTCTCGAACTTCTCAGGATCGATTTCCCAGACTTCCTTGATACCAAGACCATAAGTTTGAGGCTGGCTGTCCCGCCTTAGATCAAACTTTTTTGTGACTTGTTTGGTCAAACTACCGTGACACCCCTCGCCGAGCAGGGTAACGCGAGCATGGAACTCCATGCCACGCTCGAAAGAATCCTTGGGCTTGCCATTGCGATCAACACCAAGATCGTTTGTGGCGACACCCTTTACTGAACCATCAGCATTGTATAGTACCTCAGAGGCGGCAAATCCAGGGTAAATCTCGACGCCAATCTCTTCTGCTCTTTCTCCTAGCCATTTGGTGAACTGATTGAGAGAGATGATGTAGTTGCCATGGTTGTTCATCTGAGGTGGAGCAGGAATGGGTATTGAGTACGACTTTGTGAGGAAGCGCATGCGATCTGTGGTAGCAGCTGTGATATGCTCGTAGCGGTTGGGGTTGTCCGGAGAGTTCCAGTCGGGAAGCAGCTCGTCCAGGGCGGAGGGCTCGACAACATTGCCAGACACGATGTGATCACCCAGTTCACCAGCCTTTTCGAGTAACAAGACACGGAAGTCCTCGTTGCCAGCATCGTTGGCCAGTTGCTTTAGGCGGATGGCAGCACTGAGACCAGCAGGACCACCTCCAACGATGCAAACATCGACCTGGTCGCTCTCTCTTTCAATGTCGGCAGGGTTGAATGAGTCATCTGGCGTGGCGAGGCGTGTGCGTGATGTGAGGGAGAAGGGGCGGCGCTGTCCTGCGCGGAAGATTGCAGGGCGACGGGAGGTTGGTGTGTTGTTTCGTAGAGGAGCGAAGGAAGTGGCAGTGATGGGTCGCAGGGACAAGGGTCGGAACAGACGAGCATCGTGGACCAATGCTCGGCCCAGAGTGGTGGCGGAGGGGAGATTGCTGACGGACGGCATGGTTGGCGACACAGGGAAACAGGTGCCAGAGAGTGTGAGAGACAGATATTGAAGGCGAGCTGCTTGGTCGCGCCTTGTCCCAAGAGTGCTGAGGAGAGCCTCGGCTGAGTGGAATAAATGCTCTCGGTCTACACCTTCCCGTCGATGATGGGCATACAAAAAGCCGTCGCTGACCTCGGCGCATGTGATTGGCTGTCACGCCGCCACCCGAGCTCGTGCCAAGCACTCTGTGCCAAGCACTCTGAGTCTGTCAGTGAACCTCGTCGTAGCAGCCAGCAGCAGCGCCCGCCGTCCATCGCTCCGTTCACCCCATCATCTTCTCGACAAGTCTGCGCCATCACCCGGCCCTCTTGTCACGGATCTGGTCTCACCGTCCTTTTGATCTCATACACTTCTTCATCATGGGCGACGTGTCTTCGACCCGACTCTATCTGGGAAATCTCCCGCGCAATGGTACGCTTCTGCTCGTGTAGCTGGCCTGAGCATTGAGGATCTGGATACCGCCTGGACTCCTCCTTCAACCTCTGCGCTTGCCCGTCCTGGATGTTGGCATCCCGCTAATCGGATTCGTGCTCTANGCCACCAAGGCCGACGTCGAGAACCACTTCGCCAGCCATGGAACTGGTGAGATCACCGAGATCAAGCTCATGAACGGCTTCGGCTTCGTCGAGTACAAGGACGCCATGGACGCTCGCGACGTCGTTCCCGGTGAGTCTCTCGTCTCTTGTACGCACCTGCTCACTCCCTTGTTGTCTCCGCTAACTCGCCCTCTGGGTAGCCTTCCGTACGTACAACCTGCCTCGGCTGCAGCCCCAGCCCAGCCCAGCCCAGTCCTGCCCGCCCGTCCTCTTACTGACCTTTCGCTAGATGGTTCCGACTTCATGGGCGAGCGTCTCGTCGTGCAGTTTGCTCGTGGCTCAACTCGTCCTCGTGAGTTCGGCCACGCTGAGCAGCGCGCTCCTCCCCGCCCGCGCCGTACCGTCCACCGCATGTCCATCTCTGGCCTTCCTTTCGAAACCAGCTGGCAGGTTAGCAATGTCCCTCCGATGCACACTTTCTTTCACTCGGCCGTTTCTTCTTTCCCTTGTCTTTTGTCTTGCGTCGGCCGTGTCGCGTCCTGATTTCACTGGTGTTGGATCATCTTTCTTCTTGCTTTGGACGTTCTCACTCAGCCTACCTTGGACCTGGACTCACATTGGCCCTTTAGNGACCTCAAGGACTTTGCCCGTCAGCCCGGCCTCGACGTTGTCTACTCTGAAGTTGGACGTGAACGTGATGGCAGCGGCAACGGCAAAGGGTGAGTACCCATACCATGTTCAGCAAGGCTTGCACTAATCACATGTCCTAGTTTCGTGGAGTACGAGACCGCAGCCGACTTGGTTTCTGCTGTGGAGAAACTAGACGGACAGGAGTTCAAGGGAGCCACTGTCCGCTGTATCTCTGATGTAAGTGCTCTTGCTGTGATTGGTTGATGACTCTCTTACATTGCCATGCAGACCCAGTCCGAGATTCCTCGCATGCCACCCNNCCACCCCCTCGCGACAACCGCTACCGCTCGCGCTCGCCTCCCCCCTCGTCGTGGTGGCGGTGGATACGGCGCTCCCCCTATGGACGACTACTATGGAGATCGTAGAGGTCCCCCTCGTGGTGGTGCTGGTGGTTACAGCCCTCGTCGCGATGATGGCTACCGCCGTAGAAGCCCTCCACCTCGCTACTATGACGACCGTAGAGATCCCTATGCTCGTTCTCCTCCACCTCGCGCCCGTGGCCCTCCCGTCGATGATTATGCACCACCCAGAAGCCGTGCTTACCCTGCTGACGATGGCTACGGTGCACCTCCCCCAGCTCGTCGCTATGAGGCCGACCCGTATGCCAACGGTCATGGCAGAGAGCCTAGAGAACCTAGGGAGCCTAGAGAGCCCAGGGAGCCTTACGGCCGCCCTCCCAGCCCTCCCCCGAGACGTGAGCGTGGCTACGACGCAGGCTACGACCGTAGACCTTACTGGTGATTACCATCTTCTCCTTGCCTATTTGACGGAGACGAGTCTCTCGTACTTTTGTTTTTGAGAAGTCATTACTCACTCGTGCTCAAGATTCACACCGATTTGAACAACCAATCACCGCCACATATCGACAAGTCGAACTTCAAGTATCGGAAGAACAAGGGGCGGTGCGCAAAGTGGATCGGTTGGCAAACATTAAATGCAGTTTAGGTCTGAGCAGACAGTTGACTAAAGCTGCCTACAGCAGGCTGGTTTTGGCGTGCCTTTATTGCTGCCAGTATGTAACAGTACTCAGTTCCTTAGTCTGAATTCATTGTTCTTTCATGAGATGAACGGTCTCGCTGTTCTGTGATATTACGGAATGTGCCAGTCCCGAGCTTTGTTGCCATATCAGCATCCTCCTCAACTTACGAACATGTTCCAAGTCCTGCACTTGATCTAGAAATGGGACTACACAGTGGTAGTAGTCTCGGTTTCAATAGGAACCACGCGGACAAGCCTCTCAACAGGTTTTTCTCCTCCCTTTACTCTAATCTCGACCTTGTATTCTCCCAGATGTCTGATCCTGTCGGCTTCGGTAGCTGCTTGCGACGAAAAGTTCGCAAACTTGACATCTTCTGCGCTTAGGACGATTCGCGAGGCCTCTCGGTTCTCAGAAAGGAGGTGGGTGATTCTGCTGACAACGTCGGCATTTGAGACGGTACCGAAAATAGCTGTCGCGGAACCAGAGGAAGTCGTAGCAGGAGCGGGAGCAGCTTGTGCAGCAAGGAGGTCTGCAGCAGCACTGGAGAAGCCTCGTTCCTTTTTCACAGGCGCGGCTGGCGTGTCGGGGACAGGAGCAGCGGGTTCTTGAGGCCTGCGTCGGAAGTCCATGACTGGTGGGAGGAGCATGGAGAGAAGTTCGATCGAGCGCTTGGNGCTGTTGCGGGCATCTGTCAGTACAACGCTCGAGAGAATCGTAGATGTACACTCTCGACTTACCGCCAGTTTCTCAACTTCAACAACACGTGTGGCTGAGCGCTGAGACTGTTGCTCAGCGGCTCTCACGGTGGCCGGGTCAGGGACACCAAATTGAAAGTCTCGCTCGGCAGTGATGTTCTTCGCCTTCATCTCCTTCAATTGCGCGCTGGTCACATACTCGGCCGTTCTCGTCGGGAAGAACTCGTTGCGCATACGACCAATCGAAATCGGAATGTAGGTGCCCTTGCGACCAAAAGTCGGCACATCCTTGGTGAGGCGTACGGTGACTGTGGTGGGTGCGTGGGCCATCTTTTTCTTGCCGCGAACTTGCTGGCCGCTACGCCATTCTTGCAGGCCCAAGTTGCTGATGCGTCGTAGGCATGATGTGCATTGTGGTAGGAGTGTCGGTCGCATAGTCAAAGACATGGTCGAGGTGGTGTCGTGTTCGAACAATGTTTTCTGGTCTGTATCAAGTGCTCGTCTCGAAATGTTGTCGGCTTCCATCTCCGTTCGTGTCTTGGCAGGCCGACTGCTCTCTTGTCTAATGCCTTGACACGTTTCATTATAGGATATTACTTTTTCCAGTACTCTAATTTCTGGTAGAACTACTGCCACTTCTATATTTGCTAGTGATGAAGACTTTTGGTAGCAGAGTCTTCCACTCATCGACAAATGTGGTCACATGAGTCCTTGAGAGTTACGTCTTTGTATTCGCAATGTCCTGGGTTTTTGTACCTATACACAACATCATTATTGCACAGCACGTAAACTTGCCTCCTTCAATCACAGCTTCTCTGCCTGAGTGGCCTCCTGGGCTTCATCACTCCCCACGGGAACAAGTCTGCCAACAACCAGATACTTCTCGGAGAATCTCTCCTCCCAGCCTCTCATAGCCTCCATCTCTTCCTCGCCGAGGTCCGAAAGAGTGTCAAGAGGGCCATTCAAATCCTTGGTCAACATGTCTTCGTCGAAGCTGCCACAGGCGAGGCCTCTACTCGCGTCGCGTCCAGCGAAATTGGCATAAGGACCTCCTGGACCGTAAAAGTTGCGTCCAGGTGTCACGTCGAAGACTCTGCCACGGACAGCAAGGTAGACGGGCATGTTGTTCCGACCATTGTAGGGCTCGAGATCGGGTGGTGTGAAGGTCTTGAAAACCGTTGGTGCCGGAGGGGTCGGCAGAGTCGCTGCTGTCTTGGGTGTAAGGCGGTAGTAGAGCAGGACCATGAAGAGTGTGATGAGTATGAGGTTGATGGGTGTTGCGATTGTTGCACTGATCTGTTCTCAGTATTCGTTGATAGGGCCAGCATGCGTGACATACACTTCAGTCGCCGGAGGCGGCGATACTGCTGTTTGTTATCAGTATCATGTAAGGATTTCAGGTGAAGAGAACCTACCGTCGGCCATACTGCTTGTCTTGGTTATTTTTCAAGGTAGACACTTTTGAGTAGTCGACGGGTGAAGGGCCGTTGTGAAAGATGCAAGGAAGAGCGTCACCAAGAAGCCGACTGATGACCTGATTGTGGGGTCGGAGAGCTTGCGGACCACTCGTTTCGTGTTGGCCGATCTTCCTTCTCGACCCTCCCTCAATTTCTCAAAACACCCGGCTACCGTCCAGGCAGAGCTCGCACGCCGGTTTTGCTTCCTCCCCATATGCCAAAGTCCGCTCTTCTCCCGTAAGAACGTAGAGCGAAGCGTACACTATCAAAAGGCACAATCCTTACTAGAAGCAGAGGAGTAGCCAAAGAGAGCAGCCAAATTGCTGGCTTTCAGTGGATACTGCCATGTTCCTTGCTAGCACTGTGCATTCACACAGCCACGCGACTCATGCTTTAGCACACGGGAAGGTTGGTGTCATTCTTTCCGAACGAGATCGTCCTTGCCTGTGCGAACCCAGGCTCTTCGTCGCTTCGGGAAATGCATCATCTAGACGAACTCATGGCCATAGTAAGAATCCTTTCTTGGCTCAATGCCTATTACGGCTTTGGTCAAGACGGATATATTGCTATCAATAGCTCTATTTCTGTCCGGTCAATCGGGCCCATGATATAGCGCAGCACGGTTGGTTGCTGTCGCTTCAATCGTAATCGAGTCTCAAAGGACTTGGGAGTCCTTGCGACACGCTTGCTATGTTGCAATCATCATCACACTCGATCAGGTCTTTGACAGATTGTTTCGCGAACTGCTACAATGGCTCCAAACACACAGAGGTGATTTGGAAGTTCCAAGACGTCCTGTTCATCTACCAGATCTAGTGGAAGCTGAAACACGCCGCGAGATGAAACACGAAGCTCCTGCATGACATGAGTTCATGGCGGTTGTCGTATGTTTTGAAAACCATTTATCAAGCTTTCCAGACCTGTGTCGTCTTTTGAAGGGTCAAAACTTGCTTGCGCTTTGTTCTTGTTTTTGTTGTCGTTGTTGTCGTCGTCGTCGTCGTCGTCGTCGTTGCGGTTGCTGCTGTTTACATACCTTGTTGATCACAAACGCTCGTTTTTTTACGCACCTTCTTTCTCACAAAACGTCGCTGGTCGATCAACCTCAGCTTTTAATTATTTGCATAAGTAAGTTCTCTCATACTCTCGTCAACAAAGACATGATTGTGGCCTTACCACGTGCGATTTCACAACAATCCATCCCATCTCTCACGACTGATGAGTGCGGTGGGTAAACTGCAAGAATGCACCATCCTTCTCGCATTGGGGTCGTACCAGTGGAGGCACTTCAAACAGGCCGTCTTCCATGACACCACATGTTTGAGAGGGTTGTGCATTTTTTTTCGTGCGCGTGATATACTTGGAAAACAGAACACACTCCGTCAACCACCAAGTCTTGGAAACCCATGCATTTTCAGAAATAACATTTGAGATAATGGCTTACTGACTTGGACTAGTTCCCTCGACCCCACCTGTACACAATGAAGTTCGCTGCACGCTCGGACGATAATGTCTCAAACAGGCCTGAAAGCGCCTTCGATAGGCCATACGATCCGAGATATGGCGTGGAAGTTTCGATCACAGCGGGCAAGCCGAAGAAGTCAACACTGGTCGGAATGGCAGCAAAATTCGGACGACAAGCATTTGGAGGTCGCTCTACATCTGCTGGAACTCAAGACAACTCGAGACGACCATCCCTACCAAACCATTATACCGCCGTGAAGAATACTTCGGGCCTATACAACGATGACTCGAGGCTCAGTGCCAGTATCAGCATGAGTTCGCTGGTCTCAGCTCGTATCAAGACACGGAGCGTGCGTGATTCGGTCGGATCAAGCATCTACGATGACTCTGAAACGACAAATCCAATACCGCCTCTAAACATCATCAAAAAGGTTCCAGTGCCACAGCTGCCACCTTTCTACCCGACGACCGACGCATCCTCCTTGGGTCTTACATCAAACACATATCATCAACAGACTCTGGAAGAGCACGACGGACCAGCAAGGAACTCGACCGATAGCGACGACTCTACTAGAACTGTCAAGCAGTCGAAAATCGATCCTTCTAGAAGTCATTTCAGTTGGACAACTTATGCGGAGACAGAGCGTAGTATTTCGCCGAGTACATCATACTTGGAAAGCAGAAGCATCATGAGGGAACCAGACAGCCGCTTTAGCTGGACGATAGCAAACACAGACGCGACATATCAGCATGACACACCGTACAGTCCAGCACCCACATATCCTACCTCAATTATGTCACGACGGCGCCCTGTGCCGGGAAGAGAATCAACGCAACCGAAGAGACACGATAGCATGGGTGATGTACAGGACCTGCAACAAGCAACATGCGACAAGGCCCTTCCCCAACCACCAAAGACGAGACAGGCGGTGGATCATATCGACGAGCTGGAGTCGCGTGTCGAATCACTAGAAGTGCAGAAGACGAACATGCAGAAACTGTTCAAGGAACTGGAGAGAGTGGACTCGGCTAGCCCGATTGAAGTGTCGCAAAGAATGCGACGTGAGAACCGCAAGAAGATGGACGAAGTCAAGATCAGGCAGGACGAAGTACAGAGGGAACTTTTCGAGGTTGGAAGATTGCTGAGCAGAGCCAGGGCGAAAGCCGAAGAGGCAGACGGAAGCACAGGATTGTGGCTCCGCCGTGTTACAGACTAAGAGAAGAAGCATGTGTACCGTCAGACGAATGCAAAAGACCCTTTCACAAGTGACATATGCAAGAAGATGCTCAAAGTGACCAGAAATGGGGTATGGAGAAGTCACGGAAGCGAGAAGCGGGTGAAAATGTAGTTGTCGTTGGTCGATTGTAAAGAAAAACAAAGGGGTATGTGTCGAGCCTTCAAACGCCGGAGAATGATGTGGACGATGAGCTTATTTCTTTCCACTCTTCTTGATGCCCTGGCCACCAGTGTTCAAGGGACCCTTGCCGCCGGCCTTCTTGGCCATCTCCTCGCGAGCCTTCTTGTCTGCNNCAAAGAAGTCAGATACGAGCTAGGTGTATGTGGAAGCTGGGTTGCACGAACCAGCAGCCTGCTTGGCCTTGAAGGCGACATCGTCCTCATCCTCGTCCTTGGCAGCCTTCTTGGGCTTCTTGTCTAGATTAGGAGCGTGGTTAGAATGGGCGATGAAGGGCCGTGACTCGGTCGTGAAATGGGGCAAGGACGGTACACACTGTGGATCGGCTTGGTGCCGTCTGGAAGCAAGTCAGCTAGAGAAGAAGAGTGGCGACATGCGGGTACTTACTGCCCATTCCTGAAGGCATGATTGCGGTTGTGTGTGTGGTTGGTAGGGTGGGGAGAGAGGAAGGAGGAAAAAGAACAATCACGACAGATGATTATTGTGACTGACTGCGGGGGCAGAATAGGCAAGAAGGGCTGGACTGACGGTGTTGGGAACGTCGGTGAGCAACACGCCCTGGCGCGGGGCGGCCCGCCGTGACGCGCGCTTGGAATGGAGAAGTCAAGTTTGCCATGTCCGAAGCGCAACAGAAGATCAACTCGTCCTGTCCACCAAAGCCTCAGCAGTCTCGTACACATCTCGGGGCTGGTCAACCCGCCTTCGCCTCGCCCAAATGCCGCCGCCATCGTCGTCTGCCGACCACCTCCCTCCACACCAGCCCGCCGCTCGCCAGCGCCCAAAGTCGCCGGACCGCGCACTCGCCGAGGCCGAAGCGCAATGGCTCTTTAGTGAGCAAGAACTGCTGCACACGCCGTCGGTCCAGGATGGCATGGCGCCCGAAAAGGAGAAGGAGATACGCGCAAAGGGCATCAACTTCATCCGTCAGGTCGGCATCATGCTCAAGCTGCCCGAGCTCACCCTGTCGACCGCTGCCATCTTCTTCAACCGCTTCCTCATGCGCGTCAGCCTCGTCGATCGTCCAACCCAAAAGGCATTGCACCACTATACCCTCGGCGCGACCGCCCTCTTCCTGGCTACCAAGGTTGAAGAGTCATGCCGCAAGATGAAGGACCTGGTCGTCGCCTGCTGTCGTGTCGCCCAGAAGAATCCAAATCTGCTAATTGACGAGCAAAGCAAGGACTTCTGGAAATGGCGCGATACTATCCTGCTGAATGAAGATGTCCTGCTCGAGATGCTGTGCTTCGATCTCACCATCGAAGCNCCCCACAAACAGCTCTACGAAATGCTCAAGTACTACCACGTCCACCACAACAAGCAATTGCGCAACGCCGCCTGGGCCTTTGTCACCGATAGCAATATTACCCAGCTCTGCCTGCTATGTTCAAGTCACACCATTGCTGCCGCCGCTCTGTATTCGGCTGCCCGCTACTGCAATGTCGCCTTCCCTGACTCCCCCGACGGCCGTCCTTGGTGGCACGTTCAGCACGTCTCACTCGAGGATATCTTGAAGGCTTGCAACTATATGGCTGCCAACTACGAACACGTTCCCATCAAGCCCGGTCACGAGGGCGCTCAAACAACCTATGTACGTCTCGATGGTCAAGATTCGGACTGGGATGCCACAAGGCTGAGTAGTGAACAGGCCATCACCAGTCCCTCCGCTCCCATACTACACCAAGACACCACCTCGAATGGGAGCAAGATACATCATCTTGATCCACCTCACGACGATAGAGCCGTCAAGAAGAGACGTACTTCTGGTTCAGCCAGTGCTGCCGCTTCTGTTCCTCATCATGCAGCCGCCTCGCGAACCGTCGAGAGTCATGGCAGCGAGGAAGGCGAGGTTGAAGGCTAGAATTCTTGCACCTTCTCATGATTTACTGAATATGCATTGAGCGATGGCGTCACGGGTTTGCAGTGGTCACAAAAGACCAGGGATTGAGGCCTCACGAAAAGAGGATATTGTACTTTAGATTCCCCCATGCCAATAACGATTTGATACCCAATATCACCATTAGAGACTTGACGCAAGGACATCTTGAAATCATTCGTGTGAAGATGCAGTAGTGGAACACCGAAGTTATTGTTGTCGTTTGGTTGGGAACGTCCAAGTCAGACAGACTCTATGCTTAATTGCGTAAAATCAGATTGATAAGATTTGCTTCGCACTGTTTTTCCTCCATTCGCATACCATCTTTTTGTTTACAAGACACCGAAGAGATTTATCATGGCCGTCGGTAAAATGAGCTCGCCTCGAGACATACAGTGAGCTCGAATATGTCGTAGAGCTGTCGTACTTGTGACTAACCACATGATGCCTAGTCCTCTCAGTCTCTTTGAGAAAACGAAGGCTGAAGGTAGGCCTTTATACGTCTCTGGTCCAATGGTCCGGTAAGAGAGAAGACGTTCAGTTACTGTCGTGTCATATCACTGACCGTCCTCTGTTCCGTACAGCTACAGCAAACTTCCATTCAGACTACTAGTCCAAGATTATAAAGTTGATCTGACTTATACGCCCATGATTCTTGCACATGAGTAGGTACTATCAATGTCTTGATTCATGCTTCTTTCTCTCTTTCTTCCTCTCGCATCTCTTTCTCTCTATAACATCTCCACGCAAGATTGTTCGAAAATAGGGGACTCATATCTCTATGCAGGNTTTATCCGCCACCCAGTTGCACGCTCTTCAGATTTCAGTACACATGACAGTGAAGGCCCAGTTATCGCACAATTCGCCTCGAATGACCCAGTCGAGTTTGGACGTGCTGCAGAGATGATCGGTCCCTGGGTCAACGGTGTTGACCTAAATTGTGGATGTCCACAGTCATGGGCAATGAAAGAAGGAATCGGTTGCAGCATGATGGCAAATCCAGAAAAGGTTGCTGCCATGATCAAAGAGGCCAAAAAACGGATTGGACCTGGGAAAACCGTGTCGTGCAAAATTCGCATCCACCAAGACTTGAAGTATTATTATCCGCGGCTGTAGTTTTGGGTTTCCTCTGCTGACTTATCTCACAGTGAGACAATCAAGTTCATCAAGATCGTGGAGGCTGCAGGGGTAGACTATATCACCATTCATGGACGTCTACGCAACCAACGCTCTTCGACACCACCCAACTTTGAAGCCATAAAGATGTTGAGGGCGCAGACTACACTGCCCGTCCTCGCGAACGGAGATGTTTATTCTCTAGAAGACGCACATCGGATCACAAAGGAAACTGGCGTTGACGGCGTCATGGCAGCTCGAGGCTTGTTGGAGAACCCTGCCCTATTTGCAGGCTTCGACAAGACGCCGATCGAGGCCGTTTCCCAATTCATACACTATGCTGTTCAGGGTGGCATGAGACACGAACTTGTGGTACATCATCTGTCAGAAATGATGGGCGGCGTGACCACAAAAAGAGAAAGAGCAGGCCTTGCGGTATGCAATGACATGGTGGACGTTGTGGATTGGCTGGATAGCAGATGCAAGTTGCAACGACCTCTCGTGTGACATCGTGTTCAGCCAAACGTAGAGGCTGGCAAGATGTAAAACACGGGCTTGTTTGTTTCCTTCATGCTTGTTTACTAAATGATATAGAGCTTCCATGTGGATCTCGTTTCTTTCCTGCTTGTACCTCCATCAGTAACCGGGTGCGACCATGTCATCATTTCGTTACGCTGACCTATGACTTGGAATTTAATTTCAGTCCACAACATCGATACCAACGGGACCTCTCTGCATGTTGTGAGGCTAGGCCGATGACCTCACTTGTCTATGCATACGACATTCGAGGGTTTGGGCTCTAGGAGAATCCAGATGAGGTCGATGCCACCGACTGTGGATAGAGCATAATCGCATGCTCAGAGGTCTCTCGAGCAGTGCTGGACCAGATGCCGGCAGGGCACCCAATCCGTTGCTTGGATTTCATGGTGATAAGAAAGCCATCTCAACGACTCGGCGCTATCGTGTCAATGTACCTTTCTTCGACGAGTCTAAAGCGGGTGACATGACTCGGTACTACGAAATGAGGGAGCGCGAGGAGTGAACGAACGAATGGACATCTCTCGAGCAGATTCGAACATCCAGTTGAACCGCCTCCGTAGATTATTGCCTGGCAGGCCTTCTTGGTTGATTCGAAAAGTGAAAGACGTGATTTCCATTCCGTCATGGGATGCACACGTGGACGAGATGATGCACAATGCAACGGGCCGGCCCGACGCAATTCACGATGATGATGTTTATCATCAAGGTTCTCAATTTTTTCCTTTGTCGGCAAGGGGGTCAGTCTACTGGATTGTCTTTTGCTCATCGAGATTCGAGATACGCTTATCAATGTACCCGTACACTACTTAAAGAAATCCCCGTCCTTTTTGTTGAGCAACCTGTTTCCTGTCCCATAAGCTAATTCTGCCATCATGCCTGTCTGCGAGCCCCCGTCCTTGTTCCTCAGATTGCCTCCTGAATTGAGGCTTGACATCTACAAGAAACTCTTGCTCCACGATCCACATTGCACATTTGCAAGCACCAAATCTGCTCTCCTTCCCACGTCCATAGACTATCATGAAGGGCACCACACCGCATCGAACCACGTAGAGCCCAACGCTGTCACCCTCTCCATACGTGCCGAAGAACCATCCAACTACAAATCGCGTGCTCCTGAACATGTACGCAGCGCCTTCTTTGTCCGCTCTGGCGGTCTGCGCCCTGGGTGTCTGCCCACGACCTACTTCTGTGTGAGCAACTCGGGCATCCACACGTCCTTGCTACGAACAAACGCACGAATCTATGCCGAGGCTATCGAGGTCATGTACTCGAACCACGTTTTCGACTTCGACATGCACATTGAGGCATTCGTCGCGTTCCTAGACGATCTGACACCATTCGCGCGCAATTGTATACGATCGATCCGTTTGGTCAAGCGCGCCTTACCCTACGACAAAGAGTACTCGAAAGCAGAATGGGCTGTTGCTATGGAGTGGTGCACAAGGCTTCCCAGTCTAAGATCGCTGTCCTTGGGCATTGTCGCTGGAAAGCCAGGTCCAGATGGTTGGGACTTGGTTCCTGCTTACAAGCCAGAGCATTTCGACATCCTCAAGGGCACCGAAGGCATGGAGTGGATAGAGGAGCTCCTTGCTGTCAACAGACTGGAAAACGTCACTGTCGAGCCCATTGTGGTGCACAGTCCATTCCCTAGAAGTGCGGCAATGGCACGTTACATTCAGTTTTCCGCAAGTGTTGATGACGGGTCGTTTGCGGTCTGGTTGAAGGACAACATGGTCAAGAAGGCATGAGCATTTGCAGCTTGTTGAGTTCGTTGGTGTCTGGGTTTGAGATGTAAGATCAGGAAGAGCAGTATGTCAGCAATGTACAACCACCCCTTGAATTTGTCAAAAGTGTGTCATCGTATGCAGGCATTACAAAATGAGCAGTGTTTAGAAGCTTGGACTTCTTTTGATTTGTGATTAGTATTGACTGTGAGCCTTGAACGAGTTAGAAGAAAGGTAGAGGAGAAGCTGGATCCTAGTATGCCCATATCCGTACAGCTTTGAGCGCCGCAAACACCAGATGAAAACAAGAGGAGGCCCACTGCCCACTCAAACCTTGACCCAAAGCGACAGAACACTCTTAGCATACGCGGTGATCTCGTTGGAGCCAATCTTCGAGTCTCCGTACAGGCGGTCGACAAAGCTGATAGGTACCTCGGCAACCTTGAAGCCCATTGCCTTTGCCCTGACCATCATCTCCATCTGGAAACTGTAGCCCTTGCTCTCGGTCTTGCGAATGACCTCTTGCAGAACGGACTTCTTGTAGAGTCTGAAGGAGCCAGTCAGGTCGCTGACACCGGGTCTGAGCAGAGTGTCGGCGAACAAGTTGGCGCCTCTGCTGACGAACTTTCTCTTGAGGTCCCAGCCGTAAACGCCTCCGTCTCCAGCGTAGCGGGTTCCAGTGACAATGTCGTAGTCGGCACCGTTCTCGCTCTGTTTCTTGATCATGCGGGGGATGAACTTGGGGTGATGGCTGAAGTCGGCGTCCATGATTATGACGAAGTTGCCGGTGACATACTGCAGGCCGTGAACGTAAGCAGTGCCGAGACCCAGCTTGCCAGCTCGTGGCTTCAACTTGATGCGTTCAGGAGAGTAGGCGTTGATGAGTTGTTGAGCGATGTCTTGTGTACCGTCGGGCGAGGCATCGTCGATGATGATGAGTTCCCAGTCCAAGTTACTNNACAATACACGGTCAGCATGACATGTTGTTTGCGCAGGGCTGTCTTAGGGGTGGTACTTTTCGGTAAAGGTCCTGTTCAGCAACCAGGCGATGATAGGGAGGTTGCGTCGCTCATTGTAGGTGGGCAGCAGCACCGAGTACTTGTTACGAACAGCCATGTTGATGAAGATTGGTAGTTGTTGTGGTTTACAAGTAGCCAGAAAGGAGAACAGTCGCGCCAGTTGGAGCTTGTCCAGCTGCCAGCTGTTGCGGAGTTGACACAGCCAGGGTCCGTCCATCCCCTGACCATTATTGGTGAACATGTAGGGAACACGAAATCGCTACTGCATAGACAGTTGCATTTTATCTATATCACTATGATGCAATTGCCATTGAGTCCTTCTATTCCTACGATACTTAGTGACTGTCACTTCTACTTCTGGGGGGTTGTCGAATGGTCATTAGAGGATTCGCGAAAATGGTGTTTACAAAATGTCAAAGGGTATGGAAACCAGAAGGTACTTGAGCCATTTGTTGACTTGTTGTACTTATCACACCAACGTAACGTGTTCGCTAGCCTTTCTGCTGCTGCTTCTTTTTCTTCTTGCTAGCCTTCTCTGCAAGAAGTTGATCAAGATATGTTCCAGATCTCTTCTTGCTTGGCCTTGTGTCTTCATCATCATCTGATGATGGCTCAGTTTTCTTCTGATCCTTAGACGCGGTGTCGGTGTTGCGAGTGGAAGAGCGAGAAGGCCCCTTCCTCTTCAGGGCGGAATTGGAGGCAACCATAGTCGCTCTTCCCTCTTCATCGTCGTCCTCATCAGCGTCTACCTGATTCGAAGCAGTCTTCTGCGATGTAGGCTTTGTCTGAGTAGGCTGAGGCTTGGAAGTAGCTCTGTGGCCCCTAGCAGCTTTCTTGCCTAGCAGTTGCTCCAGCAGTCTGTCGTAGTTTGCGCCAGATCTTTGCTTGAGTAGCGGATCTTGATCGGTGTCGGGGGCGGATGCGCCAACTCCAAGGCTAGACGCTCTCAGTCCATCTCTTTCTGATGCAGAGGAGGCGACAATGCTCACAGCTCTGGTGTGGGTTTAAATAATTCCTCGTCTTCCTTTAGCAGCTCTTGATGCGTCTTCTGCGGGAGCGTCTCTTGGCTAGATTTGGCGGGGAGCCATGACTGGACCAAGTGCTGGCTGCGCGCAAGAGCGACGTTCGCGCGATTGAAGACGACATCGGCTTCCGTAGGAGTGTCGTCTTTGGGCATGTTTGATGGGTATCGAACATGTAGATGCTGCGGGCCTCGGGCTTGAGAGCGAGTCGCGGAAGAGAGAGGCTGCGCAAGCCGGTAATAACCGGGCGTCGAGACTTGGCGTGAAGATTGTCGGGAGAGAGTTCGTAGAGTTGTTGTATCTCTTTGCTGAGCCTTGACTGCACCAAAGCTCCCAATCCACCCTCTCCCCTCTACAACTCCGCCATGTTCAAGCTCGCCCGCAGCAGGCAGGCCGCCTCTGCGCTCCAGGCCGTCAAGGTTGGCCCACCCAGCCCCGTCTCTGCTTCAGGACCCCTTTGCGACTGACACAGGCCTCAATCCAGNAATGCGCCTGTTATGCAGCAGAGACGCAACCTCTCCATCCACGAGTACCGCTCCGCCAAGCTCCTCGAGACCTACGGCATCGGTGTCCCCAAGGGTGATGTCGCCCACTCCGCCGCCGAGGCTGAGCAGGTCGCCAAGGGCATCCGTATGCTCCACCACCAAACCCACACACACGTCCCCGTGCTGATTACTCGCAGCNNTGGCGATGACATGGTCATCAAGGCTCAGGTTCTTGCTGGCGGTAGAGGCAAGGGTCACTTCGACAACGGCTTCAAGGGTGGTGTCAGAGTCGTCTACTCGCCCAAGGAGGCCTCGATCCTCGCCAACGAGATGATTGGACACAAGCTCATCACCAAGCAGACTGGCGAGAAGGGTCGCATCTGCAACTCGGTCTACATTGTCGAGCGCAAGTTCGCCCGCCGCGAGTTCTACCTCGCCGTTCTCATGGACAGAGCTAGCCAGGGCCCCGTCATTGTCGCTTCCTCGCAGGGTGGTATGGACATTGAGGCCGTCGCCAAGGAGAACCCCGATGCCATCATCACCACAAAGGTCGACATCCACAAGGGCGTCACCGATGACATGGCCAAGAAGATTGCTACCGAGCTCGGCTTCTCCCCCCAGTGCATCGAAGATGCCGCCGACACCATCCAGAAGCTGTACAAGGTCTTCATGGAGAAGGATGCTACCCAGATCGAGATCAACCCTCTCTCCGAGACCTCGGACCACCAGGTTCTCTGCATGGACGCCAAGCTCAACTTCGACGACAATGCCGACTTCAGACAGAAGCAGGTCTTCGAGTGGCGCGACACCACCCAGGAGGACGCCGATGAGGTCAAGGCCGCTGAGTCTGGCTTGAACTTCATCAAGCTCGATGGTGACATTGGCTGCCTCGTCAACGGCGCCGGTCTCGCCATGGCTACCATGGACATTATCAAGCTCAACGGAGGTCAACCCGCCAACTTCCTCGACGTTGGTGGTGGTGCCACTCCCGCCGCCATCAGAAGTGCCTTTGAGCTCATTACCAGCGACCCCAAGGTTACTGCCATCTTTGTCAACATTTTCGGTGGTATCGTCCGTTGCGACGCCATTGCCACCGGTCTCATCCAGGTTGTTCAGTCCATGAACCTCAGAATCCCTATCATTGCCCGTCTCCAAGGTACCAACATGGAAGCCGCCCACAAGCTCATCAACGAGAGTGGCATGAAGATTTTCAGCATCGATGACCTCCAGAACGCTGCCGAGAAGGCCGTTCAATTCTCAAAGGTCGTCAAGATGGGTAAGTTTGGTCAATCATTCTTTTCAAGCTTCAAGCCGCTAACATGCTCTTCACANGCCCGTGACATCGACGTCGGTGTCGAGTTCTCTCTCGGTATCTAAATGGCAGATGGTGTGGCTTTGTAGTGGGAGGATATTTCCCTTTCGGCGTTTAATTTGCAGACAGTCAATCACCGTCGATTGTATATACCTAGCGCGTTTCTCTCAGTCAGTGTGGAATCAAGGGACCATTTCTTTTTCGTTCTTCACAAACACGATACGTTCCACCACTTTGCTCTGTTCCGTCATATAGCCGACAACCGGGACCCAGAGAACGGCAACGAGGTGACTGCCAGAAGTTGTGGGCACGTTTCGTCGTAATGCTCCAACTCCGAGTTGGCTATATAAAATCTTAGAACTCTCTAGCCGACTAATTCTCCTGGACTTTTGATACTTGAGTGGACAGAAACTTGGACCCATTGGCGTTCTGCTACGAGATCTGGACGGAAAGCCTTCTCGGGAGGCTGACGGTCACAGGCCGTGGAAGACTGCCGAAGGAGCCGATCCAGTGCCGAAGAACACATCCGTCTTCTCCCCGCAAAGAGGCCCTAGGTTCAAGTAGCTACCTTTGCCATCATGGCGGACATGGCTATACGCTCTCCTGGTTCCCTTCCTTCCACTACGTCTCCGGTCCCCCTACCTTACGGTTGATCTGTCCTCTACCTCCGTCAACATGGCTGGCTTCATTCAAAAAGGCGCCAAAAACATTCTGTCCAAGCAGCCGAACGACGTCGTCTTCCTGTCAGCACTACGAACCCCAGTCACTCGTGCAAAGAAGGGAGGATTCAAGGACGCTTACGACCATGAGTTGCTCGCACACGTCCTCAAGGCCACTCTCGAGGCCAACCCCAACCTAGACCCCGCCAAGATTCAGGACATTCAAATAGGCAATGTTCTTTCAGAACTTGGTGGCAGCAAGGCAGGTAGAATGGCTGCATTGCATGTGGGATACCCAGAAACGGCCTCGTTCCAGACTGTCAATAGAGCATGTTCAAGCGGCCTTGCTGCCATCACTGGTATTGCTCATTCCATTGCTGTCGGCAGCATCGACATTGGCATTGGTGGTGGTATGGAGAGCATGACCAGAAATTACGGCAGCCGAGCCATTCCTACACAGCTCTGGGACGAGCTCAAGAACACATCCGTCAAGGACGCCAAGGACTGCATCATGTCCATGGGTCTCACCGCCGAGAACGTGGCCGAGCGATATGGAGTCTCAAGAGCAGACCAGGACGCCTTTGCCGCCAACTCGCACCAAAAGGCAGCCAAAGCGCAAAGAGATGGATTGTTTGACAGGGAAATTGTTCCTGTAAAGACAAGATGGCATCCCAACCCGGAGACTCCTGAGGTTACCGAGGAGATTACCGTGAGCAAGGATGACGGAATCCGACCTAAGAGCACTCCCGAAAGTCTCCAGGGAATGAAGCCTGCTTTCAAGCCTGACGGTACCGCCACTGCCGGAAACAGCAGTCAAGTCTCTGACGGTGCAGCTGCCACATTGATGATGAGAAGAAGCACAGCCACCCAGCTCGGTCTCGAGAAGAACATTATTGGCAAGTGGGCAGGTACTCAGGTCGTTGGTTGCAAGCCCGACGAGATGGGAATTGGTCCTGCTATCGCTATCCCTAAGCTGCTCGAGTACACTGGAATCTCCGTAGCCGAAGTCGGCATCTGGGAGATCAACGAAGCATTCGCCAGTCAGGCCATCCACTGTATCCGTACTCTTGGCATCTCAGAAGACAGGGTGAACCCCAAGGGTGGTGCTATCGCCCTTGGCCATCCCTTAGGAGCTACTGGAGCAAGACAGCTTGCCACCCTTCTGCCAGAGATGGAGAGACAAGGCCAAGAAATTGGTGTCATCTCTATGTGCATTGGTACGGGCATGGGCATGTCTTCTCTTATCGTAAGAGAGTAGAATAATATAGTTCAAGATACCAGCATTTGTATGATCTCCCAAAACAACGAACAGAATCTTTTCAGTCCATACGCTCAAGACTATTTATCAATCACACGATTCTCGCTTTGCTGCACAGCACAAGTTGAAGTGGTGAGCCCTCTGAGGGGATGTGAGACAGTCTGCCAGGGGTCGTCAGTATCACGCGATGGTTCGAAGGAGATCTCCTCGCCGAGCTATGGAATGCAGATAGCCATAGCGATACACAGTGCTACCAAGAAACAGGAGAACATCCCTCGAGAGCCAACTCTTAGAGGCTCTCTATGGATCTCGTGCTGTCTTGAAGAGTACTGTGCATTAGCAATGATATCGGCGGCTCTCTTTGACCACGCCTCTGCTTGTGAAAAGGATTCTAGCTTTTTATAGTGTACATTCCACTCTCTCATCTTGTTGGAGAGTCAAGTTACAGATCGTCACAAGGGTTGACATTCGATGTCAACCACTGTCGAGCTCTCTACGCGGTTACGGCATTGGTAGAGCGAGATCGCGAGCAGCTGAATTTAGTTGCTTAAAGAGTTCACATATGCTGAGTTCCTTCACAACAAAGCATACCATGTCACGCAGAATGTGACATCGAAGCATATGCTCACCATCGAAGCATGTGATCAACGTCGAAGCATCTATAGATGTGTGTCTCCTGGTACTTAGACTCCTCTTCTACAACATCAGCTTCGATGAGAAGGTTGCTTCTGGATAGTCATCAAGCAATGGATTAAGTGAGAGGACTCGGAGTTGACCCAGCTTCGCAGAGGCATGATACGGGCGTGATTGTCACAAAAGGTGCACATTGGGTGCCTTCTATCTTCGCACCTTCTCGTCGAACAGTAGCTGACGTCCATCAAGACGGTTTCCATCACGGCGTGGGCCTAATGATGGAGAGCTCACGACCCAAAAGAGTATGTGATCTCGTTATGAGGCCTTTCCTGCTGCTGACCACCCAACAGGCGGACTGAAGAAGCCATCATACATCGACGACCCTAGTATCTTGGAATGGGAAGAGCCCAACTCTAACTTCAAGTCCTCGGTTCCAGTACTCACTCCAACTTTCCGCTCCGTGGCTGCTCGTTCAGAGAATTCGACCCTTGGCCCAGGTCTGGTGCCTGGTCACCTCGAAGACACCGAAGTCTTCATCGACCCAGTGCTTAACTCCCGGTCAAAGCCCTCGTTCCCAGTACCCATTGCAGCTCTCCGCTCCGTTGCTTCTCGAAGCAAGTCTGCCACGGTCCCAGGCCTGAAGCCTGCTTACTTCGACGACACCAATGTCTTCGGTGAACCAGTCTACAACTCCCACTCCAAGCCCTCGATCTTAGGATTCATTCCAGCTTCCTGCTCCGTCGCTTCTTGACCAAGCAAGTCGACCTTGGCCCCAGTCCTCAGGTTTGATTTTTTCCGACGACCCCAATGCATTTGAATGGGGAGATACGCAGTCTAAGCCCTCGATGAGAGAGTCGTGCAATCAAAGACTCTCTGTGGATGCTGCTCTGGTTCGAAGATCACAGTGCATTGTGATAAGTGCACATAGAAGGTCACAGTCTATATGGAGGGGAGATTTGTGTAATGCAGCACCATATCAAATCCTCTCTTGCTTCCGGTTTCATCATTGAGTAGTATGTGGGCTATCGAAATGCACAATTTCGTCCAGTTGAGAGACGTGTCCACGGAAAGGTAACGAGCAGAGGACTCTCGATGGATGCTGCGTGATTTCAGAAAGTACCGTGCATTCTCATAGCCGTATATGACAGACTGTAATGCACATAGGGAGACAAGACGTTTAGGTCTAACAGAAATCTTGCTAATCCTCAAACTCCTCTTCATTCCCAGCAGTAGCAGCAAACTTATCTTCAAGGGCAGCTTCGGCCTCAGTCTCATGCTCCCAAATCTATTCCCCTCCCATCTGCAATTTCGTCTAGAATGCCCCGAGTTGCTCCCGGCTCCGCCGCCCCTAGATCAAGCAAGTTGGCCTTAGCAATGGCCCTCGAGCCAGCTCTGCCATCGAGTTCGTCCAGCCCAGCACTATTCAACCAGACAATGACTTCGGTGAACGAAGACAGCGAGATGCTTGGGTCTGAACTCGACCACGAAGAGGATGTGAAACCATAAAGTTCTAATCAACTATGCTCCGATGCGGCTGACTACCCAAGCTCTTCGTTTCTGGACTCAGATACTGCTGATTGTTCTGATGACAACAGTTGCTGTCCTTCTGACTACAGTGATCACACCCCGAGCAGAGATGAGGCAGAACCACATCTCTTCCCAGTCAGCAGATGGTGCTAAAGTATGCTATAGAAATGCACAATTACTTATCAAATCTGAGGTTGGAGCAGTGAAGCAGTCTTGATGTGTTATCTCTCCTTGGTCAATGTCTAGTTTTGAGAAGTATTGTGCATTCTTATAACATACTATAGCACCATCTATTGACCCTGAAGAGGGGCTACTTATCGAGGTTGACCACATGTCCTCTGAAAAGGCGCTCTTTCGCATTCCACCCAACGTTCATGCAGACCATTCGTAGTTGCACAGTGTACGGAGTGACTAAATGTCCTTGCCACGAGCCTCTTTCTCCTTGCGCAAAAACTCAGCTTGCTCGACTTGACTCTTGCTCAAGTCAACGAAAAAGAAGATGAACAAGAAGCTGACCAAGCTGAGAGCGAGCAGGAAGTAGAACGGGGTGCTATTGTTGTGCGAAGGACTTGCATCAATGATTGCGGATGAAACAAGAGNGACTGGGAAGCAGAGTTAGCAGGTTCTTATCAAAACTATACACTCTCTACATGCTTACCCAATGAAGGCCGACGTCTTGCCAACCATGGAGAATAAGGAGAAGAACAGATACTCCTTGCCACGGGGAGTAACCTCCGAGATCATGACCAAACTGTAGGAATACCATGGACAGACGAAAAGGCCATAGAAGACTTGCTACAGACTTATTAGCTGTGATTGTCACCAGACTCGAACAGGGAGAATGACATAACACCAAAATTCAACCTTGANCCTTGTAACCGACTTTCTATTACGGCATTAGCTGATTCCATAGATGATCGGGACCATTGCTCATACCTGAGTGAAAATACCAATCATGCCCCAGGCGGCCAGCAGAATGATTCCAACAGCAACAGCGTTGAACATTGTCTTTGTAGAAAGTCCATAGCGCCTTTGCACAAANNCCCTAATATATTTAGCAAAGACATAAGAAAGACAGGTCCAGCTTCGCTTACAGAAACCACCAATTCCCACAGCCTGAGCGGCAATACCAACGAGGAGAAGATACGTCAACTCGAGCGTATTGTAAGTGACCACAGCATTCTGGAGAGTGCCAATAACCGTCACAATGGTGTTCAGCGAGTCTCCTAGCAAGAAATATCCAATGAGGTAACAGAAAGATTGTCGGAGCTGCCAGATCTGCGTGACAGCGTACCAGAGTTGTGAGACACCAGCAGCCAAGATCGATGAGTCTATTTGCGTGCCAGGTCTTTTCTTCTCTATGAAGAACCAGGGAATCGACAGAAGCAGCCATACGCCACTACTGAAGGCAATCAGGACCGAGAATCCATAGTTGTTGTTTGCGGTAGATTCATCTACACGCATTGCAAACATGATTCCAACGATAATGGCCTTGAAAATGGTGATCAGTTTCAGAACAACAACCGCGATATGACATTGGATTTGTCTTACAAGAATGATCATCTCACCGCATGACTGGACGTAAAAGGCGANCCTGATATTGTCAGCATAACTGCAGGCTTAAACATCACGAGTCTCCCCAAGATAGCACATGGTCCTAATGGCTTCAGATATGCGATCCTCGTCAGACGAGTGATTGATAGAAGATGAATCTCCCAGCATGTAATTCCGCGATAGTTGCACTGATCGACTTACATTGCTTAACTCGTTCCTTTTCATACTGTCTGCATGATCGTACTCTTCACGAGTGATGGTACCATCTGCACAATCCCGTGCCTTTTCTCGGATTTCTTTGGTGTTTCTAGCCAGACCAGGAAAAGCTGCACTCCAATAGCTAAGCGTAAGTTCTGCGATGGCACCATTAGCGAACCTCGTTCTCGCCTTGTACTGAACACAAATCTACTCACGGTACCCAATCAGTCCTACAATGTATAAGCCAACTCCGATCTGCCACTTGTCCGGTGTATGTACACCGAGCCATGCGAAGCCAATGGCATAGGCAACAATGGAAAGTCCGATCAAGATCTTGGAACGTAATGTACCAAAGTCTGCGTAAGCTCCCAAGATCAAGAACAGAACAACCTGTATGGCAAAGGATATTCCGTTGCTGAGTAGCACAATGGAGTTGATTGTGCGATCGGACCCAAGGAAGTGCAAGATCTCACTATCTCCAGCTTTCTGGTAAAGTAGATTTTGGAACTGAGAAGGTGCAAAGTTGAATAAGGAGAGGCCGTTCGCNNTTTTAGAGTGCTTAGTTCATGGTCCGACATTCCCAGCTCATTCTTACTCACCTCCCACGTAGTATAGATACCAAGACCAGATCTCCAAACGCGAAGTCTCGTAGCGTTCGTCTAACTGGTCGGATGCCACTGGACATTCGGCTCCCTCGAGGTCGATTGATCTATGGACTGCTCCTTTGATGGGCTCGTTGGCCTCTGCGCCTAACTGTGCAAGACCGGGATCGTTTGAGGCCATGGCTATGAAATGCAATGGACGTCTATGGACGATTGTGAGCGAAAGTTGGCGGGAAAGGTTGTAAGAAATTGGAATGGCCGAGTCATCCACTTATCGAGCGTGAGAAAACAAGAAAGTCGATCAAGAACGGAGGCAAACACCAAGATGCGGTACTTATCATATTACTACCGTACACTTTCCTCAGCCGCAGACAAATCAGACACTCTAGAGTGAAAAATCACAACGATCCGCATCGAGCTAGTAAGGTTCAAGGGCCCAGTGGGCTAGACGGCGGAACCCCCGGACAGAGAAAGACAGACACGGAGATACATTCGATTGTCTCGGGCGCCGTGGACTTGTGTAATGCGTCTGCCGATCCGTCAGATATATGCAGAGAATGAAGGGAACGTGCAATATAGAGAGCGAGATTCGATACCTAATGATCTGGTCCTCTGCAAGAAAAGCTTCGAGAAGCATGTTCAGTGCCTTGACGCTTGTACGGTGCTTGGGGCCTTGGAATATTACCGCACGTTGGTACCGGAACAGCGGGTGGGTGTCCTTACTGCTTCCGCGGCTCGAGTTCGGACGCGATCTGTTGCGCCCCGGGTACAACCTCCAGAGCTCTACTATTTCTATCCACGTCACCTATATTCATCGTATATCCTATTCTATCAATGATGCTGCCGTATACCGCACGTTAGACCGTTGATAGAATATTGAAGGCCAAGCCAGTTGGAATGTTGCTCGGTTTCCATGGCATTTGTTTCCAACGGCCACCCAACCTCCTCCCAGCCACCGATATACCAGCCATCTTTGTGCCAACCAAGATATTAAAAGCAGTCATCAGCAGGCTAGGATTCAGACCCACTTGCCACACACCGCATCCAAGCTAAGTTTTCACTTTCAAGTCACTTACCTGCCTCTCCCTTCTCCATCGTCTTCTGCACGAGCAACCCACACTCAAGACCACCGTTATTCAATCCTCAATCCCATCACATCCTCTACCACAATCTTCCGAAGAGCAACAATGCGTTCGGTTGCACTTGCTCTTGCGTATCTTGCCACTGGCATCCACGCTCTACCCAGACCAGCAGTGAGCTATGCTGTGGTCAACGTAGATGGCGGTTCTGCACAAACGAGCACTCAGGCAGCACAAACGACTGTAGTCTCTACTATTGTCGAGTCAGAGGTGCCTACGACTGTCTCGGAGATTGTGTACAAAACTGTGACCGATTCGTCGGCCACAGCAACTACCGTCTCTGTCAAGACCGTGACGGAAACACCAAGTGCTATTCCTACATCGACCAGCATCCACTCTGCTGCCCTCTCGACATCAGCACAGGATTCGGAAACCTCTTCATCATCACCATCGTCCGCATCAGCATCGGGATCATCAGCAACGAGCACGATATCGCTCGTATCGGCATCATCATTGCCCACATCGTCTGCCGATTCATCACCGACAAACACACCACTGTCATCTTCGGAATCATCTGCACCCTCTACTCCCAAGAGCAGCAAAACCACAAGCGTCGCGTCCTCGACGCATAGCAGCACAACAACACCATCAGTATCAATCAACTCGATTGTATACGAAGTGACTGGCGGAGCACTTAGCACAGACTACGTTACGATCACATTATCTGGCAGTGCCCAAGCCACAAGCTCGGCGAGCAGCATGGGTTCGTCTTCATCGTCCGACTCAGCAGCCTCGACGATCATTGTGGTGCAGACGCAGACTGTGGTACCGGCAGCGGCAACAACAACCAACTCGGCGTCTTACTACGACAATGGCATGTGGCACACGTCGTACGTTGTCAAGAGCTTCCCTACACTAGCACCAAGTGCTGCAGGCCACCACTGGAACAGCACATCGCACTGAGCCCAGAGCTCAGACGATGACGAGGTCCGTCAGGAAGATGCGAATAATTACGAGAGGAGGACAACGTACCACCGACTGCTGGCAGTCGTATGGTGAAGACATAGTATAGAGTAATAATACATAGTAATGACAGAAGCAAGTTCACATACACAGATTCTGAATGTTAGCGTGAGTTCAAGAAGTAAAGTCGAATGGTAGTGATTGTAATGCGATGCTGAGGGCGGTGTTAATGTGGAGGGAAGGCTGGACGCGGCTGGAGGCAGCGGAACTTGGAAGCTCGGGCCGAGCACCAACACCCTCGAACGCGGAGGTCGNNTGGGTGCATACCGTCGTCATGCGACCAGAGTAGAAGCCATTGCGCCGTCCCTCACATTCCCTACCACGAATCCTTCTCAAACATGGCATCACCGCCACTGGTCGAGGACCAGGCACGTCTGCTTGAAGATGCCTTGACCGTCGTGCGCCAGCAGACGGTCCTGATGCGCCGCTGCCTGGACACGCCCGGCAAGCTCATGGACGCTCTCAAGTGCAGGCACGTACCAGACGTCTCCGCGCACATCAATCCACATGGCTGATCAGTCTCANNCAGCTCTACCCTCGTGTCCGAACTACGCACCTCCAGCCTCGGCCCCAAACAGTACTACGAGTTGTACATGTCCGTCTTCGATGCCTTGCGCCATCTCGCCGTCTACCTACGCGAATCCCACCCTACCAACCACCTCGCCGACCTCTACGAGCTTGTTCAATATGCCGGCAATATCGTCCCGCGCCTCTACCTTATGATCACCGTCGGCACTGTCTACATGGGTATCGAAGATGCTCCCGTCAAGGAGATAATGAAGGATATGATGGAGATGAGCAGAGGTGTTCAACATCCCATCCGCGGTCTTTTCCTCCGTTACTACCTCAGCGGTCAGGCTAGAGACTACTTGCCAACCGGCCAGGGTCAAGGTCCCGAAGGCAACCTCCAGGATTCCGTCAACTTTGTCCTTACCAACTTTGTCGAAATGAACAAGCTCTGGGTCAGACTGCAGCATCAAGGTCATTCGAGAGAGCGTGAGCAGCGCACAAAAGAACGCCAGGAACTGCAACTGCTTGTTGGCAGCAACCTCGTCCGTCTCAGCCAACTCGTCGATCTCGAAGCTTACAAGTCGTCCATTCTCCAGCCATTGCTTGAGCAGGTTGTCCAGTGTCGCGATGTGCTCGCTCAAGAATATCTGCTCGAAGTCATTACCCAGGTCTTCCCTGATGAGTTTCATTTACACACCCTCGATCAGTTCCTTTCAGCCACTGCCCGTCTCAACCCTCACGTCAATGTCAAAGCTATCGTCATAGGTCTCATGGATCGTTTGTCCGCCTACGCTGCTCGCGAATCCGAGTCTGATGCCCCCGGAGATCGCGAGAAGGCCGAGACTGATGCAACCACAAGGTTGCTAGAGAAGATGAAGATCGCTTCAGAGTCCGCTGCAGCTCCCGCCAACGACGAAGCGACTCATCAGAACGGAGACTCGAAGACCGAAGATGACGCTCCCATCGAGGCCGCTGCTGAGTCTACCACCGAAGATACGACCAAGACGGATTCGATCGAGACCAATGGCGATGCCAAGAAGCAAAGAGGAATCCCCGACAACGTGCGACTCTTCGAAGTGTTCCACGAGCAGGTCATCCACCTTGTGAGCATACAGAGGCTGCCAATCCAGGACATCACAGCGCTTCTCGTCTCGTTGATCAATCTTGCTCTAAACATCTACCCCGACCGACTTGAATACATTGATCAGGTCTTCCAACATGCGAACAAGGAAGTCTCAAGGTTCGCAAACTCGGCCGACCTTCACTCGCAGGCTTCGCAGGCCAACCTTTTGAACCTGCTTCTTGCGCCGGTCAAGACTTACTTCTCCCTCTTCACAGCTCTTGCCATTCCTAGTTTCATCCCTCTTCTTCATGCCCAACCATATCCTACTCGACGATCAGTGGCTGGAGAGGTTGCACGAAGCTTGTTACGCAACGAGACCAGGATTTCAACCACTGAAAACCTGCAGGGCGTTCTGGAGATTCTCAAGGTCCTGATCAAGGAGGGGATGCAGCAACCTTCCGGATATCCTGGTGGACCGGTACGAAGAGCCGCTGCAGAGACCGACGAGACCGTCGAAGAACAAGGGTGGCTTGCACGCATTGTGCATCTTATCCGTGGCGAGGACTGTAACACTCAGTTCAAGTTGCTCCAACTAGCCCGCGATGCATACGCTCAAGGCAACGAGCGCATCAAGTATACCACACCTGCATTAATAACTGCCTCGCTCAAGCTTGCCCGCCGGTTCAAGGCTCGCGAACACCTGCAAGATGATTGGTCAAGCCAGTCTTCTGCTCTTTACAAGTTCTGTCATACACTGATCTCCACGTTATACACTAGAGTTTCCACGCCCGGTGTTCCTGATCTCGCCCTAAGGCTCTTCATCTCTTGCGGTTCTGTTGCCGACCAATGCGGATTCGAGGAGGTCGCCTATGAATTCTTCGCACAGGCATTCACCGTTTATGAAGAGAGCATCAGCGACTCGAGGGCTCAATTCCAAGCGATCTGTGTCATTGCACAGAGTCTTAGTAGCGCGCGCAACTTCAGCCGGGAAAATTACGATACTCTCATCACAAAATGCGCGCTTCACGGCAGCAAACTGCTCAAGAAGCCCGATCAATGTCGTGCCGTGTATTTGGCTAGTCACTTGTGGTGGTCTGTCGAGAAGAACGCAGAAGAAAACGAAGAGAACAAGGAGACTAAAGAAGGCAAAGAGGTATGTGGTGGANNTGGGTACACCATCGTGACAACAGCTAATCTTTTTCAACAGCTCTACCGCGACGGCAAGAGAGTACTGGAATGTCTGCAGCGCGCCCTGCGTGTGGCTGATGCTTGCATGGACACAGCGGTGTCGGTCGAGCTATTCGTCGAGATCCTCAACCGCTACGTCTATTACTTTGACCAGGAGAACGATGCTGTAAGTTGGATGTATAGGGCTTCGGAGACAGGCATGCTGACCAGAATACAGGTAACGACGAAATACCTGAATGGGCTGATCGAACTGATTCACTCGAATCTCAACACAAACGAGAACAGCTCGAGTCTGGACAACCCAAGAAGACACTTCCAGCGAACGTTGGATTACATTGCAGGCAGAGAGTACGCCGGAGTCGAGACGCGACCCAAATGAAGAAGTCAGTGTAGATAATGTATGCAAGCAAGTGCGCAGAGTTTGGTCGTGTAGAAGAATTACCTGTCCTTGAAATGAATATGCAGACGGACAAAGCGTTTGTTTTGTTTGAGGAGCAGCGGCGACGTCAGTGTGCCAGATTACTTTCGGCCCACGGAGACGTTGGAGCACGTCTGTCCACCTGTAAACAACAAACCATCTGCCCGACCCTTCGCATCGACTGTCGTCGCCTTTTCGTAACCGGCATATTGACTTGCTCTCCAACCCTCACGGAACCAAGAAGATCGCGTGTGATTCACCGGAAGCGGGCGACAAAAGAGCACGCGAAGCCCAACTCACAGGCGGGACATCCACAACCACGAGTACACACGACCGCACACCATGGGAGGCTACCTGTCATCACTGTCTAAACTTGTATGGGCAAAGAAAGAGATTAGGATATTGATTCTNGGGCTTGGTACATGGCTCCGTCGACAAGCTGCTCGAAGCAAGCTGACCCTCCTGCCTCACTAGGATAACGCCGGAAAGACAACCCTTCTCTACAGGCTCAAGGTGCGTTAGCCCCATGTTTTCCGGCTTTATGTTGTCCTGACAGGCATCATCCGATAGATCGGCGAGGTCGTTACCACCATTCCAACGATAGGCTTCAACGTTGAGTCTGTAAACTACAAAAACCTGAATTTCAATGTCTGGGTATGCGTCGCTACAACCATCTCTTCACGTTTAGCTCGCCCTCTGACATGTGAATAGGACCTTGGAGGCCAAACATCCATCCGCCCTTACTGGAGATGCTACTACGCCAATACAGCCGCTGTCATATTCGTCATCGACTCGACTGACGTCGATCGCCTCTCCACCGCTGCGGACGAGCTTTCTGCCATGTTGAATGAGGAGGAACTGCGCGATGCCGCACTGCTAGTCTTTGCAAACAAGCAAGACCAACCGGGTGCCAAGGGTCCTGGAGACATCAGCGAAGCTCTTCGCTTGGGTGAGCTCAAGGACAGGAATTGGACTATCGTAGCATGCAGTGCTATTGATGGCAGCGGTGTTTCAGAAGGCATGGATTGGATGGTTGTAAGTTTCAACTCATTGCTGCTGCTGCTGCTGCTGCTGTCGCATTACGGCGTTGTCCGGTCTGCTCATGATACTGACCTACTTGATAGCAAACTGTGCAACAAGAGTCGTCGTAGTCACACAAACTCAACACGATCGGCCCCTGACTTTTCGAAGGGTTGGGTCACACATTAACATCCCCCGCCCTACACCAATGCTCTATTATCCGCTCTGTGGATCTCTATGATACCCCCGTGTAATTACGCACTTCTTAGCAGTCAGCTCAATGGCCCTGCCACACTATCGGGTCCATCAGACTCATCGCAAGGGCTTCTTCACATGCCTGTTCCAGTTACTATCCGCTCTTCAGACGACAGGGATAACCTCTCTGTCTGTAGCACGAATATACTGATTTTCCGACAAACGAGCATGATCTAGAGTCATGGGCGGTAATTCCTGTCCTGCCATTTCTGAGCAACGGTAACAGTCTCCCCTATCTTCCATAGCGATCATGGCCGGTTCGAACACAACTTGCCGAGGCACCAGCCCTGTCTTTGGACAACGATTGTAAGACATGACTGTCACGATCTTGGAGGAGTACATGCCTCTTACATCAGACAGCGCATCAAGCCGCTGGCCCATATTTTATATAACACGATATGTTTCTTAATTTGCACACGCATGTTTCTTATCTCATTGATCAGATTGACTCGCAATGGATGGGCACGGACGGTTTTCGCGAAGCAGCGTTCGAGCGTCTGAAGGCTCAAGGTCGCGAATTTGGTAACACTTCCTTACAAACCACGACAACAACAACTTTTTATGTTGAATTTTAAATGTTATGATTTTTTAAGTTGGCGCGTAGGTTTTAATGTTTTGTATCCAAAGAAAAACAAAAAATTGGCAATTTTTTGTTGTAGAACAGTTGTTATTGTATCCATGCGGCCGGCGTTGGATTTTTTTTTGCGCCCGGAAACTCTACCATTATTTTCTTATAAAAGGTACCTACTAAACATTACTACTGTACTACCATTACTAGTAACAGGCTATATATTATAGCTTTCTACCTATCTTATAGCTACTATTATAGCCCTTAGCTATTAATTAGCTTATAAATTTATTGTTATTGCCATTATATAAATAGGTTTCAAATGGCATTTTTGTCAAACTGCTAAAAACCATAATCCGAACGTAGTGTATTAGGGTTTATATTTCGGCGCACCCTTTAGCTATAAACATAGTATATATTATATATTATCATATAGACTGCAATCTATAGATTCCATAAGTCCAAAAATCTTGGTATTGAAGCAATAATCAAGTATAAAAATGATTGAAAATGTGGTTAGAAATTTGGGTTTTCAACGTAGTGTTGTATGAAGAGCCGTAATTGAGCTCTCAGACGCTCCGCCAACACGCAGCCATTTCCTCCACCAAAAATCTAGTTACGTGACTGTCGGTTCACGGCGGAGCGTCTGATTAGTGAGATAACATATTTCGTAGAAAATCTGTCTTGCAGCTTGCGAGTTCTGGCTCGCTTCTCGTCAGCTCTCGTCTAGTAGCACTTTAGCCGTTTTGGGTTAGGCAGGGCACGTGTGATAAGATGCAGCCAATTTTCGATCATCTCGAACATGATGATATGCAGTGAACGACTTGATCATGACAGGTTTAAAATCACTTGGAAGGCCATCATGCATTGTCAGTCTGTCCTTCTGGTGTCAATAAGTGAGGTTGATGCAATCCAATGACAAAATTTCCTAAATTGGCCCAGCATGGAATCCAACTTCGTTCATGTGGTTCCCGATATCTGTGTCAGGAATGTCCCTGATCACACGACTCGAGCCTCTGCTTTTTTCAGGCTACCTCCAGGAGAGTTGTGAGACTTGCAAGTCTCTGGATTTGGAATCGATGGCATCCAAGCGAAGTAGATCAGATTTCGGATGTCGACGCAACCGAGGCCCCATGTTGATCATCAATTCGGCCCGTGAGTCTCGCCTGCAGGTTCCACTCTTGAACAACACACCTCGGCACGATGCTCTATGTCTGTAGGAGATCAACGCNNATCACACAAACTTACCACTTACACGTACAACCTCCACTGCATGATGCCTGTGACCGAAGTTGCGACTCTTCCCCTCGTCACTGGGTCCAATGTCTTTGAGCAGGGTAGTGAAGCAGCCCGTATCTGGCAAGATATGCTCACTACTATCTCACAGCAAGATGGCTGCCAGAACGTCCACTCTGGACTGCAACATGAAAGCCCAAACACGGCGCAACTGATCATAGGTAAGCCACATGAGTCGTTAAGGATAAAGCAGACCGTTGACAAATGTAGTNNTTGGAATACGATCGAGCATCATCAAAGATTCCAAAACCTATCGATCTACCAGCAGATGCTCAAGAGCCTGGAGCCAATTCTCGAGGGATCTCCACAGCTCGTTCACTTCGAGCTCAAGAGTCCAAGCGACCTTGCCTCCGCGGTGTCTGCTCCTGTAACCGAGCTGGCAACCCTTTTCCTCCTGGAACAAAAGTCATCATTCGATGATAGCATGGGCTCGTTCGCAAATATCCTTGATGAGCACGCAGAGGGATTTTTAGGATGTACATTCTCCTGGATCATGGAACCCGCAAGGCACGAGAGCTTTGGTCCAGGTGTCAAGGGAAGAGCTTGCCTTCTAGCCATTGGTTGGTCATCAATATCTGCTCACATGGCATTTAAAGAGACCGCTGCTTTCCAGAAGGGACTTGAGTATTTCGACAATGCCCTCGGCAGCGAAATACATCACACGATGTTCATCGCCGCCTAGACTTTCCCTGTCATGACCGATTCGATTGTTGTTGTCAATAATTGATCATCGTTGATCATCGTTGATGTGCATCAGCTCTTGGAAGCGAGAAGTATGCTTGGTGAGGGTTGAAGTTGCCGAGGCTGAAATCGCCCATCGCTCCGATCGTACCCAATTCTGCATTCGGAGCAAAATATTTGTCCCATTCGTNTCTGGTACAATTAGTTAGCAAGACAACTTCGATACCATCATCGGTTTTTGCTGGAAATTTACATACCCAATCCATATTGGCCACGGCCTCCATGCCTGGATCAGCAGAGGAGTCACGGTTTGGTCCTGCACGGCTTCCACTGGCGTCGGAGGCAGGCCCTTGTTCGGTATGGGGTAGCTGAGAGTAAACCATTGTCGGAGTAGTGAACGTCTGAGCAGAGCGAGTCATGTGCGGAGCTGTGACAGGCGTAGTCAACTGTGAGGTTGTTGATGGTCCTGGGCTGGACTGGCTTTCGACATCAGCTGTTGCACGCAGCTTTCGTACGCTGTGATATTTTTCTAGGCGATCGCGAAGCGTAATAATAATGCCCTCTGCCTTGTCCACTTGAGAAGATTGGGGCGGTGTTTCGAAGATGTAATCGAGACTGCTCCAGATTCGTGCGGCCTCGGGCATCTCAGGCCTGGCATAGACTTCGAATACCAGAAGCACTGCTGCGTGGTATTGGAGAATGGCTCCACGATACCAAGCCCAAGTCATCAGCTCTGGACGGGTTTCCATCGCGACACCAGCTTCGACAGTGCCCATACAGGCCTCAATAAGTAGATTGCGAAGTCTCTCTGGCATGGGGTAGTTCGTTCCAACAGCATATCGTTGCAAGATGACGACCAGAGCTCGATTGCTGGAGGCGCGATACATTTGCTTTGCAAGAATCTGCTTAGGCGTGTTGCCTTGAACTAGGGGTGAATATTTGGCTTCAGTGGTCGCGCGGAACTTCTTGATCCTATTGAGGACAGAGGTCAACGACAGCTTCTTTTGGTCCATGCGTTGCATATCAACCCAGAGTTGGCGTATCAGTTCGTAGCACTCAAATTTGAGCTTGGACAAGGTCATGTCGGTCCAGTAAGGTAAATCATCGGTTGGCGGTAAGGCTGACAGAAGGTCTATGTCGTTGACGTTGAGAGGCAGCTTGGTGTCATATTCTTCTTTACGAATCTGAGGACGGGGTCCAGTAGCTTCGCAGGTTCGGACATCCAGGAAGCAGATTTGATACCAGATCAATCTTCGGACGTGAGTATCTACAGCACTGAGACCGAAGGTCGTTCCATCACGATGGAGTCCCATGCATTGTGCAAGACGAATCGCTGTTCCAACGAGTGCAGAGTGTGCTCGCGAAATCTCTGTTCGACACAGGGGAANGCTAGAAAGATCAGCTCAAGATCCTGACAGATTCCTAAATACTCTTACCATGTACATAATGAAAGCTTGCATGGTGTCTATCTTCGTCGTTCTCAGGAGATTCGCTCTGGAGAGCATGAATTCGGTCATTTCGCGAAGCTTGTCGACGAGTGAATGCTTAGGCATATCCGAGAATGATGCAGCCGCATCATCCGACAAACTGACAGCCGCCGAGAACATTGCTGCGAAGAGAATGGCTTGTATAGGAGCTGGTGTTATTGTACCGTTACTGAGATTGTTCCAGAACAGAGCGTACTGCCTCTCAAAGGTTTGTTGATGAACGAGACGAGCGACCGGATGAACGGCATTAAGGTATTGTGTAATGAGTCGATCAGCGACGTGTCTAGGAGGGAGAAAGTATGCCGTGACGGGGTCCGGGAAGAACAGATTTGAAGATGGAACGATGAAGTCTGGCCCAGGATTCAAGAAATCCTCTTGAGATACGGTCCCAGGTTGCCATGATACATTTGGATCAGTGTAGCCGTGGCGTTGACAATAAAGATTTTGACTCTTGTGGTTGGCACTGCGCAGCTTCGCATTGAGNNCTATACGGATGGTCAGTATGTCAGAGAAAACGGCCATCGAACTGTCTCGTCGTACCTCATCAGACATTTTCGGTCGCACTGTGAGCTGGTAAGTACTGTTCGACCAGCTTCAAAGGCAGAGCCACATACCTAGACCGCCTACTCTATCAGACATTCGTAACTTGCCGAGCTGAATACCAAGATCCATGAGTCCATCGTCGGCATCGTTATCATACACCTGATCGAACATGCCGAGGGGAGAGGGCTCAGGATCCTGGTCATCGTCCGCAGACAAGCCGTCATAGTCATCGTCTTCGGCTTCGACCTTTAAGACCACAGAAGAACGGTCAGATCCGGATTTTGCGGCGGCGCGGCGAGCGACATCACGTTCAAGTGTCTCTTCGAGGTCACCAAGTCGATCCTTGATCTCGGCCAGCTTCTGCTGAGCAGCAGTATCTAGAGCTGGGGCAATGTACAAACAATCTCTCTGAAACCGCTGACAGTTACCACACGGCACTTGTTTGTCGCATTTCAATTTGCGCTGGCGACAGCTCAANNGCCTAAAGAGAGTCAGGTCTAGTGAATTCGAGGCATGGACAGTTGGCCCCTTACATGATGCGATGGTCCTATTGCGGCGGCGTATTTTCTGCTGCCCTTGCGGGAGGTCGGCGGGCCTGTTCTTTGGCTGGCGGGTTCTTTCGGCCGTAGGAGCTTTCGAGGGTTGATTATATATGGCATCGGCCATTCTTTAACGCCACCTAATACTTGGACGCGCAGGAATATCAAGATACCGAATGCAAGTCTGCCAGTCGCTGGTAGTACACACTACAGGGCCCTGATAGACAACGCAGAGAGGAGAGAAAGAAACAAGAGAGTTAGCTCGGGTCAGGTGATAAACGGACGACGGCCGGTTCAACGTCGTTTTTCAAACTATAATCGCCTGGGGCTTAAGTCGGTTCCAGTCCAGACAGCGTTGCATGATGGAGCGTGCTCTGCTCATGTTGAACCTCCATGATCAGCGCTGCTGGCTCTCCTCTGATCCGACACTACTGCTTACTCGATCATCATGGTTCGTACAACCTGAACAATAATGCATCGTGCGATGAACCAACTCGTATCGCCGTCCTCTCCATTCCCCACGCTTGACACCCACTACATACCCACAACGTATATTGCTGGTAGACCTGTACGGAGCTGTCTTTTGTGTACTCTATTGAACCTAATCCTTGCTCGGACGGCCCGCACCGTAGCGACATGCGACCGGGCGTTGGGCTCGCCCTTCACCTATTCGGGTCTGAACAGACACAACTTGGCAGCAACAGAGTGCTACTCCAGAGCGTGCTTTACGAAACAGGCGAATCGCATCGACGAAGGCTGGTCTTAGCCACATGGACACAAGGGTGATACAATGGGCTTCCGAAGAGAGCTGGCGGCCGTTGTGCGATGGTTCTTCACGGTGGCCTATTATTCTATGCTTATACATGTGCAAGGCTTTACAAAAAGTGGGAGCGGCATATGTTTGTGCATAAAGTTGCTCATAGATATTTTTTCTCTGGGTCCAGCTTGTCGAGCAAGTCCATGGTCTTTTCATNACCTACAGAAATTGTCAGCATCACATACGTGGACGAAACACAAAGGACATACATGGTAAAGACTATGCCGCCGCTCAAAATGAGACGACCGAGTCTAGGCACAGCACCAGACCAAAGAGTCAGGAAGCCTTCCTCCCTGACTACGCGCGCTGCGCAATGGAAGCTGTTCTTATACTCCGTCTTTGCTTCGATTGACTGCATTCTTGTCTTGACAGTATCCAGAGGCATGGTAACGTANNTCTGTGAGAGAGCATCAGTGGTTGACTCTCAAGATTTGACACGCAAGACATACACTGTGATAATGCCAGCCACACCGCCGATACCGAAAGTGCTCAGAGCGCCGAGCTTCTCTCCTGGAGCAACATAACTTTGCGCCAACTGTTTCAAGCTGGTATAACTACTGAATCTAACAGCCGAATTTGCTGCTTGCCTTGCCGTAGTAGGTACAAAGCCTTTGAAGAAACCGCGTACACCTTGTTCCTGGGCAATGAGTTTGCTACCGTGGAGGAAGCCCTTCATCCTGGGCTGAGCGGCCTTGCGATCATCGATCAATTGAGTCTTGATGCTCTCAAAAGGAGTGACAGCCAGCAAACTCTCAGTCACACCGGCGCCGAAGCCAGCAATGACGGTGGCAGGGCCGCTAATAGTGCCGTCGGGATTTGAGAGCATGTTCTTGTATGCATCGAAAGCGACAAAGCGAATGCCAGCCTTCAAGGAGTTTCCAATGATCAGAGTAGTGCAGCCAGCATACCACTGACTACCGAATGGCGGCCATGGTAGCTTCTTGCCTTCAGCGAGGCGACGATTGAGCTGGGATCGGGTCTTTGCGAACTCGGCGGGATAGGTGATGGCAATCTCAACAGCACCAGCGCTTGAGCCGGCGATAATGGAGCGCAGAGCTGACGGCTTCTTTTTCTTCTCGACGGGCGCAGCGGCGCTCATGGTGTGCGAAAGACCGGCCTCGTTGTCAGAGAGTCGTTGGATAGATAGAATGTCTGAGCGAAAGAAAGCATTCCATGTCACTGCCGCTAGGGTACCTTATGTCATTGCGACAGCGGCCGGGAGTGTCGTTGTCCGTGCTCGAGCCTCGCCGAAAGCTCCAAGACCTTTTTGAGCGCGCCATCCAGTCTTGCTTGACCATCCCAAACCCGTCCATCCACATCGCCATGCTTTCTTTGCGCCAACTCTCTCGCCAGCTGCCTCGCGGTGTTGCTCGTTTGACTTCGACCGTCGTTCGTCAGCCCCTGCGCACTCCTGCCTTTGCCGCCGCCAGAACCGCCGCTCACTTTTCCACCTCTCTGCTCCGCCGCCAAGGTGCGTCCTGCTGTTTCGCCCTTTGACTGGTCTGTTGCTCATCGTTCTCGTCCNNAGATGCCACCACTCAGGAACTTGCCGCCAAGCTGAACTCGGAGATCGCCCTCGAGAAGGAGCAGCAAGCAGATGACAGCTACCGCTACAACTGCCAAGAGTACATCGACAACAGCGAGTTCAAGATTGAAGACAAGGCCGGCACAGAGGAGGTTCACCTCACTAGATCATACGGCGACGAGAAGTTCGGCATCCTATTCTGAAGTGCGCCACCAGCTTGCTAACACGCAATCTCCAGCGTCAAGGTTACCTTCTCCATTGCCGACTTCAACACTTACGACGAGGAGGCCGATGCCGAGGACCCTGCTCTGTACGGCGATGAGGACGGCGCCCTTGACATGGATGGCCAGTCTGGAGGTGCCAACACCAAGGGCGCTGTGAACCAGGGCCGCACCGCTGGTGGTAACATCCGCATTGCTCCCGAGGACGAGATCGCCCCTGCCGATAGACCTGAGCTGCAAGACGAGGAGGACAACTCGGCAAGCTTCCCCGTTCGTGTCCAGGTCACCGTGACCAGAGAAGGCNNAGGAGCCCTCGCCATTGAGTGCCTGGCTCAAGATGGCGAGATCAGCATTGAGAACGTCTACCACTTCCCCACTGCCGAGTTGGCTGAGGCCAAGACTGCCGAGAAGGACTGGGCAAGAAGAAGTCTTTACACCGGCCCTCCCTTCGGCCAGCTTGACGAGGACCTTCAGATGCTCCTGGAACGATTCCTCGAGGAGAGAGGCATCAACACACAGATGGCCCTCTTCATCCCTGAGTACATTGACTTGAAGGAGCAGAAGGAGTACATTGGGTGGTTGAACAGTAAGTTGCCAGTCACCGCAAGTGTTACCACGGTATGCTGACAATACCACAGACATGAAGAGCTTCGTCTCATAGGAGACGACCCGAGAAAAAGGAGAAATTTGTACATTAGTGAGAGAGGAAATATGGTGATATGAACAAGGCGTAGGTATGCTGCACGAAGCGGGAACTTTTAATGAGATCAGCGATTCCACTCAGGACCAGAGGACTTTTTTTTAACGGCGACATGTGCAATCTGCCAACGGTGGAGACGTGCAACAAAGCGCTTGAGAGAAGGATGTGCATGCTCAGACTGGTCAGAATAACTAATCGTATAGCTGCGTGGCACGATCGGATCATGGCCAGGCTCATGTTTCGAAAGGAAAGAGTCCATACAACAGTCGCTCTGGTGATAGGTCACTACTGATCTTCCATACTCTGTACTCACACAAGAGGTCGGCATGGCTGGATAAGACTGCGCTTAGGAAAGCAATGGAGGAGTATGACAGGCATGACATCAATGTGTGGGGGAGACGGGACCCTGAAACAAATGAAATGTGGGGAACGAACCCTGGTTCCTGCCGTGAATCTTGTCAACCTGATGATGCTGCGCCTGTATTTCTGCTTGACCTGACCTCGGAACAAATCATCTTTGAACCCCCTCAGAAACTACGTCTCTCAGTCTCTCTGATCGCTTCAACGTCGACCGGACGCTTCATCTCGCACGCGCACACGCACAGGCATACATCCACATCAAACTCACCCCACCCACTCGCACCATGTCGACAGTACCTCCGACTCTGATCAACCTACCTCCTCCAGACCCCATGACGCCCTCAGATGCTCCCGGAACTCCCAATTCCACCACAACCTCCATGTCGGAGCTCTCGACGTCAGTAATCACATGCATTGAAGTCGACAACATGCTTACACGCGCCGACAGTGTTGCTATCAAAGACGGCCACCGTGGTCACCTACCTCACTCGCACCACTCACAAGCCCCTACATCCGGCACTTTGGATGCCGAACGTGCTGACCGTATCTCACGCCTCGCTGGTCTTGAGCGTGTGACGACTGCTCGCAACCCCACTCCCGTCTCCAACCTGACCCCTGGCGCTGCCGCTCCACACTCGGCCGCCGCCAGTGGCTACTTCGACTCTCAGGGAAACCCTCTCCTGACCCGTGAACGCAGCACTGTTGGCTCGGCTTCGGCAACTGGTAGCGTCGGCGGCCGCACAAATACCTGGGCTAGTGGCAGCGATGTCTTTGACCACGACAAGATGAGCGAGAGTCAGGATATGGACATGGATACTTCCAGTGTTGGCGCCGCTTCCGACACGAACAGTCTCGTTGGCTTTGGGAGGGAGCTCGCACTCCTGCGCGTCACAGCGCCATCGGAAGTCCCAGTGTAACAAAATCCACTCCCACCGCCTCGGCGCTGTCACAACCTTTCCAGAGAGATTCTAGTTTGACTCCTGTCAGTTCTTACGCTCAGTCAGAGCAGCAGGACGTCTCGATGATCGACCGCAGAACTCTTGATACTGGAGCCGAGACCGCTGAACGCATCATCCGCGAGCGCCTTGGTCCTGAGGGCGTTCAGGGAGGTCTTGAGAAACCCGATACTTCTCGTGGCCAGGGAGGTGATTTGGGAAAGTTCTACTTTGAATCCAGCAAATGAAATGCTTGGAACTGCCACTGTTGTAGCTTTGTGGTCAAGGATCGCGTTAACTAGCATGACTAAACGAAATGAGACACGAAACTGCGTTGGTTTACGTTTTCGAATCCGAAGTACCAAAGGCATTTGTTTGACGTCCTTATGAGCTGCGCAAGGCAAGTCATGGCTGTGGTTGAGCATTTGCGATGTCTTGATATCTCAGCACCCGAGAGCAGGGTCATACTGCAAGCGAGCTTTCAGGTCTCTTTCTTATATCAATCAACGCAATTGCCGTACTTGGAAGGTGTTCTATATCAGTTTGTTGTTTCTCCTGTACTCAGAGTGCAGGATTCAGGGTTCCGTTCTTTGCTTCTGTACACTTGTTGTGACTGCGTTATATCGAGTCAATCCGGAATTGGAGAACGGATCCACAAACACCTATGTGTTGAATGCATCAGGTTGAAGAGCGAGAACTTCATACTGAGCTCATCTGAGTGAACACAGTAATGTGTCTTTGTGGAGAATAGTACGAAGATGTTGCCAGCCTAGAGTCATGGTACAACCGAATGCACCACCTCCCTTACTGAATTGCCCCCGACTGTGGGATGCTACGACACAGCGACAACAGAGAACAAAACAGAAAATGAGTTTTTGTGGTCTGTCTTGAATGACCAGCGCGATGAGCTGTCGATCCTTCGTATGACTGACAATGAAATACTCCAGATCGTATGCATACTCAATTCTCACGACGCTAACCATGCTATCATGCCATATGCTATACCAGAAGCCAGCGTTCGAACACCGAAAGATCCATGCTGCATCAAAGAAAAAAACAAAAACAAAAGACAATGATATCAACCCGTGAATGCAAATCTCGCAAGATTCAGAGGGAAGCTAGGCCGTCGGTGGAGACCTTGTTCTTCCTCCTCGTCTTCTTCTCCTTCGCTGTCCGGTATCAGAAGGTCCTCACTACCTTGCGAGAAGTACGGTTTGCTGGAACCACTGGATTGCGTGTCCTGGCCCGACGTCCGGCTCAAGGGTTGAGATTGTGCAGAAAGCCAATCGGCCTCGTTGATATCATCATTCATATCCTCGCAATGCCGAGTCTCAACACTCTTTCGATCCGTCACTGGCGAGGAGCATGGAACCACACCTGGTGTTCCGCTTCTCTTTCGCTTCGACTCACTTATAGTGGCTGCATCTGTCCCATCATCACCGAAGGCGTCATGTCGATAAGAAAACCTGGTCCTCAACGACTGTATCTCGTTTGCCAACCCAGCTGTAAAGGGTGTCTCAGCTGTTGATTCGGAAGTCTCGCCAGTTGCATCGATGCTACCAGCATCTTGGAAAATCGAAAGCTTTCTCGTTGACTTGACCGGACTTCGTCGTTCTGCCGTTTCCGATAACAAGCTCATGGCCTGCTCGACCGAGTCGTCAGACCAGAGATTGAACTCGTCTTTCGATGCATTGCCTGTCCGTCCAAGCGTAGGGCTTTTACACGATTTGCTGGCCTTGAAGAACTTGCTTGTCCCAGATTCGACACGCTCGGTTGGTGTTGACAGAGGAGATGCATAGGTACCATCGGAGCACAAGCGTTGGCGTTTTGGCGAACTGGATTTGTTTCGAGGCGCATCTGCTGGGGGGCGTTGTGGCTGTTGTGGAGCATGTGTAGTTGAGGCCACACGTGAGAGAAGAGAGGGACGGCGAGGGGCCTCGGCAGACCAAGAAGCTGGACTGCGCTGTAACAGACGCTGCTGACTGGGCGAGGGTGTAAAGCTGTTTGGATCAAGCTCCGCCAGAGGAGTGCGCTGAGGCTTGAAAAAGCTGTCAATCGACTTGTGCTTCTTGAGATCTGGTGTTTGAAGAACCTGTGCACGATGGCGAGAGCTGGGCTGGAATGCATTTCGCAAAATCTTGGGCGGACAGAGAGGCTGTTTGGTGTGTGGATGAAGGTCGCCGACAGCTACAGCAGATGCAATCTCGGCCTCGACGTGCTTGCCGATACACGGGAACCGAGTAAGATCGACATCAGGGGCGGGTTCGCTAAAGTTGACCAGACCGCGAGACTTGGGACAGTAGACCCATTGGTATAGGAAGGTAGCTTCTGCGCTCGCAAAGGACTCGAGATAATCTGTAGGGACCTTGATCTTGCCTTCGAATTGTGCAGAGCGAACGATACGTTCAAGAGTTTTGTGCTTGCGGATCATACGATATGCAGTTTTGAGACCCATACCCTCAATACCGGGAAGATAATCGCATCCGTTCAAGATGGCCATGAGCCTGAAGTCAGCGTCGGACCAGCCGACTAGGCTGATATCGCGGCAGGCAGTAAAGTCGTCTCGCTTAATCATAATACACTCGCCATATTGGTCGAGCTTTGTGAGCAGACAGCGGGCGCCAAAGACCAGAAGATCGGAGTCTTCGGAGACAATGCCATGAACCAGACCGCAACGTTCCAGGTAGACCATCTGCGAGTCGGCTTCGTAAGGAGCAACGATGTAAGGGAGGCTGAGTTTCTTGAGTTCGTCGATCAGTTGGCGAGCCATTTCGGGCGTCACATCGATACTCTTCTGCAACTCGGCCTGAGCCTGGGAGGCCTTGCCCAAACGTAGAGACTCGAGGCCTTTGATTTTGCTCTCCCGGCGACGAGCGGCGCGTTCCTTTTCGGTTCTAGATTTGCTTGGCAGATAATCGCCATCAAAGACAAGATACGGAGTGATATTGAAGTGTTGAAGCATGCGGACTCGGTGCATGACAAAGTCGAGCCATTTCCTGGTGGGCTTGCCTTGGGCAAGGTCAATGGCACAGGCGATGGTGCCGCGGTGAAGCCAACCGTATGCATCAACAGCCAGAGTTTGACCGGAAAAGTGTTGTTTAAGGTGGCATGGTTTATGGATCGACTTGAGCAGAGGGAGGAGACCTTGAATGCCCATGGCGATTGACGACCTTAGATATCCATGCTCTGCAAGCAGCCAGCAGAAGACGCGTCAGTGGGCTATAAACGATTCAAAGGAGTCGATGTCAAGGACTGCAGGTGGCGTCCTCAAGTTCAGATAATGGCAGGCGCGTTCTGAACGCGTCCTCTGCCTGATGACATCGGGCCGATCCGCCAGTTCCCCAGGTTTGCGGCATCTGAACGCTATCGCAGACTTGCAGCGAAGAAAACAAAAAAATAATTCGCCCAAGTACACACATTCCAGACCAACAACATCATGCCGTCCAAATTCGCAAAAGTCCAGAAACAAGTGTCCAAGAAGAAGGGTGGTGCTCTGGCTCTGCATGAGAACAGTCGTGACGCTCTCCGTCTGCGTAGCGCTGTTGCAAGAGATGACCGTGTTGCACGTTTGGGCGCTGTGCGTGAGAAGCTGAACGATGTTTACCGTACGTCTTGCCTTGATGCCAGAATCGACCCTGACTGACCACTACTTCANGTCAACCGTATTGTCTTCTTCCAGGACGAGGTCCCTGCTGACCCGCTGCGTCCTTTGACCGACACCGAGGTGCACGATGTCATTGCCAGATATCTGAGCCGTGAAGACGAGGCCCTGGCCGCTCTCAAGGCCGAACGCCGTCCAGGACGCCCCAAGAGTACCAAGCAGAATATACTAGAGCAGCAACAGGACCAGGAACAGAAAGAGTACGAGTCCGGACTCTGGATCCCCGACATGCAGAACGAGGCTACCCTTACCAAACTACGCAATTGGAAGGGTGAGTGGATTGCCCTGAGCCCTCTTACCTACGTACGAGTCGACAAGGCTGGCAGCAAGAAGGAGAGTGCTTTCCCACCCAAAGGCGCTGCTTGAGCCCTTGATTGCGCCCACGTAGCTATCCGCCCAATACCAGGTACCGGTTACCTCGAGCAGCCACCACTGCCATGCCTCTGCACGAATAGACCACAGGGACGCCTCCCGTCATAGCCACCTAGGTTCCAATTGCCCTCGCCGTCATCCGAGTGGCCATCACTGGACTGCCAACCCTGACTGGTTGTCATAGCTTCCAGCGCCTCTCCCTACACGAGGCACAAGCAACGCCGCTGTGATGATCGATACCAGCGTCAAAGCCTCGAGTTTGTCCTAAACGTGGATGCTTAAATTATGTATCCAAACCCAAGGCCATTATCTCATTCTAGACTTGAGAACCACAATTGCATACCTTGTGCTCTTTTTCTCTTTTCAAGGCCAATTAGTTGCACATATTCCTACATCAAAAGGGTATTATTATACACATTCCGTCTCAACTCGCCATCTATTTCCAAACGTGCCCTCTCCTGTGACAATCAAACGGGAGCTAGTCAGTGTCAACCGGCAGCGCGCACACCGGACATCCACTTTGAACAGCTCTTTTGATTTGGTGCGCGTGCTCGACTTTAGCCCGCACACTTCTACCAGTGTCAACGGGCTCCTCATCTTCTGAAAGCCTTTGACCTTGCAGCCTTTTGACATCGGCTTGATCAGCTTTGGTGTTGAGGTTCAACAGACAAGACAAGTGGAAGACGTGGCCACAGTTGAATCCGATGAGGGTTTCCCTCTCNNTGCCATACTTGTCAGTACGTGGACGGATTTTCGATACTTGGCAAATCTCACCATCTTGATGGAACACATCTTTACAACCCACACAGTGTCCTGGCTTGGGCTTCTGATCGGCGCCATCATCTTCCATGTCATAACCATTGTTGATGATCGGAACCGGATCAGCGTGCACCTCGACTTCATCGAGTTTCTCATGTGTCACTTCGAACTTGACCGCTTTCTTCTGACCTGCTCGAAGAACATCCATGCCTGACGTCACTTCACCCCTTAGAACTTTGGCGACACCATCGCTAATGCTGTGCTGGATCTCATACTCGCGTATCATCTTGCCGATGCCTTCTCTCAGGCCTTCAACTTCGAGCCCGTTCGGTATGCGTCGTACCACCGTGATAGGATTAATAGATGTGCCAACTTCTTCTAACAACGCACGAATGAACTTTGGCTTATCCATGCTATAGTCCAGCAGGTCATCCCAAAGATCAGGGTTCTCCTTGGTGAATGAAATGGCTTGACTGACGTCGCCAAGCTCTCCGATAATCAGGAACAAGGCTCGCTTTGTTTGTCCAGTCTTACTCAGAAGATAGACTAGCTCGGGGATGTAGTGTTTCTCTTCACAGATATGCGATGCTTTTTCATATGTGTATGACGTCGAGGATCGCAGGAAGTCCATCAGTAGATCGCGGTTGTATTGCGAGAAAAGCGTCACCGCCAGATCGCCATATTGTTCGACCAACAATCTGCCTTCTTCTATCTGTTGTTGAAGCTTCATACGATCGGCTCGGCTCATCAGAACTTCTTCATCTGTCGTCCGTCCTGTCCAAAGAGCACGGAGGTAGAAGAAGAGGAAAGGTTGGTAGGTTGGACCACGCTGCTCGAGCTGCGACACGACGACTTCAGGTCGAACATTTCCCGAGAAGGCTTCGTCTACCAGTAGGCGAACGACTTCGGCCGACTCTTCTTCAAGCTCTTCCAAGGACGCTGTCTTCATCTGCCTTTTGGGAACACGAAGCATCAACAGAGCAGGAATATCGTCAGAGACAGCATCGGCTAGATGGTAGTCACGAATCAACGCCATGGCCGCATCACCATTCTGGAGACGAACGTAGCAGCGTAAGGCGTCTGTCGTACAACCTTCGGCGAGGTGAAGCTTTGCCAGTCCGTCCAGCAGAATGCGCCAGTCCCTCCCTCGCTCGCCGCCTTCAACAGACTCCTCGTTGACATCACTCGAATCGAGCTTGTTCTGAATGGCTGTCTTCACACTTGTGATATCGAACAACTCAGGGTCCCAACGATCCAGGAGTTCGCGGAATCGTGGTCGATCATGACCGATATAGTGGCCGAGGACAACCTCGTATACAAATGAAGGCAAGGCAGGCTTCATGTCGGTACTAGGAATATAGGGTGTGATCTCGTCAAAGTGGCCGTCCTGTGCGAATGCCAACACCCATTTCTCCCACCTAGAAGAAGTACCGAGGACTTGACCAGCTATTTCTCCTGCCGTCGACCACTCATCGTTTGCGACAAGCTGCTGTAGCCATAAGTCTCCTACCCGCTGTTTCTCCTTGGCGGCGATAGAGTTCTGGATCTTCTCAGGAGACATGGTAGTCTGGGATGTGTCCTCATCAGCAAAGAAGTCTGCCAGACTGTTTTGCGCACGTGTAGGTCCACTTGGCGAAGAAGGGATGGATTGTCGATCGCTTGGTATGCCAACAATCTCAGGATGATCATCAATCAGACTCCAAGCTTTTCCATATTGCTTGCGCTCCATCAACCAGCTGAGATGGTCCGAGAGCTCACGCCTGATAGCCAAAACACAATCATAGGGACTGTGGACAAAAAGCTTGAGACCAGTTCGTGCGAGGAACGGGTTTGCATCAGGGGCAGACTGAGGCGATATACCAATCTGAGAGCCCCCAACGGATCCTGCTGGGGATTTGATGGCGGTTCTTCCGCTTTCGCTGGCTGGCGGACTTTTTATGCTGACACCAGAGCTGAAAAGACGCGTCGCGCTCGCACCTGCGTCCCACAAGCCGGCACCAAAGTTTTCCAGAGCACCTTTCTGCGTGGGAGCAAGACGAGGTGGCGGAGGCACATAGAGCGATGTCAGTTGATAGTCAGCAGCAGATAGTGATTCAAATCTGTTTATGTTGAGAGTATCGACATCAACCTCTTCGCCAGTTGCAAAGTTGATTAAGCGAAGTTCGGGCTGTAGACCTGTTTGTCGATGATGTCTGCCTCGCTTCGGGGTGTCTTGTACAGATGATGGAACAGGGTTGTCCTGGTCGTCACGCGTGCGATACGCAAGAATAGCGAGCAAGGAGGGGGTATAGAGTGACAGTCCAGAAACAACACAATCTTCAAAGGTCAGTTTGTGGAGAATGTCGGCGCGCCCCGGTAGACGCTGTGGTCCGTTCTTGCCGGCAGCAACGCGCGCAGCGTAGACGTGAATCAACCACGCAGTGTCGCCCCAACCAACAAGCAGCTTTTCTGGAGGAGCTTTCTTGGCAGACTTGTGTGAGCCCTGCGCAGCAGAGCCGTTTGGAGCTCTGGGCTCGTCCAGGTCTGCTTCGAGGGCGTCGTCATTGATCCACTGCACACGAGCTTTCCATACAGAAGCCATGTCGGGCCAAGCATTACGATTTGGTCGATCGATATGAGCAATACGCTTCCAGGCCGACTCTGATTCATGGGACTCAAGCTTGAGATGCGAGCGCATGATCTTTATGCCGTGCTCATTGACCCAGACCACAAAACGACCACTGTTGGAGAAGGAAACGGTACTGATGGCACCCTCGCCAGAGTGTAAGACGGTGTCTTTGCCAGTATTTTGTCCCAGACCTATAGAGCCAAGCCAGCCCGAGGCAGCTGCTGCGGCGCTATTCGTGTTGGCGTCGGCACTCACGCCAGATTTGGCGCCAGCAGTCATGATGAGATTCCCGGCAAGGCCGCCAGAGAGATATGTACGATCAGTCTTGTATTCTGGCGACAGAGCAACTGCATTGATGGGACGGGCGAAGTTGCGAAGACTAACATCCTTGGGATCGACGAGTGACGAGACACAAACATGACCATCAATGGAAGCTGTGGCGATGTGGATCAGATTAGAAGAAGTCGCAGGCAGATTCGGGGACTGCTTGGGGTTGCGCGACGAAGGTATGGGTAAGGGAGGGGCTCGCCAGGCATTTGAGTTCAAGCGGTCCAGACGAGGGTGGCTGGAAAAGGGTTGTGGTGTAGGAGAGACATCGATAGCAGTGATTGAGGCCGAATGAGCATGATAGAGACGTAGAGACTGTAGCGAGGGCAGGGCGAGAGTGTGGATGTTTCCGTTGTGGGTGCCGAGGATCATCTTGTCGCCAGCAACGAACAGCGAGCTGGTGGCATCGCCATTGCGGTAGACGCTGACCAGGGCGGCCGTCAGCTTGTCGTACTTGAGATGTGGCTCGTCCTCTTCCTCTTCCTCTTGATCGTCGTCTTCATCCTCGGCGTCACTAGGATCCGAGGGCACATGGCTGGCCTTGTCGTCGTCGGCGCGTGAGTTGTCTCGTCGACCGGGAGCAGGCTCGGGGGTGTGAGGGCGGTCGGTGGCTACGTGGGACTGATCATGATCGAGCTCATTATGCCGAGTTGCCTTTTGCGCAGCAGACATAGCGCAAGAGGCATGAGAATCAAGAAGCGGACTCAGGTGGAATCCCGGTATAGAGGACTGCGGAGGAGCTGCACACCCCCGTCATGCCAAGCTGCGTCATGAAACGCCTCCAGCTCTGTGCAGCCCGCCAACCACCACTTTGTACAGCTGCGACAATGTCCAGAAGTGCCACAAGGCTATTCCGACGTTTGCGCCCAGAGACCCGCTCTCCTCTCTCTTCATCATGCCCTCCGTCTGCACCAGCTGCTTCCCTATCCTTGACCAGCGCCCGGCTCAAACACTCTGATCGTCCCACCTCAACACCACATCCACCCAGCCCTCCCAAGCGCTTCTCGTCCCGTTCACAGGCTGCCACCACCTCTCTTCGCCGCGTTGCTCTCGAAGCCCAGCGTTCTCGCGAGTCGTTGATCCGTCGCAGTGGAAAGCACCGCTTCGTAGATCCCAGTGTCCACACACATCAAGTCACGGCCTACTGTGCTGCTGAACAATACAACATCTCTACTGCGACCCGCTTGATTCAGAACCAAGGCTATCATGTTGACCCCTATACCACTGGACTGTATCCCCAAGTTATCCATTTCCAGATCCCAAACCATGTCACCCAGAACGAGCCCAACCAAGAGCGCCCAGAAGGGCCTGGCGACATCTTTGTCTTCCCTTCAGGGTCGCTCGTATGCTGGAACGTCCCGGAGTCTGTCCAGCTCGATCTGGTCCATCGTGTGCTCCTGCCCGCTGCTGAGAGCCCACACTTGGACCGTATTGAGATTGAGGACCTTGCATACATCGAGGACTCTTCGCACCATACTAGTGAAATCATAGGCGACACCATCATTCTTGGTACGAAGACCTCGATTGAAGCCTGTACGGCTTCTTCCGACCCTCCTCCTTCACCGGACATAGATACAGTCCTTGCCAAAGTCGCCTTTTCCTCGGGTCTGGCCCGCTCCACCAAACTTGCTGTACTTGAAGACCTGTTGTCCTCGTACTTCTCCAGTACTCGCTCTATACCCACCATTCTCTCGCGCGGTTCGCCCTTGCGCTTCTCAAGATCATTCATACTGCGCAAGACGGGCGAGCTTCTGTCCATCCGTGCACAGTTGAACCTCTATTCTGAACTCACTGACAGCCTGCCAGATATCTTCTGGGACAGTCCCTCTTCTCTCGGCTTGAGTGCCTACTATGATGAGGTTGGACGTGCCCTGGATGTCGGTGTGCGTATCAAAGTCTTGAATGAGAGGATGGACTATGCCGGAGAGATTGCTAGTGTGCTGCGAGAGAGACTGAGTGAGAAGCACTCGACAGGCTTGGAATGGCTCATCATATTCCTCATTAGTATCGAGGTTGGCTTCGAGTTGTGGCGTATATGGAGAGAGAGGCAAGAAAAGCTCGACCCTACCAACACTGAAGCTCTCTTGCGAAGTGTTCTGTTGCAACGTCTGCAACAGCATCCTGACGCCGAAGCTCTGTGACAAGCACTTCATGCACGCTAGACAAAACGAGTGACACAGGACACCATCACATCGAGAACGCCACATCTCCGCTCCGACGCCTGTCATTACGTATTGCAAGCTGTTCTTGCCCCTGACAACAGAAGCAAGAGCTGCTCGACAGCAGTCACGTACATTGCACATCGGAAGAGAGAAGGTCATGCAAATTGCTGTATGTCTGATCATTGTAAAAAGCTGTCTATGTGTTGCTGTCTGTAAGATGGAGATGGATCCCCCTGATGCTGTCATCGGTATGGTAAAGCTGCTCAGTGGTGTGGACAAAGGAAAATAACAAAACTCAAACGCGACAAGACGAACAAGCGTCAACCCAAACAAGCATTACAACCATCGCCCTGCATCAACCGCCAACGATAGTGATATCAACACTCCATCTCAACTTCAAACAAAAACCAGAGCTGCCACCATGCCCAAGGCAAGAGCAGACAAGGCAGTCATGACAGCCTCACGACCTGCCATGCCAGTGTAGGTAGGCAATGGGCCTGAGCCAGATGGGCCGGATGGAACAGAGATGTTGTTGGTGGATCCTGGACCGCTGATGACCGAGGTGAGGCTGCCGGTGCCCAGTGGAGAGTAAGAGATGGTGTACGAGCTACCGTTGGCAGCGACGCTGGTGGTGACGACCGCGCTGGCAGAAGCTGTGATGCCGACTGCCGATGGAGATGAGGCTGCCGACGATGATGATGCTCCTGCTGGGTTAAAGACGGATGCTGAAGCCGACGAGATGGATGATGCTGATGGGATGCCAGATGGAGCCGAAGCGATGCCAGACGATGCTGAAGCGGTGGCCGATGCAGAGGTCGATGCCAGACCGGTACCAGCAGAGCCTGATGCTGCAGCCGAGCCGCTTGCCGAGGTAGAGCTGATGGTCACACCAGTTGTGAGAGAGGGACCGCCAGAGTAAAGAGTGGCTTGGCTGGTGACGACAGACTCGGTCGAGGTGGCGCTGTAGCTGATGGTTGACCAGAAGCTCCAGCTGGTGGTCGACGAGCCGATGGTGATGGTAGAGGAGCCAGTCGAGTAGGTAGTTGAGATGACCGAGGCCGAGCTGACAGTGGCACCAGGTGAAGACGATGCATAGCTGGTTGTAGCAGGTGTAGTGTATGAGCTGACGCGAGTGCTGACGAATGTGACTGGACAGATGGTGGTAGACATGCCGACGATGGCCGTGACCATGGCGAGAGATGTGGCCGAACGGAGCGGGCAGTTGAGAACGTCGGGTGGACAGCTCCAGACGGTGAACTGGGTGGTCTGGTACACAGTCGAGGTCGAGACAGCTGGAACGTACTCGACGACCAAGACGCTGGTGGTGACTGGGTCTCCGATGTTCTGGCCGAAGACGGCGGTGGGCATCATCAGAGCCATGGCGGCAGAGAAGACGGTTGAGAACTTCATCGTGGCGATGGTGTCTTGACGGAAGAGGATGGGATGAGAGGGGATGGGTGGTAAAAGAGTGAATGCACAAGAGAGTGGGATGTTCAGGATCAAGTTGGTCGAGGTCTGGGAGAGGTTTATAAAGAGGTGAGCACGGCAAGGTCCGTGGTGAGAAGGTGAGTGGGAAGGTGCTGTAGAGAGACTCCCAACAAACAGCAACAGGTAGGTGCTGCTCGTTCGTTTCGTCATGCTCATCGCAACAGACGCGTGTCCCTGAACAACTTACCCAAGGCTGTCGCGACGCAAAAGCTCCTTCCGAATTGGATTGAGTCTTTCGAGAGGTTGGTGAGCGTGTACAATTCTGGTATCATGCTGAACTTGCGTTCACCTCGGTAGATTGGTATATGCACATGGCTGAGCAGCAGAATTGTGTTGACTATCTATGTCTACTGTCAAGCCCGCGAGAGGCAATTGCTCGCACCTCGAGTTCACGTATCTTGATCAGGTTCTCAAGATCCGCGCGTGCATGCGATCCCAGAATGACCAACATTTCGCAGATGTACTTGCAATCTGCTTTCGGCCGATTCTCGATGAACATGAATTGTGCCCCTGAAAGATCAGTACAGTGAAAAGGCAGAGACCAACACAATCAACACCACTAATACCGCGAACTCCCGGCGGTGTACTGATTGGTTCCTTCGCAAGATTAATCAGTTATCAAGTCATCATAGAGTATGGCACTCTATAGACGAGGTGCCAAACTATAGTGTTCATCGCAGGATTGGAGGATAACAGGTTGTCTAACGTAACCACATGGGAAACGATGGACACAGCCGAAGCTCAAGCTCATATGTAATTACATGCATAAGAACTCTACATGGTCATAACCATGAGGGACGCAAAGAGCTTTGAGTAAATAAAACAGGTCAGATCAATGAGAGCTCCAAGGTTGTCGTAGCCTGGCCTTTCCAGACGGCTTCGTGCATTGGGAGTGGTTTCACATCGGCAGGTGTTGCTCGAATGGGAGTGAATTTGTTCCACCAGAATTGGAAACCGGCTTCATACGGTAGCACCTTCCGGAACATGGCTCGTCGACAAACGCAACAAACATTGATTGCTTTACTTCGCCCACCGCTCGCTTTTTTCTTTCTCCTCTTCACACCAAACCATCACCAAAACATCCATCAACAACAAACATTCATCACCATTATCCATCTCCCATTATCAAAATGAAGTTCATTCTTACTACCATGGCCTTTGTCGCCGCCGGTGAGCACATCCATACCTTCCACTCCCACTCGAGCTCTACTGACGTACACCCAGCTGCCATGGGCACCATTGCCACCCCTCAGGAGGCTGTCACCATCACCGTCACCGTCACCGACTGCGGCACCTCGGGTCCTGAGGGCACCGGCGTCTTCAGCACCTCCATCAGAACCATCACCGGCTCTGCCACCGAGAGCATCCTTCCTACTCCCGTCGGCCCCGTCAGCGAGAGTGTCTTCAGCTCCATCAGCGAGAGTGCCACTTCTCCTCTGATCGTCTCTCCCACCGGCACTATCTCCGTCATCATCTCTTCGTCTGAGACATCTATGGTCGTCATCCAGAGTGTCACCTCCAGCTTCATCATCCCTAACAGCGGCACTTCCGTCGAGACCAGCCTTCTCACTACTGCCGTCACCTCATCTGATCTGGTCTCTCCCGACACTGCTTCATCTGACTTCAGCACTTCGTGGAAGACGGCCTCTGCCTCTGAGACCGGCCGTACTTCTGCCTCTATGAGCAGCCGTACTTCTGCCACTGCCAGTTCCACCACAGTCCCTTCCAACGACGCCACAATCACCAGCATGGTTGGCATGACTTGCATCGTGGCAGTCCTTGCTGCTTCGCTTTTCAACTTGGCTTGATGATGTCGCAGTCGAGCTTTTCGGTTTGGTCGATGGAGTGTTGTGCCTCTCGGGCTACAGGAATTCACCATGATTACTTGGGTCTAATTGCTTTGAAGCATATCCGGAGGAAGGAGATGTCATGTTGACACAGGTCAACCAAAAGGTTTCCACTTTGATGATCAGGCGTTTGTAGCCTTAATTGAAACACCTATTTTGGTTTAGTCTTATGCCCAAGTGATTGCACAATTTGCGTGTGTGATATCGATGTATCATGGTGCCTGTGAGTGTCTGACACTTTCATAGTTATAGCGTTTTGTCTGAGCCATGAAATGATAAGATGGCGTCTCGAGGTATGTAAGCAGCCTCGATACAATTCCATGATCAACAACTAGGTCTCCGGTGTGCCTACCCTCTACAGCAGTGCAGTACAAGCCTCGAGCACTGTCCTTCCACATACTTTTTCTGGTGCGTGACACAACCGAATTCGAGAGTGTTTATATTCTCGAGTCAGTGATTTACACAACATGGACGAAGCAAAAGTTGATCACATCCTTGTTCATATTCCATAGCTCCAACTGCAATCAGCCGTGGTATCATAACATGTTTCACAAACGCCACAGTCCCGACCACGAATATACAATCCCTCTTACGCCCACCCAAATATCCACTAAGACTCTCATGCTGCAGCTTGGATATAGTCCTTGTTCTCAATGGTAACACTCTTGGNTCTACTCAATGGTCAGCAATGTATCTTGAACGAAAAACGAGAATCACTTACCATGTGGTTGACCTTGTAAACACCGACCAATCTCGCAGCCAACTCAAACATGTTGTTTCTCAAAGAAATGACGATGAACTGAGCGTTCTTGGTTCTTTCCTTGATGTAACTGGCAACAATCGAAACGTTGCGGAAGTCGAGAGCGGCGTCAATTTCATCCATGACATACAGAGGAGTTGGCTTGTAGTGGTGCAGAGCAAACACTAGCGCCAGAGAGCTGAGTGTTTTTTCTCCACCAGACAAGTTGCTGATGTTCTTCCAACTCTTCTTTGGCGGCATGACACTGAAGAGAATGCCTTCGCTGAAGGGGTCGAGACTGTCGACAAGCTCGAGCTCTGCGTTGCCGCCCATGGTGATCATCTGATACATCTCCTTGAGTCGCATGGAGATGGTAGAGAATCCTTCCATGAATCCTTCGAGGCGCATTCTTCTGAGATCGTCCAGTCGTTTCTTCGCCGAGTCACGACCAGCCAGAGCTTCGTTGAGATCAGACATACGTGACGTGTGTTCGGACACACGTCGACGGTACTCGGCAAGAACGGAGAGCTCGACCGCCTGAGACGTCGACTCTTCGAGAAGAGCTATCGAGGCCTTCAGCTCGTCTTTGGACATATCCTCGAGTTCGTCTTTGGTGTATTGCGCCATAGGCAGAGGCTCAAGCTCTTCGCCATCTTCTCCGATGTTCTGGACAGTAAGCTTGTTGAGCTTCTCTTGCCAGTATCGTAGGCGCTTCTGGTTCTCAGCCATGATCTTCTGGTTCTCTTCGAGTTTGTTCCGCATCTCAATCTCGATTCCACGAGTCTCGTTCAGGATGGCCGTCTGGGCATCGAGCTCGCTCTTGAGTGTTTCGAGCTCTTCTTTCTTGGTGTCCAAGGCCTCTTGAGCCTCCTCCGCCTCTTTGCGGAAACCTGCAGTGTTTCTAGTCTGCTCTTTGATCTCATCCTCGACCTTTTCCGCATCGGTCGTCACTTTCTCAAGCTCAGACTGCGCATCGTTGAAGGTCTTTTCGTGTTTTGACTTTTGCTTCTCAGCTTTGGCCTTGTTGATCTCTGCGTTGGACATTTCCTCGGTGCGATGATCGATTTGCTCCTTGAGTCCATCGACCTTGGCCTTCTGTGTACGAAGCTGCACACCACCGACTTCCATGATCTTGTCTTGCAGTGCTTTGATCTCTTCTTCGATACCAGCAGTTTCTGACTGTAGCTTCTCCGTCTCTTTCTCAAGGGCCTTGATGTTCTTCTCGAGCTCAGAGACGCGCTTGTTATCTGATTGTGAGGGTTGGCTCTCAGCCTGGAGTTCTTCGACTCTTTTCTCGGCGTCAGCAATGTTACGATCCAGACTCTGGACCTCCAATTTCAGCTTCTCGGCTTGAGTGTCGAGTTGTGGCATGCGATCTTGCAGCTCCCTGAGGTGAGTCTCGAATTGCTGCGACCTTTGTTGAAACTGCTTGAAGGTCTCTTCTAGTGCATCACGGTCAACCTCGAGTTTGGCGACATGATCCTTAGTCACGTCGGCCACAACTTTGGAAGACATAGCACCCTTGGCGACTCTTGTGCCACCACCGCTCATAGTACCTGACTTGTCGATCAATTGACCATCAAGCGTGACAACTCTCCAACGCTTTGCACCATAAGCGATACGGTTGGCCTGCTCGAGATCCTTGGCAACAAGTGTGTTTTGGAGCACGCTGTAGAAGGCAGGTCTGTAACTATCATGCTTTGGCTTGACAAGATCATAGAGTCGCGGTACATTCTCTGGTGTTTGTATGGCTGACAAATCTCTTTGTGGCAGACGATCGAGAAGAATAAAATTGGCGCGACCCAGATCGTTTTTGCGAAGGTACTCGATACATTGTTGTCCGACCTCAACAGAGTCGACTACCAGATTGTCGAGAGAAGGACATGCGGTAGAGATGGCGACATCGAATCTCGCGTCGATTGCACCAAGGTTGCCGAGACGTCCGTGGAATCCGTCAATTCTGCCAGATTCTTTGAGACGCATGAGACCAGTGAGAACGTTGCCCTGGGTCTGCGTAGCTGCCAAGCTTGCTCTTGCCTCGTCGGCCTTCTGTCTTGCTCCTGAGAGGTTGGAGCGTAAGGCAGGCTCTTGTGAAACGAGACGTTCAACTTCGGCCTGCGCTTCTTGCACAGACTGTCCTACCTCCTTTCGCTCACGTCTACACTGCTTGTACTCTACTGCTCTTGCTTCACGGGTTTCAAAGAGTGCCGTGATCTTTGACTCAATGTCCTGGATAGCATTTGCCCCGGCATTGCCTCGCTCTCTGAGGATGTCAAGCTCACTCTTCGCAACAGATATCGAGGACTGCTTTTCGTTGACCTTGGCTTGCCAGGGCTCCAGAGTCTTTTGCTTGGCCGCAATCTCGTCCGAAATACCCTGAGTCTTGCCTTTGAGGCTTTCTCGAATTTGGGTCAATTGCGCCTCTTCCTGTTGCATCTCTGCTTCTAGTTCGGCTATGGATTGTGCATTTCGGTTGATATCGTCTTCGGCTTGCGTGGCCTGTGTTGTGGCCCCAGAGATGGCGAATCTGCTGTCTTCTGCCGTTTTTGCAAGCTTCTTAGCCTTGTTGGCGAGGAATTTCTTTTTCTCTGCATGCTTCACGGTCTCCTTGTCCAGCTTTGCCATCTCTTTCAGAACGGATTGCGTACTCTCAGACATGCGTTCATACTCCTTGGCTGTCGCACTGTGTTGTTTTTGTAGTCGCTTGATTCCCTCTTGGTTGCCTTTGTGCTTTTCCAGTTCCCCGTCGAGTTGCTGCTGGAGTTGCTCAACGGCTTCTTCGGTCACAGTGACGTTGTCGGAGCACTCGCTGATGTATATCTGGTACAGAGAGGATTGCTTGGTAGCCAGCTCGTTCTCGTCTCGGATGAAAGCCAGTGCTTTGTCCTTCTTGTCCTCAAGAGCATTTCTTTCCTTCTCGACATGTTGTACTCTTGTGTTTTTCTCGGCGCAAACTTCATTAAGGGCTTCAGTCTCGGTAGCGGCTTCGTCGATAGGCGTCTTGTATTTGGAGGTGCCGATAATGTCCTCGAGATATTCCAGAAGACCATCGTCGTGCTCGCTAGCAGCTTTCGGTTTCATTTGCGCAATCGACTCGACCTCACCCTGCAAGATCAAGAAACGCTTGTGGTCAAGATCAACACCGCGATCGCGCAGCAGAGTAGTGACGGCTGTGAAATTTGACTCTCGTCCATTGATGTAGTATTTGCTCGCGTTGTTTTTGAAGGCACGTCTCGAGATGACAAGTTGAGAGTCTGGAATGACCTCGCTGCCACCAGCTGGCAAATCCATGACCTGTTGAAAGTGGACTTCAACCTCGCAGTGATCCAGATCGGGAAAGGCTGCCGAGTTGTGAATCAAAGCGGAGATCTTTCCCTGGCGCATTTTGCTGGCGCGGAAACCAAAGACGAAGAGTAAAGAGTCAATGACATTGGATTTGCCTGAGCCGTTGGGACCGACGACCGAGGAGAATGAAGCATGGAAAGGACCGACTTCCTGACGGCCAGCATAACTCTTGAAGTTTTTTAGAACGAGGTGGGTGATGACGGTACGGGATCGAGGTTCGTCGGGAGCCTGGGAAACGGGCATGGTAGCGGCAGCTCTGGTACGCACGACGATGTCCATCGGTTTCTCCAACAAAGTGGTGTTCGTGTCGACCTTGTGAACCTGGCTCGAGGGTGGGGGTCTCGTCTGAGCTCGCGGAGTCTGGTCGTTCACGGCTGTCTCTGTGATGTCGGCCAGAGGCGTAGCTTGCTTTTGTACAGCTGGCGGAGGCGAGCGCTGAGGAGTTTGCATTGTCGAGGCATCGATATCCGAAGCAACAGATGTAGAGACACGGCTCTTGCGCACAGTACGGGCAGCTTTGGCGGTACGGCGCTTGGGCTTGACGGGCGAGGTCGCATCTTCAAGGACTTCGTCGTCGTCGACGGGCTTGCGGCGAGTGCGCGAGGCTGTCTGCGGCGTAGGCGGTACAGACGACTTGTGCCGCGTAGAACGGGCTGGGGCCGGAGTGTATTCTTCTTCTTCTTCCTCGTCGTCGTCGTCGTCTTGGTGTGTGATGTTAGTGTCGTTTCCTTGAGCTACGTCGTCGCCCATATCCATGTCCATGTCATCGTCCGAGTCAACGACCCTGCGTCTCGACGCGGCAGTCCGCCGGCTCTGTCGTGGTGATGTCGCCGACATGGTGTCTTGTGGTGATGTTGTTGTCGCAGGTCGAGGCCGTCAACATTATTGTTGCTTGTTCATGCGGCTGCGAGCCAAACAGAGCAAACAAACATTCGGCCTGTGCCCCACATCCGACTCTGTCAACCCCTCAGTCTCGGACACTCCAAGCACTTTCATCCACTAACAGCATTTTCAGACTTCTTGAACAATGCATACTCTTTTCTTTGTAAACTAGACTGCGCATAACTAATGGCTTCGTATGAGTCTGGACGCCGCCTAGCTTGTCCAATCATCCACCATCAACCTGGCAATGTTCTTGCCCATCAAACTGCTTGTTTCCATCGTACTTATGAAACTCTCGATTCCTGCCGTATACCAGAGCCCTTCGTCCAACTGAAGTTCCTCAAACGTCACTCGTGGATACTCGTATGGATAGCTGTTCCATACTTTTCGGTACATCCAGCTGACATCGTCTTTGCTGATTGCCTTTTCTGCAGGTAGACCCAGGATATTGGCCATGAATGTCTCGTTGAGTGGAGCGGGCGAGAAGATCTTGTACAAGTATTCAAGCTCGTCCTTGCCTCCGCGAGTGTCCATGCTGGGACGCAAGAGCGAGATGCTGAAGAAACCAGGTGATCCCACACCTTTTGGATTGCTGCCGTAGTGTTCGCCAGGGGGNNGGAGAGTGGTCAGGACTACCTGAGGAACCACTTGGTCCAACGATAGATTGAACGTTCGCGGGGAAAGCTTGTGTTTTGACGTGAACAGTGTGACATGCAGCTGTACATAAGGAATGGAGTCTGGTACGTGGCGAGGCTTCGGGTCGAAGTCGATATTTGTGTATTGGTATGGTCCTGCCAGCACAACCTCATCAAAGGTTTGCTGGTTGAATGTTTCTGATGATTCTGTTCCCTTTGTCGATATCATGTACGTAGCATCCTTGAGTTTCTCGACCTTGCCGACTGTGTGGTTGAGATGAACTGTCGCATGTGAGGCTGTAAGCATGTTCGAGAAGATCTGCCAGTTGCCTCCTTCGATTGCTTGTGCTCCGTCGGTCGCCATGCACACCATTGCCTCTAGTCCGTGTATCAGAGGAAGATTCTGTGCGTAATTGACCCGGGTGCTGGCTTGTATAATGTCTTGTGCGAACAGCTTGCCGATGCCATTCTGGTCAAGAAATTGTTCGCCAGTAGAGGCAGTAGCGGTCGTCAAGCCGAGCTCATAGGCAACTTGTGATAGCGACCTCCAAGGGAAATATGGCTCTTCGTACATCTTGAGGAAATTTCCGACGGTGGCCTTCATTAATCTCACAGTCTTTAGAGGTGCAAGACCGTATTTCCAGAAAAGTTTCGCGGTGTCCCACCAGCTTCCACCAGAGAACTGTGTGTACACGAAGTCTCTGCCGTTCCATATACCCAATACTGGACCTTCTGTGCTGACTTCACGAATGCCGGATGTCGAAAGATTGAACTCTTTGGCAGCATCAACGAGGTTGTGGTTTACCTCAACAAAGATGGATGCACCAAGCTCGACCGGATTCTGTTCGTCTCCATATACGCCTACCGTTGTCGAACGACCACCAACGTGGCCGTCACGCTCATAGACTGTGATATTGAGTGAAATTCCTCGCTCCTGGCTGTATTTTCGCAAGAAATATGCTGTTGACGAGCCAGCACTTCCAGCACCNNTAGCAGTGGCATCAGATACAGGCATGTAGCATACTGAGTTGCACTATTTACCTATGATAGCGACATTCTTTGTGATGTTCAAAGTGGCGGCTGAATCGTGTAGAACGACTTGGTCGCGAGAGGCCAGTGCCGATGGCGCGTAAACAAGCCAACCCGCGGCCACAAGAACACGTTGGACCTTCATGCTTTCTCTGATACAACAGGTCCTACAATAGTTCGGTCAGAATGATGTTCGAAGTTACTGAGTGTTTGTGGCTCTGCTAAAGTGTTCGGCAGGGACGTATGCCTCGCATGATGACGCCAAGCATCTGTCTTCCGATTGTTGTTAAAGCACCTGTAGGAGCGACTGCACTGAATTCACCATTAAAGATTGTCAGAACAAGTTCAGAAGTCAAGCTTCCAGATATAACATCAAATTTGCAACATCAAAGATTGCATCTTTGTAGCAAACCTCGACGACAATAGAGGGGTCGAAGTCGGTATAGCAAAGACAGATATTGCTATAGCTAGGAGATACCCAAAGTGATGTTACTGTGACATGATCGAATTTCGGCGATATGTCTAAGCAGATTAGTTCAAGCCGACTAACTCTGTTTCTATAACATAGACTATTGTGTTGTCAAAAGGAGAGAAAAGAATTGGCGGCGGCGGCATTCGAACAGCGCGCCAAGCGCGTGGGTTTCCTTCTTGTTTTCGTCAACAGTCGTCGTCTCGTCAAGGTGGCTATCAAAGATGCACAATGCTAGCAAATTCTAGACAGCACTCGCCGAGAGCTTATGATGGATTACCATGTACAACGTGCGATGGCTCAAGCCATGTCTGCCGCCATGGACACATTCGTGCAAAGTACTGCCATGAAAGTGGACTGGACGCAGCGTCAGAGCGTTGTTGACCGACTTCGCCAATGGATCCGACATCGATTTGTTCCTGCAGTCGGCCTCTCAACACCGAACGAATTGACAGACTGGGAAAACACAGCTCTGGAACGTTTGGCAAAGCAAAGAATTAGACACCTCCTCGATTATGTCAAAGCATGGCCACATTCTACCGGAGCAATACTGGACTTGAGGGAATGTATGCACTCGTCAGAAGTCAAAGTCCTGATAGCGACCTCGTTCACGCGTCAGCTAAGTCTTCGCATGTTACATGCTGGTGTGACAACATCAGAGCTACTTAGCATCTATATCAATGTCATCATGGCGTTCAAAACCCTGGACCCCCGAGGTGTACTTCTGGATAAGGTGGCTGTACCTTTACGTGCCTATCTGAGACATCGTGAAGACACCGTCAGAATCATCGCAGCCAGTTTCCTGGCAGACGTTGGCGAGGGCGATGACTATACCAACAGTTCGGCCGAAGAGATATGCATCGACCTTGCTAGAGAAATCAATCTCTCGGAGGGCCAAGCGCTGCACGTAGATCACAAAGGTCTGGATTGGGACGACATGGAATGGATGCCGGATCCCATCGATGCAGGACCTGGTGAGTTGTCTTACTTTGGGAAACAGCAGCGTGCTAACCATCTTATCTACNNAGACTACAAGAAATCCAAAAGCGAGGATGTCATGTCGTTTATGCTTACTCTCTTCGAGCAAGCTGATTTTATCAAAGAAGTCCAATCGCTACTGGGAGAACGATTACTGAGTGTGGGCTACGACGATACCGAACTCGAGAAGGAGGTTAGTATTCGATCGGAAATGCTCTTGTGTGTAGCCTTGTACTTACTCGACTCACAGATTCGTCTCGTCGAGCTCTTCAAGACAAGGTTCGGCGCCGATCGTTTGCAGTCATGCGAGGTCATGTTACGCGACATACAAGACTCGAGACGCATCAACAATACCCTTCGTCCAAAGGACAACTTTCCAACGGCCCAGGAAGTGCATGCTGCCATCCCTGACTCTGGTATCAAAAGTCAGGCGCTCATTGGCAAGTTCAACACACGTGTGCCACGGACAGACTTGGCTGGCCACAAGTTTATCGCTTTGATCAAATCCGTGGCCGTTGCAGAACAAGGCTCAGACATACTCTATCCATCACCCGACCTACCGATGTTTGAGTCTACTGTCAATGCCGAGTTATCTGCAGCCTTTCACACTCAAATTCTGTCTTCGTTCTTTTGGCCGAGTCTTCGGGAAGATGATTTTGCTGTGCCCGCCCCTATCTCCACCCTGCAGAAGAACTTCGAGCAAGACTTTGAACGTATCAAGAACTTACGCAAGTTACACTGGCTATCTGCGCTTGGAAAGGCCACGGTTGAGCTCGAGCTGGAGGATCGCACTGTGAAGCTCGAAGGAGTTCAGACGTGGCAAGCGAGTGTCATTTATGCATTCCAAGATGATGACCAAGACATGCCAGCATCAAAAACAGTACAACAATTGGGAGAGTCGCTCCAGATGGATGAGGTGCTTGTACGCAACGCGCTTGCATTCTGGAAGGGCCATCAAGTCCTAGTCGAGGACGAGCCGGACGTCTTCACTGTCCTTGAGCAGCTTCCATCCGCCGACCAAAAGTCTACCGTTGGCACTTCAGCACCCATACAGGCCGACACCGTCATCTCAGCAGTCAAGTCTCAAGATGCTGTGCTCCAAGACAACAAGCCAATGTACGAGATGTTCATGATGGGTATGCTTACGAACGGAGGTGCCATGGATGCGGCACGTATTACGATGATGATGAAGATGGTCGTCCCTGGCGGCTACAACTTTGGTGAGGACGAGACAAGATGGTTGCTTTCTGGCTTGGAGGAGCAGGGCAAGGTAGTCGTCAATGGCAGCAGCTACTCGGTGAAGAAATGAAAAGGATGCTCATGGAGCGGCATTGTCAAAGGTTTCACAGTGCGACTCGAGCATGAGATTGGCATAATTAGTTCTACTTTACAAGTCTCACCATCATCACAATTCAAGCAGACATCAAGTAGCAAAACAAAGACATATTTGATAGTTTCTGTATATGTCGACATTAGATACCAACCTGCCCCGAAGAGAAACAACAAAACACCGCAGAAGAGGAACCACTGCAAGACTGCAGTGATCAAGAATTGAAGAGAAGGAAAACTGCACAACACCGAAGACAAAAGAGGAAGAAGAAATCGTCTAACCATTCTTGCATCAGATCATCGCCATGTATGCTCTATCATCTCCGACCATGCTCTTCAGTCGGTCATCATCTAAGCCTTGCCGTTTCTCTTGTATTCACCACGGAAGCCTCCATAGCCGCCGCCATAGCCATAACCACCATCACCCCAAGAACCGTAGAAGGGAGCAGTAGGATAGGTGGGTGGGGTAGAAGAGGGTGAGCCAGTAATAGCGCCACCCTCCGAGGTTCCAGCAGTGGAGCTAACGATGCTTGTAAGGAAGGAAGACAACTGCGTGGATGCGGTGCTAGTGGAGAAAGGTACACTTCTGGAGGGAATGGCGGTACCGCTGCGGTTGCCACCAGTAGATGAAGCAGAGAAACGAGTAGAGGCCGTGGAGTTCAAGCCAGTGGCGGGGCTGTCAGGCGAAGAGGCTGGAGGTAAGCTCGAGACTCCGGTGCCGATGGGAGAAACCAGAGTGCCATTGCGGCCACCGGAAGAGGACGATGCAGAGAATGTGGAAGAAGGTCCAGTTGTCAATGGGATGGTGTGGGTGGTAAGCAGCGTAAGAGTGAGCGAGGAGTTGAGGTGGATGGTAACGTGGGTAGTGCCAGCTGAAGTCGAGTTGGACACAGATGCCGTGATGGGCGAGTTGGGCGAGCTCGAAGGCGTGAAGCCACCATAGACTCCGGTACCAGGAATGAATGGGACGTAGGGAGAGAAGGTGAAGGAAGCACCTGAAGATGTTCTGTTGCCGCCTACGGAGAACCCACCAGTGCCCACAGAGTTTGAGGTTGCGGTGCCAGGCAGCAGAGTGCTGTTGACAGCTGTTACCGGTGAGTCTGGTGACGAAGCAGGAGGCGTCACAGTGGTGATCAAGGTGACGGTGCCAGTCACGAATGAAGAGATGGTGGTTACGTTGGCGCTAAAAACCGACGTGGCTGAAGCAACAGACGTCATGTTGGAGGATGACTCAGGGCCTGGTGCAGGCAGGAAGACCGTAGTGACCACAGTGGTGACTGCAGTGGTAGCAGAGTAGATGGTAGTGACTGATTCTGCAGGAGAGGCTGTGGTGTTTGGGAACAGGAGTGAGGTTGAGCCCAATGAAGTGGAGGAGGCAGAACCGTTTCTTCCCTCGTCAGAGGATGAGGGGACAAAGGCAGTGCCGCTCGATGACAGCGATCCACTTCTACCCTCGTCGGAAGAAGAGGAGATGAAAACAGATGAGACTCCAGTCCCAGTGGGACCGACAATTACAGAGCTGACGTTGAAGGTCGGGAAGGGTGCGGGTGCTCCGTAAGAAGGTCCAGGGAGAGGGAACGGTCCAGGGAATGAGCCTGAAGGCAAGCCTGTTGGACGAGGTACACCGGTAGGGAAGCTGCCATATGGGAATGGTTCATAGCAATCCGAGGAAGGCGATGGGTTGGCCAAAGCGACCGCAAAAGCATAAGGTAGGAAGGCAAGAGTTCTGAACATCTTGAACGATTGGGCGGGAGATGAACGAAAGACTGTCGATTTGGTGCTGGATGGTTCTTACGAATGAGTGAGTGGTGACCTACTTATACATGAGCGCATGCTCGAGAGGTTGTATATCGCGAGGGCAAGCAGTGGCGACACACCTTCCCGTGGGCTTGCTTCCTTGCCTGGCCAATGTCTTTAGAAACAATGGTGTAGGAAAGTTCAACAGTCAAAGCAGGTTCCCTTTCTTCAGAGTGGCCCAGATTTTCCGACCTGCAGCCTACCTGTGCTGATTGCTGTTTGCTGTGTCATGTCAGGGCCGCCCAGGTCAGCGGCGTCGATGGGATCCTTGCTGGCGAACCATAAGATTGGCCGAACAAGAGATTGTCATGCATGTAAAAGATCAATCGAGGATGTCGTGTAACTGAAAGGAAGTAGGAAGTGGCAGGAAGGGGTGGAGATTGTACAAATACTGGGGTTACACAGAGTAGCCTGACGCAGGAACAAGGATCGGCTGCATACATGGTGCAGGTGTCGTTTGCCATTTGTGTAATCCTGCACGGAAAACAGGTCGACTTGGCTTGACCAGAAAGCAGACGAGTGTTTCTCCTTCGTTCAACAACACGGCTTGAGCTGCAAAGGGTATGTGCAAGGTCTGGGTGGGTGCAGGAACAATTACGTTTGTGGTTATGTACAGAGAAGCCCGCTTCACTCTTCATCATTATCGTCATCAAAGGGGCTTCTATCGCCGTTCTGAGCACTGGCAGGCGAGACACGCAACAGGACAGTCTCCTTTGATTGTTGCTGCTGCAGCCTCTTCCGCCTTCGTGGAGCGGGAACCATGGGCTTTTCCTTCTCAACTTTGGCAGTGACCTCGAGGACACTCAGACTACTCTCGCCCGCCTCAGCCAGGTTCATTCCCAGCAAGCGTCTGGCTACATGAGCATCCGTAAGAGGGCTGGTTGGATCCTCGTGGTCCGACTCGTCTCTTATCCAAGCGACTTGTTTGCAACGTGAGACGAGGCGTACAACGGTCTCATCGACAGGAGCGAGGTGAAACGAGGATCTGTTGACCAGCAAGCAGAAAAGTTTGCGCAGTTCTTCACGCTTGTAATGCGCATTGTCGTGAGCCAACTGGGTGTTTTTCAACAGCGGACACAAGACACGCAGGTAGGTATGACGGAGGGCGCGCTGGCCACCACCGTCCCGAGGCAGGTCGGTGTTGTCATCATCGTCGGAGCCGGGGTCGAGATCGAGGAGGTTGCGGATAATGACGTCGACAAGCACATGCAAGTCGTTTGTGTAGAAATACTCGAAGGTGGAAGAGGTGGTGAACAAGAGATAGAGAAGCTTGAGAATCAGCAGTTGAGGACCAAGAGCCGACTCGCGATTCAAGAGCAGGATGAGGTTCTCGCCAAAGGTGCGATAGGCAGGGCCGTGATTGGAGAGAACCTTGATGATGCGGTTGGTCAGGGTGGGATGCGACTCGGGAGAAACGGCGTAGCACATGTATTGCTCGTTGAGTATGAGCAAGACACGGATTGTGGGATAGTGATAGGGGTCGTTGGCGTCGTTGGACAGCTCCTCGATGAGCTCGAACAGGTAGATGACAAAGGCGTCGTCGACGGTGGCNNTGTGATGGTGTGGATTAGTATGGACCGAGACACAGGGGCGGCAAGCAGAGCGAGGCGACTCACCGAGGTCGTCGAGGGACAGGCGCTGTATGCGGGACATGTCGCAGAGCAGCTCGAGCAGCAGGCGGTGCAGGCCGGTGTTGTCGTCCTTGTTGCCCTTGATCAGGTCGAGCAGACGGGCAAAGGCGCCCTCGATCTGCAGCATCTCAAAGACGGTCTCATCGCTGCGGCCGTCGTAGAGCAGCACGGCCGTGACAATGTGCAGTACTGGGGCATGTTCCTCCTACAGCGGGCTGTCAACAGAGAGGCTCCAAGGCACGTGTTGGGACGGGATGGGGTGGAGGCGTACCTGCAGCAGGCAGTAGACGAACTGGCGGCGCACGTAGTCCTTGTTGTGCTGGAAGAGCGGCGAGTCGATCAGGCGGTAGCAGCAGCGGGCAATGTCGTACTCGGTGTCGAGGAAGCCGTCGGTCGAGGCGTCGAGGAAGGCGCGCAGACTGTCGTCAATCTGCTCGTGCGTGTGGCATTGCACGTCGACGAGCGTGTGCAGGCGCTGCCAGAACTCGCTCTCGTCGTCGGCAGCGGGTCCCATCTTCTGGCTGGCTTCCAATCGCCCAGCAGAAGCCTCCGGCTATCCAAGACTCATCACGGTGCTGGAGACGTGTGTGATTGATTCTACATGCCCAAGCTTGCGACAGAGTCCCGTCCGCCGCCCCCATGTCCTCCACCTCCGCCGCCCCGCTCCGCCAACCCAGAAGTCACCAGATTTCTCGTCATTGCAATCCTTCGACGACCACCCTCGTCACCTCCTCTTCTTTCCTGCTTTTTCTCCTTCTCCTACCTTCGTCTCCTTCACCTTGTCACTTTCACCGCCTACGCTTTGCTCTCCCATCGCCATCTTGTTCTTTGCAATGACTTTCTCCATCGTGACTCTACACGGGCCGTCATGTGCTTGTTATCTGATTCGTGACATTCGTTAATCGTATCTAATCTTGTTCTAATCCTCCCAAACGCCAGAACTCATGGACCTCTGTTGACCATCCAATCTCTCCTCATGTAATGGAATCTACTCCAAACTCCCTCCATCTCGAAAACTAAGTTACAGCAACAGCAACAGCCTCCCACCCTCTCCAGGGCCATTACACCTTTTCGTCACTGTCACTGCTCATCTCGTTTCTGCGTTTGAAAAACACTGCTCCTGCCATGAAGCCTGCACTCAGAAGCAGACACATGCCGCTCCAGATCTGCACTCCGAGATAAGTCTTGTATTCCGTAACCAGGTGCCCAGAAATCACTGGTCCGACCAGGGCAAATGGTGCTGCCGCTGTGTACATCATGCCTACCCAATGTCCAAGCTTGGCCTGTCTTTCTGGCTTCTCTCCGAGGATGGCCGCCATTGATGCTGAAGGTAGTCCGATCACAGCGCCGGAGAAGGCTCCAAACAGGATGGCAAAAACTAAAGCCGGTGCGAGTGTCTTGGCGAACGTCCATAGGAACAAGCAAAGAATGCTGGACACAATCGTCACTGTCATGTGAACGTTCACCGCTCCGAATTTGTCACAAAGCCAAGCAGAGCTGAGTCGGCCAAAGGTACTGCAGCCATTCATGATGCTCAACAGCCAGTATGTCGACAGAGCCATCCGGTCTCCTGGAGGCGAGGTACCTTTGTAGGCGATTCCATTGGTTGCGGCCCACTCTTCCAGGCTGAAGAATACGCAGTAGAATCCGAGGAAGAGAGCACAGATTGATGCCGTGAAGCAGCAGAATGCACCATCACGGAATGCTGATGTATCGACCCATGTTCTCTTTGACATCCACTTCTTGGGTGATCTGAAGGGATGCGCGGGGTTTGGTCGGGCCAGTAGTACTGCCGCGAAGCTTGAAACGGATAGCACGATAGTGACATATCGTACTGCATTGTTGAAACCTTGCGATGTGATGAGGAAGCGAAGCATTACCGGCAGGGTAAGTCCAGNCTTAGAGACAGTCAGCTTTGCTTGTCATCGACCAGGATGGAAGAATCACTTACCAATACTGGCACCGGAGGCTACGACGCCCAGAGCAAAGCCCTTTCNTCTTGTGGAACCACGTTGCTGCAACTTTGAGATGTTAGTGTTGGGTCCAGGTAAGTAGGAACTATGGAAGCATACTTTGAGAACTGATAAGAGTCGTCAGCATCGTTGTCTTGTGTTGCGGTTCATATGAACATACCTTGACACGAAGAAGCAGGACATGCCCAGTCCAGTCACCAGACCTTGTGTCAACCATGTCAAACCGTAGTTGCCTTGGTCTAGGCCTCCATTACCGTTAGAAATGCTCAGCATGAACATGCCTATGGTGACGATGACTGAACCGGCCATCAGCAGTTCACGGCTATGGTTTGCGTCCAGCAGGCGGCCGACGATGAAGGAGAAGAAGAGAATGACAAAGCATTGTGTTGAGCCGATCAAGTTGCTTAACATCAGATCGTCACCGCGGAAGAGCGACTCGGAGTAGTAGGAAGCGAATGTCCCGCTGTNGGATGTTAGAACGATTTGGAGGTGAAAATGGACGAACACAACTTACTAGGCATTCACTAAGCCCCACGACGTATACATGAGTAAGAAGCATCCCTAGAGGCTGTTAGCGATGTCTTACTGCTAACCACGAAAACTTTCAGTGACATACAAACAAAGATGTGTACGGACGCCATCCTGTGGGCCAATCTCTCTCGACATCTTCCGGAGTTGGCGACGAAGATAAGACAGGAAGCGAGTCTAACGTTGATGGCTGGTACAGCTCCTTCTCAGAAGAATTGGATTCTGTCCTTCGCCTGTCAGAATGGGCGTTTTCGGTCGAGTGTGCCATGTTCTCAACAAGCAGGGAGTCTTGATGTGTCACACAAGCAGAAGAACGATGGAAAGAAGAAGATTGCTTGGATCTCGTCGACGAAGAACTGTCTAAGATGGCCGAGCGAGTTGCTGGATGATATCAGAATCCTTCGAGAGACATGGCCTCCTTTATACACGTTCAACAACTCCGGAACCCACACCCATGCACTGCCATTTGCGTGAGCACGCTTGCTTGCACATCAGGACGCGTCAGGACCAGCGAGACGATTGTGATCGTCCATATCTCTTATGCGGGCCAAGGCCTCGAATGTAACAGCCAAGAGCAAGCCATCCCGTCGACAAGCATCAAGAAGAACCAGTCGAGTCGGCCCAAGATTGGATGCCCCGTTANNGGTATCAGTATTAAAGACAATCGCCAAGCAGGGCACAAAAGCTACAGACCGCTCACANGGTAAAAACGCTGGGAAAAACAACTCTGTCTGCAATGTCAAGGCTTGGCTCTTCTGGTAGGCATTCATCGGAATGTGGATTGGCATGAGCAGCGTCCAACCACGATAAGAGCATGGAACATGCCTGGGTCCGATCGAAGAGTGTTTGGCAGTAAGTTTGTCCGGTGATGCGTCGTTATGAGACAAGACCTCCACAAGTCTGCAAAGGTGCAATCCGGGGAAGAAGGTGAGTGGGTCTGCCGGTCTGGAGTATGGAGAGATGGGGGCTGAGTGTTTGTGAGAGGCTTGGCGGCCAGTGGTTGAGCACCTGCTTGCTGCGGACGTGGAGAGAGGATATACACATTTGCATACTTCTTGGGTAGTGCATGATGCTTGGAGATCCATTGTGCAGCCGGTGGTGCAAGCTCCTACGAGGCGAGCGAGAACAAAATGCGTAGAGAAGCTTTGTGTTCCCTCTCGACCAAGTCCGGACACTTTGCAACTTGCTTGAATTTGGGGGCCTGGGCAGTAATGCTGGGGTCACGACTTTAGCTTTAGATATGATTGCAAATGCCGCTATGGCAGAGGCGCTTTGACAGGAGATAAGTGTTGATCAAATATTGGCATGTCGTCGTTACGGGCGTACAAGAGTACCAAGATGCCAATGCCAGACGGTAGAAAGACAAGCAGATGTTCGAGCGTCAGAAGGGCTCACGGACTCATGCAAGATAAGGCATTGAAAACGTTTACCCGACGGGTGGCTGTGCGGAGTTTTGGGTAACCACCTTAACGACACCGCAGGGTTCCATGACGGTCGACAAAAAGGCCAAGACCAAGGAGGTAGGTCAATCACCGTGATGGACACCTGTGCATACCCCCAATAGTCCGAAGGGGGGCTTAGATTGAGAACGACGATCTCACAAGCAATAATCAGATGTGACTGCAAGAGTGCTAAGAGGCTGTGCATTGCCTCTCTTGGTATGCTGAGCTTTGACGTTTCCGTCTTGCTGAGAGACACGTTTGTTTGCAGATCAAGGTCATGCCCATGGAGAGCATGCGAAGTAGTTATCTGGTCTCGATATGCTGCTGTAATCTGCATGTCTCAGAGACTCAAGGTGACAGTAATATTTAGTAAGGCAGGTGATTTGAGATAGGAGTACTCTAGCCTGCGTCTTGCTCTCACGAGACAAGACGCTCGGAGTATCGGGCCAATCTCACTAAACGCCGGCCAACCCTGTGCGCCTGATCGCGTCACTCTCCGTTGCCTCCTCGTCGTCGTCGTCGTCTTCGTCCTCCTATTCTCGTACCTTCGACCAACTCGTCCTTGAACTCCAACTCGTTACTTGTGTGCTTTCCTCATCGCCGTCCGCCACTGACCACCTTCTTGTCTCCTCACACATTCAATCACCGTTTCAGCCATCCACTCGTCATCCCAGCCATGGTCATGATGCGCTCTAACAGCATCTCATCCATCTCGTCTCTGTCATCGCGCTGCTCGTCAGCGGAGCCCGAGTCCACGATGCAAATCTTCATCAAGAACATTGCCGGCGACAGTAAGTACCCTGGACGGCATACCGTCAGCGCACGTGCTTACCCTCTACAGCCNTTCGCCCTCGAGATACCCGAATCGACTTCGATAGCAACACTCTCATCTCTTCTCGCCATCCGCACGAATCTTCCCGCTCAAGACATGCGCCTGGTATTTGCTGGCAAGCATCTTGATCTGTCATCGAACACATTGTCGGACTACAACATTGGCCGAGAAAGCACACTCCACTTGGCACTCCCATTGCGAGGCGGAGCGCCCAAGAAGATCCGCTGCCAGTTCAAAGACTGCAAGGACGCGGCTCAGCGTATCGTCGGAGACTGCGGCTTCTGCAATGGCCACTTCTGTGGTAAGCACCGTATGCTCGAGAGTCATGCATGCACTGGACTCGAGACTTGCAAGGAGGAAGAGAAGCAGCGAAACCGCGAGCGTCTCGAGAAGGAGAGAACTGTTGCCATCAAGGGTATTTAAGGACATGACAACAAGGATTTGCTAGGCATGATTGTGAAGTTATGGAATCAACGGGACAGCGGGAGTAAGGGAAAGGGGAGTTTTGCATTTCATTGCCATGCATGTCGCTGGCTGAGCATTTTGCTTTGAGAGACTATACATATCCGGGGACGGTCTGGCTAATAGGGGAGACAATACACAGCGAGGCTTATGCAAAGCCAGCATCTTATCCAAACATGGTCCTCGGTCATGCTGAAGTGCCTTCAGAGTCTTGTCGAGTGATGTGGGCTAGGAGTCGACAGCGCATGATGTTGATGGACTTGGCAGGCAGAGAGCGTGCAGACTTGATTGGCGGTCATATGCAGACTCAAACATCACACGGCGCTACTGCAAGACGGTCGCAGGTCAGACGGGCACAAGCAGGGTGGGCATCTGGCTTGCCGCAGAGCAGAGCAAGTCGCAAGATGGCGGACTGCGTACGGAAGTATAGCTGGTGCAGGCACGAGAAGGGTGGCAGTATGACTTGTCGACTGCTCAGGAGTGGCTGGCTGCCCGGTCTCTTTGATGGACTCGGCCAAGCTGTGGCTTTGTCAACGTCATTCATCATGGCCGTGCGCAGCGTCTTTAGGCAAGCCCCACGATCAAGAGTTGAGATTGGGGACATCCACATCCTTGACCGACAGACGCATAGCAAAACACTTGTAACCCTTTCTGCCTTGTGTACTTCGACATCGCACCAAAACCATGGCTTCGTCATCCTCAGGTCTCTCCGCCCCGGCTTCCGAGCAGTCGTCCAGAGCATCCACCCCCGGCCCCGCCGCTGCCATGGGCCAGGGCGAGAAGACGCCCGACGACAGCAGCAAACTCAAAACATTTGTCGGCATCCTGAAGAAGTGAGACGATACCGTCCTCTATGCCTCACTCTCTGCTGTTCACTGACACCTTCTCAGGTTCATCGGTGTTTCTGACATTGCCGCTGTTCGCTTCTCCCTGCCCGCCCAGCTGCTTGAGCCCATCCCCAACCTCGGTACGACTCTCTATGCCTTCAACAACAACACCTCTAACCACGTAACTGCGCANGAGTACTGGCATTACCTGGACAGACCCGACATCTTTGCCAGCATCGGCGACTCGGACGATGAACTTGGCCGTCTGCTTGCCTGCTTGCGCTTCTGGTTTACCAAGGACCTGAAGTACGTCAAGGGCAAGCCTTGCAAACCATACAACTCGACTCTCGGAGAGTTCTTCAGAGTACGTTATGCGCCTCTATCACATATCATGCCCTGTCTCTGATGTCTCTGTTCANNGTGTCAATGGGAGACCGAAGACAACGTGCCCGTTCTCCAAGGCAACAAGGTCAAGTCCGACTCTGCTGGCAAGCCTGTCAAGGTTTCCTACCTCACCGAGCAGACCTCGCATCATCCCCCCGTCTCCGCCTACTACGTCGACTGCCCACAGAAGGGCATTTCTGCATGCGGTTTCGACCAGATCAGTGCAAAGTTCACCGGCACCAGCATCCGTGTCACCCCCGGCATCTACAATGAAGGCATCTATGTCACTCTGCACAACTGGGGTAACGAGACATATCACCTCACTCATCCCGCTGCATACCTAGGTGGCTTCTTGCGAGGTAGTTTACTCCAACTAATATTATCTAATGCCAAACGCTGACACTTTACCNNAGGCAACCTCAACGTCAGCGTCGCCGATACTTGCTTTGTAACATGCAAGAAGACCGGCATCAAGGTCATTCTTCAGTACCTCGAAGAAGGATGGCTAGGCAAGACTCAGAATAAGGTCGAAGGTGTTGTCTACAAGTGTGACGTTGACAACGACAACATCGCCAGGATCAAGGACGTCCCCGAAAAGGCCATCATCGGCCGCATCGAGGGTGCCTGGCACGACAAGGTCTACTTCACCAGAGGCTCTGGACCCGCCTCAAAGAACCCTGACAAGGTTCTCCTCATCGATGTCAACCCGCTGTTCCCCGTGCAAAAGATTGTCCCTCCTGCCGAGCAACAGTTGCCCAACGAGTCGCGCAAGTTCTGGAACAACGTCACCGAAGCCATTCTCAGCAAGCAATATTCCAGAGCAACGACAGAGAAACAGGAGCTTGAGGAGCGTCAACGTCAAAAAGCGGCTGATAGGAAGGCCAGAAATGCCGAATGGTCTCCTCGCTTCTTCACTGGTGCCACCACTCCAGCCGGCATCCCCGAGCTCACTGAAGAGGGCAAGAAGGTCCTCATCGGTCTGCAAAACGGTGACTACCACCTCGAAGAGAGCAAGGAGACCGGTGCATAAGCTTGACACCACATTTTACATACACACCTCTGAGGACCCTACTAGACCACTTTTCTTGGAATTGCACATGCGCGGGGCGTTCTAGGCGTTTCGTGCTTGTCTTCAGCTAACGACATGAATATATGCATTTGAAGTCACCGTCAATTTGTCATAGCAGTAACTGCATTTCCTTCACTCGCCATCGCCTTCTGCTTCGAGTCTATGCAACACCTTGCCCACAGCAACAAACAAATGTGCTCAGTTGAGAAGCAATCCTCGCATATTCACTATACATTTCTCCATTATCGTGGAAGAGTCGGTCCGAGTAATAAAAAGTAAGCGACCCGCTATGTATGTTATAGCTATTTGGTGGCTTAGAATGGACAAACATAGTAGCCAATGCCTAATATTCGCTATACCGTTAATCCTAAGTAAGAAAATACATCTAGATAGTAAGTAATGTCTTTTTGATTACAAAGCATTCCCTTCCACATCCTACTTTAGCCTTCTAAGCTCTGTCTGCTATCTCTCAACTTGTTTCAAAGGCAGTCAGACGTTACATCATCAATACTGCTGCGATCAAGTAGAAACGATATCGATCGATCTGCCATTGCACTGCGAGAGGCGCGGGAGCTACGAGAGCTCTCTACGGCTTGCATCGAGTTAGCGCCGTTCCAAAATCACGTGTTTAGTTGATGTGGCCAGGCTACCTATTTTATTGGTCGTGGGAAGCTGCCATCGAATATGGTAATGACAAGAGTTCTAGTCAAAACCGTTGATGCCATATCCAGTATCTATGGCAACGTCCGTTGATATTGCTATGGTTTGGTGAATAGAGACTGAAATGAGACAGGTTATTTGGAGCTGTGATATGCTTTACTGTTGTTGACTGTATAGGACTAAATTCAATTCTATAGCAATCAAACTTTACAAAGATACATATCCCCAATTAAATGTGAAGATAGTAGAGCAATAGCTAACATGGTGGTAGAGTTGTGGTGTGTTTTGTTGTTGTGAATTGTATACATATGAATGTGGGCCAGGCTTCGATTAGGGATCTCTGTGTCTCTACTGTACCTTCGTGTTGGTTCATCAATCTGTGTGGATGGAAATAATGCTTTGACTTGCCGCAAGCATAGGGAATTAGTAAAGATTCATATGAAGGAGGAAGGAAGCTGGCAAGAACTTGTATCAATTCGCGATTTTGTCTATACGGGAGGGATATTGAGAAGATGTTTGTTTGTGACCGAAACACAACTGTCCATTTTTGTAGATTGCAATACTACTCCAAGCTGTATCTGAAATTACCAATCCTTCTTGACCAACAAGACTTCGGTGCCGTTAAAGCGAATGGTCGTCGTATACATTGCTCTTACTCTGCCATACGATGCTTGAACTCGGGCGTGAAAGACCATTCCAAAAGTCCCGTCCTCCATGTCGGTAAGACCAATAGATCCTGGTGCGGTTAAGTTGAAGTCGCCAGTCTTTAACAAAGGCTTTTNTGCTCTTTCGTAGGGGCCGCGGACGTCTTTCGCAAAAGCGTACTTTACGTCGTAAGAAGGATCTCGCGTGCATCCGGAAGAGAAGAAGAGGAAGTAGGTTCCTTCTGTGCTTCTAGCGATGACTGGCGCTTCTACGAGGGGGCCATCTTCTTCTATGCGGTCGAGAATGGTGATATCCTGACCATCTGGTGTGACTCCATCTGCCAACATCTTCTGCAGCTTGATCGGGGTTGGTGCTTGAGGAGCCTTCATGTTGCCACAGGCCCCTCCGTTCCCGACGTTGTTGCCATCAACCTTGTAAGTTACAAAGAACGATCCGTCAGTGTCAATGAAAGGTGACGGATCGATAGCGCCGCCTTCTTCGACTGGGCAAGCAATGGTTGCGTTCAGTGGCAGATATGGACCAGCCGGTGAGGATGACTCTGAGAGTGCGGCTCCAACGCAATGCGAAGATCGCGTTGCATTCTCTATCGCGGCAGAATAGTACAGGATGAACTTGCCATCGCTGGGTCTTTTGATGACAGCCGGAGCCCACACATTAGCTTTCGGGTTCATGTTTTCCGTGAGTCCGCGCCTGCACCATTCGCCTAGTTGTGGAAGCGGGTCGTGGGTATGGTTCATCAGAGTCCAGTTCTTAAAATCTGGGCTTGTTGCCATCTGTACATTGCTCTTGCCGAGGGCGATAGCAGCTGTATCGTTTGATTGTGCAAGGATCCNCTGAACATGTCAGCTTCCTTTCCTTGGAATCGCACAGTGCTAAAGAGATGTTTGCTTACCTGCTGCATTGGTTGTGGCGAATGCGTAGAACAAGTCTTCATGCTTGACCACTACTGGGTCCGCAAAGTTGGCAAAGATTGCTTCATGGACAGGAGACCGACGCAGTTCTTGGTCTACTCTCTTATGTCGTACAAGAATGGTGGCTAGTACCGCACATAACACGGCTACTATGATTAGAGAAATGAGTGCCGCCAGCGTGATAAATCCTCGAGATAGAAATGAGAAACGACGTATTGGCTCTGCATCACTCCCACCATCTCCAGCAACAGCACCAGACAGTGGGATGCTTTTGCAAAAATATCGTTCAAAGAAAGATAGCGGTACTGGTTGTGGCTGCTCGTCCTCGGACTCCTTTTCAGTGACCATCGCCAGGGCTTCCTTCTTCTGCGACTCGATGATGTGGGGAGGTAACGAGCGCTTTCGAAATTCGGTAAAGGCTGGCGAGGCTGGCGAGCTTTCGCTCGCTAACTTGGGCGTATGCATACTGTTGTTGCTGCAAGGGGTTGTTCTGCAATGACCAGAAATTTGAAACGCTTGTATTAACGCTTGCTCGATGCCTGACGTTGATGGGGCAGTGCAATCAAGAACTTGACTACCTGTGCCTGAGTTGTGAAATGGGACAATACAGCGAGAGAGCAAGAAACACGAAGGCAGATAGCAATATTCAAGTGCGTGGCAATGGTAGAAATGTGATCATATCCAGCAGGCAGAAATAGAGGGTGTCAGTAGCAAAACACGTGGGGAAGAGCATGGGGTGAAAGGTTCCGAGAAGGCCTGGGCAACCGTTCTAGACCTCGGTGCCTCTATCCTCAACAAAAATTGTGGTTGCAGTTCGATAAGAAATGACTTGTGAGATACACCTACTCAAAGACGAGCAAAGATGTGAACTTGCACACATAAGTCCTATGCTTGTCCCTTGCCCAGATTTGGTCGTTTCATACAAGCCTTGGAATGTGTGGCAGCTCATCGTGCTCCACTCTCGCTGATGGTAGCACCCTGTCTATACTGCATGCGTCTCATGAAAGTCCACACGAGTGTCCGCGGTGCATTGTGAGGGGTGACAGTAGTCCAAATGGGTCATGGAAGGTACTCTGAGGATCGTTAGTGGGTAAATAAGTGTGTTCGTCGCCAGGCGTAGCACTTTCCCCTGTCAGCGTTGCAGACCGGATACTCACTCGGGAACGGGGCTCTTTACGTACGCCTTTACGTAGAATGCCAACACTCATGCGGAAAAAAAGTCGATCCGGAGAATAACTACTGCAACTGCCGAAGTAGGTATGACCGCTAGAACTGTTGATTATGTTAATTGACACGCACATATCATCGATATCGATGTGTAGGGATGGATCATGGCAGCAGCAACATGCACAAGCTTTGACTAAAAGCTTATTCGAGTCTAGCAGCGCAGATCGTTTCCGGGATCTCGCAGTTGAACAAGTGCTTGGGTGGCTATTATTGTAATCGTCGAGCAATGGCAGGCACACATACATCTTTCGATCTAGTCATCATAGTTGGAAGCTGAAGCCCGAGAGCATCTCTGAGTTTTGTGGATCGAATCCGACGCAAGGAAGCCCTCGAGCCATCATCAAGGTCAGGGCCTGTTTCGGTCCCCAGATATGTGACGTCGGCGGGGTCGAGAACAGGTTTCCTGACGACGCAACACCGTATATAAACAGTGAGGAAGACGCAAGCTACATCTTCACTACAACACACATCACAATCAAACACTTTAACACCAACACAATCCTAATTCAATCATCATGTCTGCACCCCAGCAAGGAAACATGGCCGGCGGCAAGGAGGACTACGTCGACAAGGTTGGTGCGCTCATGTCTGCCATGTATACCCCCAGCTCACACTCACAACAGGGCCTCGACTCTCTCGAGAAGAAGCAGGGTCAGGACCCCAACAAGCTTCGCTCCGTCAACGAGAAGGTCACCGACACTGCTCGCGGCATGTTCGAGAAGGCCACTGGTACGTCGCAAGAACTTCCAGACCAGTATACATCAGTGCTTACCTATCATCTTAGGCAAGAACGTTTCCGACAAGGTCTCGAACTAGATACCCGATCTCCTCTTTCCCTAAGGATGATTCAGTGCCAATGCACATGATGCTACGAAAACCATAACAGTTTAATGACAACATTTCACTCCCAAACCTATACACATCAATGCTGTGACGGTCGATCGCTGTGACATATGTTCGAATGTGCTTGTAAGCGTATTCTGATTTGCGTAAAGCCGTTCCTTGATAGTTTCTATTGTACGGCTCATTGCTATATACAGCAGCCGACATATTAATATAACCTCCCATCTCTCAATTTTGACTCAACCTCTCCTAGCATCAAAGGCAACCAATAGCATCCACCAAGAAATTCAAGACCAGAAAAAATCGCAAGGAGACCGCCTGGGTATAAACATTCGGAAGATCCGTTGGCGCCAGTCATCTCAAAAAGACAAAGAAAGAAAAAAAAAGAATCAAAACATCATAGCATGGCTTTCCTTCTCCATTATGTGCAAAAACCTTGATCCCTAACTCGCCGTAATGCTTTCAGGCGGACTCATCATGGCATTCTTTCCTTCGTGATCTTTTTCCGGTTCTGGATCCTTGTCTTTGGCTCCTGGCAACGCCAGTTTTATAGGCCCGATCGGTTTCACAAGTTTACTGTCGTCCTTGTTCTCCTCAAGCTTTCTGCGCTTCTTCGCAGCTTGTTGCTGCTCCCGAATGGGTCGCTTTCTTGGACTGCTGATCTTTCCAGTAGGTGGCAGACGAGGTCGAGGGAAGCGCTGCTTGGTTGGCAAATCCTCGTCGTCAACCAAAGGTCGTCCTTGGTTAGCCGCAAGTTTGGTTGCGAAGAAGTCTTGAACCAATCCGATCTGAGAAGGCAAGTTGTCTGTCGAAATCGGATCGTAAGGAGTAGGTACAGAGAACACGATACCAGATGAAGTGATCAAACTGGTATGGTTGGCCTGGTAAGCGCTGTGCATGCGGTTCTGTAGTAGATGCAAGGGCACGCTGAGACTCTCCAGACCAAACTCGTCGGCTAGACCAAGTTCTTTGAAGCCGAAGAAATCCTCATCGACATCGGCAGCAAAGTCACCACTAGTGAACTGATCGCTGCCATCGTTGAATGCACCAACGCCATCTGCACCGACACTATCGCCCAAAGCAGGTCNGCTGCATGGATTAGTATCTTTATCAGTAGAATGTCGACAGAGACTCACAAGTAGGTCGGCGAGATGCGCCTTCATGCGTTCATGCACTACACCCAATTTCGATCCCAATCTTTCGACATCGTCCTTGACGTAAGTTTCGAGGGATTCCAAATCCAGGCCGTTCTTGTGAAGACTGTGAAGGACCTGCTCTTCGGCACCGAAACTGTGAGTCTCAAGCTCTTCTTTGGGCGCTTCATTGTACAGAGTGAAAGTACGGATTAGCTTGCCAAAAANATCGCTGGCTATGTCTGTGACGGCTTCAAGTGCGGACGGCTGGAAGTCTTCGAAACCGGCATGGTAAAAAATCTTCCCTACGGCTCTCTGGAAGGCAGCACGACAGACCCATGGTGACATGATGGGACCGTCTTCCGAGACAGCAACAGCGCCGATATCTTGTTCCACAAACGGCTGGGGATCGTACTTCTGGAACTGATTTTGATAGGTCTNGCAAGAACATGTTAGCACATTTCAACCTTGTAATCGAGAACCAGAATTGCATACCTGAGCTTGGATTTGCATCTGCTTGACAATGCCAATCTTTGCGCAGATTTTTCGAGTCTCTTGCATTTGTCTCATGTTCGCTTCCATCCGTTTGGTAAGGCCACTCTCTGAGGATGTGAACTGCTCCTTTGGAAAGACGCGCAGATACTCCTCGACCTGAGGTATTACTTTACCTTCAGAATCTTCGGTCCATCTCAGTTGTTCGTTCAGATCTGGAATTGCTGCCAGAACATCGTAGTAGTCTGGGAGTGTTCGATCTTGATCCTTTTGAATCTCGGCCAGAGTTTCACCTGTGGTGCTCGCGTCCGGCTCCGGTTCGTCGCCGTCGGACCTCGATTGCCCACCGGTCGGTTCTATCAAGATCTGCTTCTGCTGACGGAGCCATCTTCGCATTCCTGCTTTCGTGCGTAGCAACGCTGGTTCATCGGGATTGAGATGGTCACCGCGGAACAGGCGGTTCCTCTCGGCAGCTGCCATAGCTCTATCTTTCTTGGTGACTTGCTTCCAAGTCTTGAACTCGGCGTCATCCTCATCCAGGTCCTCGATCTGTGAGCTGACGGCAATTGAGTTTCCGACACCGTCCACTTCCATCAAATCAGCTTGACTCAACCCGTTCATACCAAGTGGAGTGGCTGTTCCAGGAGGAGGCGGTGTGGAAAATCCATTTGAACTGGCTTCAGCATGAACGTCTAGATCGGGCTGGAGAAACTCATTACGCAGGCTAGATGCTGATGCGTGGATCGCAGGCTTGGACTCGGCAGCCGGGGTGCCTTCGGGTGCACCAGGAGTCGTTTGTCGTGTGGTATTGGACTGTCCTTTCTTGCTTTTGCCTGGTGCTTTACGGCCACGAGATGCCATTATAGGTTGATNCTGCGAAAGTTAAGTTGGTGTTTAGAGGGCTTGATAGAACGCATAGTTACCATCGTCACTGTCCTCTCCTCCCTCGAGATCAACATCTAGATTTTGTAGACGTCTCTCCTCTGCTTCAACCTCTGCTCTGTCCCTGACGACAATGTCGGGGATCAGAGGTACCAGTTTGTCAGTCTCTTTGCGCATGTACAAGGCCTTTTTGCGCAGTGGATGAGCGGGATCGGCATTGTAGGTGAGACAGTTGGCCCAGATCAGGTTCAGGTCCCCGACAAATTCCTTTTTTGATCTGTACGAAAAGCTCTTGAGCTTTTTTATCATGGTGCCGATGTCCATGGGCTGCTTGATGATGTGGAAGTAGTCGGGAGCATCTCTTTTGTTCACCCTCTGCAAGAAAGGAGTCGAGTATTCGGTCATTGCTTTCAGCTCCATCAGGACCTTCTCGGCAGCCTCGTACAACTCCTCCTGACCAATCTTTTCCTCACTGGCCCATTTGCTACGTCCTTTGCGAACTTCACTGATAAGAGTACGCAGTTGGGTGTCGTTTGCATTGACCATGGTTCGTTTAGCGTCTATACGGGCGATGAGATTCTTCAAGGTTAAGCTTGATGCACCAAGATCGGCCGTGCTGAGAGAACCTTGTTGGATGCCCGAGGGATCAGAGGTTGGGGCAGGATTGGATGCGCCAGACATTTCGTTCTCGACTTGCCTGTCCAGATCGTCGAGTTTCTGCTGCTCCATCATAGCGTCTCGATCCGCCTCGAGAGTAAAGAACATGATATGGAAACTCTTTCGCGCCGCGTCCTCGGCCGCCTTTTTGTCTTGCTCGAGCTTTTTACGCACATCCTCCGAAGACTTGGCGTGGTCAGAAGAACCAGATGAGGTACTGGTACGAGTGATGGTGGGCTTGAGTGATAGGGATGGCGAAGCGGCCTGTTTTGAGCGCAGAGGAGACTCGGCGGCGGGGTTTGATTGTTGGGTCTGTTGATCGGCCTCCTCCTCTTCGTCGTCGTCGTCATCGCCATAGTCATCTTCGTCAATGGTACGTGCGGGTCTTTTGGGCGGAGGGGGAGGTGGGGGTGGGGTGGTGTGGTCGAAGGGTGAATGGTCGTGAGCAGGACGATGTGATGTAGATTCCTCGATAGACAGCGGCAGGGCATGGCGCGAGAAGAGCTGGGCAATCTTGGATTGCGAGGCATCGTAACAGGCCTTTAGAGAAATATGGAGTGGATCGTCGTCATCGGGGTCGCGGTCATGGTCAGGGTCAGGGTCATGGTCAAGGTCGTCGTTCGGGTTGGAGTCGGCTCTTGCGGTGCGCGCAATTGACGCATCTCTAGGCAGCGGCGCAGGACTGAGGCCATTGATGGACTTCTGTCTCGTCAGGGAGTTGCTGGCCGACGCGGGTCTCGAGCGCTCCTTATTGTTCATGGCCAAGCCGGGGACGAGTGCTGATGCTGCGCATTCACGCAGACCTCTGATATGGCAGAGGAGTATCAATCATCTGATGGCGCCGAGAGCTGAAGAGGTCCAGGAGATGAGAGAAGCAAAAGCCCGATGGAAACTCGCTGGTTCTCGCGTGGATGATGGATGCACTGATGCGGTTATGTGGACGGAGGCCGACTCGCGGGTAGAGAGCAATTAAGCACACGCCCACAAGACACGCGCCCGCTGCCGACGATGATTCACTGTCGCGAACCACAACCCTCACAGATCTGTAGATAGCCTAACGTACTACTGCAGGACACCACCTTCGGAAACTATAAACAGCTTTGTACACCATAAATCACCGTGTAGTATTGCCAAAGATCTGGTCAAAACGAGCGAGGAAGGAGCACCGAGTAATAACAACCTCCCTGGACGACTCCCACCGCTTGGGGTCCCGCTTCAAGGATACCTTGCGCTTGCCAATCGTTTGCTTACAGCACACCTGGTCAACGAGGCAGTAGCTTGAGCCATGAGAATCAGAAAGCCGTTCGCAGGTATACACAGTCCACTCCTGCACCGCCAAACACGATGCGACTGACGCTTGTGCGTAGCTGCCTTTGTGGTACTGCTGTTCATAGCAGCCTCATTAGGCCTCGCCCCGAACCGCCTACCCCAATACAAGCAAAGCGACAAGGTCTTACACTTTGTCACCTTCTTCTTGATAACCGTATGTCTTATCCTCTACCTATCTCGGCTCTTACTAAGACTTTGCGTCTGCTAGCTTTGCTTCTACTGGATCATTGAAACCAACCGTCGCCGAGTCATTCACTTTACCCTCGTGGCCTGTACTGTTGGCCTGAGCATTGGTTCCGAGATCGTCCAAGGACTGCTACCGGCATGCTGCTTCCCAATCCCCACTTCGAGACGTCAAGCTGATATCCACTCANNGAATGGCCGTGACTTTGACCCCTACGATATCCTTGCCAACGTTGTTGGCTCTCTACTTGCCTTGCTGGCGTGCAGCTGGTACCACAAACGTATGCTGGAAAGACGTCGCGCTGCAAGAAACTACCAGATGGTGCCTGGCGAGGAGCAAGACATTGAATTGGGAGAGAACGCTGCCGACCAAGAGACTGGTGTCATGTCCAGCTCCGAGCCACCGAACGTTACTGAAGAGCTGGACAATTGGGATGAGAATGCCGAAGACTGGGATGATGATCAGATGCCTGAGAGCACAAACACCAAGACCGGTCAAGACGGGAGCGTCGCCGAAAAGCGATCCGACTAGAGCACCGATAGTTCATATTCGAATGATGAGACACGTGCAAAAAGACGATCGAAATGTCCAGTGCTTTGGGAAGTTCAACAATCGTAGCAGCCACGACCGCTTTTGCGTGCATTTGAAGTCTACCTAGCCGCTGTGCAGGAGAAAAACAGTGCCCATAAAGGTAGCTCCATGCTGCCGCTGATAATCTCCATTGGAGATGGCATTCCGACCTGTTCTCCATTTTTTCTTTGTGAAGCCATGAATGCAACCTCGTGCCTGCCAAGTAATACCGGAAGACAGACGCCTTGTCAAATCCCGAAAAACTCATCATTTATGCCTGGGCACCAGCAGCGACCTTGGCGGCCTGCTGAGGGTTGATCTTCTTGCCGTCCTTGTTGAAGCGAACACGCGGGGGAGGGGCACGGTTGCGGCGGCCCTCGCGGGAACGGANCACTGTGCTGTGTTAGTATGCCGTGTGTGTGTCGAGCGGGTTGTTGTGGATTGCGCCCAGGTAGGGTGGTGTGTCCAGGGTGAAGGCATACCGAACGATCTTGCCGTGAATGGCGCACGAGATGCAGTACTGGAGCTTCAGGTACATCTTGGGGACGGCGTACTCGGCGAAGACGGAGGCATCCGAGATATCNNACCTGCAAGAGTTATATCAGTCGTCGGATTCGAAGGAGACCAGGAGCGGGTCGACGGAGCGAGATGTCGCAAGAGGTGTTCGCAGGGAGTGGGAGTCTGGCGAGATCGACGTACGGATAGCGGCGGACTCGACCATGTTGCGGATGGTGAATCTCTTGACGGCCTTGTCCTTAGGAACGCATCGCGAGCAGTTGGAGCAGCGGACGGGCTTGACGTGGCCACGACCCTTCTTGTTGCGACCGCTGTAACAATAATGTCAGCGCGACATCCAGTGAGCATCCATGACCAGTGAGTCGTACTTGGAGGCTCTCTTCTTGACCATTTTGACGTGTGTTGGCGACGGATAACTCTTCCTACTTTCAGAAAGAGTATAGAAATCCCAAAAGGCGCGTTCGTGTGGGCTTGAATTTTGGCGAGGCGCACTGCTCGAATTCGTGCGTCCTTCGCCAAGGAAGTCGCGGCAAGTTCCGCTCTCTCGACCTTAGACTTGTCCGCCCAGCGTTCCACTGATCAATGGTCAATCGCGGTATAGACACGACATCGTGCCGTCCCATGGCTGCTATTGCTGCTGTCACGGTAGCGGAGTGTATATTAGAGGGCCTTACAAACACTGGATCATAGTTTTCTGAATACTATCAAGACTGGTGCTGTGCCGTGTCTTGTATGGATGGATGTTCTCTCAACTCATGTACTAATGGTCAGCACATCACAAGATAATAGCAGTACCGAGACTTGGTGTTGGCAGTGTTATGCATACATCTGTAGACCACTATCGTGACTTGACCATGCATTCTCCTTGACATCGATGGAGCTTTTGCCTGCTGCTGGACCACTTGCATGTTGCATGAACTGGAACATAACTTGATCCAGTCGCATGTTATTGGACAACAATCAGATCGGAGATATACTGCAGCGATCCTATTCTGAGTACTCGCTTCTCGCAATGCAACCTACACATATCTATAGATAGTTGGAAGAGTCCATAGATAGAATGATCACAGAGATGCTCAAACACGACAAGACATGCAGCAGCAAAAGTACAATAGATTCATAGGCGTTCACAAAAAGTTATGCGTTGAATAGGGGCAGACAAAGTTTCCCCTAATTATCCTGTGTTTACAGTCGCGGGCTCAGGGACAAGCTCTGGGTCGTGCAAGGCTTGAAACGTAAATAGTTAGCTCTGGCCCCCTTCACCGCCCTCGCACCGACTTCTAAACTGCACGAACCACTATGTCCGCAACAGGTACATATCGTGGCACACCCAAAGACAAACCCCGAGGCCAAAATCCTTTCCAAGCACTTGACAGCCCCTCGGGCATACCCAGACCAAAGCTAGAAACCGCCGCCAGCAGCGCACCCAGCGACATGTCGACCCTCAGCGTCAGCAGGGCCAAACAGTCCAAGAGGGATGAGGTGTGTATCCTCAAAGCATTGAATCCTGCCTGGCCCAGCTAATCAAGCTCTCCGCAGGCCATCCGCCGCAAGATCGAAACCGACCTGAGCAAGAAGAGAGCCAACCCTACCCGCGCCCGTCAGACCCGAAAGGCAGCCCCTGGTTCCGTCCTCGCCCTCAGGCCCAGCCAGGCTCTCCAGATCAAGCCGAACACGACCGTCGCAGAAGCTGCTCAGCTCATGGCCGCAAAGCGCGAAGACTGCGTCCTTGTCACTGATGCCGACGACCGTATCGCAGGTATCTTTACCGCAAAGGATCTCGCCTTCCGCGTTGTTGGAGAGGGAATCAAGGCCAACAGCATCACCATTGCCGAGATCATGACCAAGAATCCACTGTGCGCCAAAACCGACACCAGCGCGACCGATGCTCTGGACCTCATGGTCCGCAAGGGCTTCCGTCACCTTCCCGTCATGGACGAGAACCACGACATCTCTGGTATTCTCGACATCACAAAATGTTTCTACGATGCTATGGAGAAGTTGGAGCGCGCATACAGCTCCTCAAGGAAGCTCTACGATGCGCTCGAGGGTGTCCAGGCTGAGTTGGGCTCCAGCCAGCCGCAGCAGATTATTCAATACGTTGAGGCCATTCGTCACAAGATGTCTGGTCCCACTCTTGAGTCTGTTCTGAACGGCATGCCACCTGTTACCGTGTCTGTACGTACCTCGGTCAAGGAGGCTGCTGCATTGATGAAGGCCAACCACACCACTGCCGTTCTGGTGACAGACCAGGGATCTATCACCGGAATTTTCACCAGCAAAGACGTCGTTCTGCGCGTTATCGCTGCTGGCTTGGATCCCAGCAACTGCAGTGTTGTCCGCGTCATGACTCCTCACCCGGACTTTGCGCCTCTCGACATGAGCATTCAATCTGCACTACGCAAGATGCATGGTATGGAACATCTGCGTCCGGCACTGTGATGATATGCTGACAATTGCTANGATGGCCACTACTTGAACTTGCCAGTTATGAGTGCTGAAGGCGAGATTGTTGGTATGGTTGATGTATTGAAGCTTACCTACGCCACACTTGACCAGGTACGTTATGGCCGTCAGATATCAAGCATGTGCATCAACTAATTTCAGTAGATCAACAGCATGTCAACCGGAGATAGCGAGGGACCCGCCTGGAACAAGTTTTGGATGTCTTTCGACAACGAGACCGAGTCCATGATGTCTGGTGAGGGCGGCAGCCGTCACCCACAGACAGAAGATGGCAGATCACAATTCTCACCAGAGATGTCGAGGCCTGGAGTTGATCGGGGTGATAGTGTCATGCCGACCGACTCAGCCTCCCATACTGGCGGTCGTGATTCTCCCGATCCATCCGCCTTCACTGGAGCTGCCAACTCATACGAAGACGTTGCATTCCCCTTCAAGTTCAAAGCACCGAGTGGTCGCGTACACAGACTGCAGATTGTGCCTTCAGCTGGCATGAGCGAGCTGGTCAGTGTTGTCGCAGAGAAGCTAGGCAGCGAGGCTGAATCCATCGGTGGAGTGCCTACCTTCGAGGATGGCAAACTCAGCCGCACTGGGTTCGCACTGAGCTATCTTGACAACGAAGGCGACACAGTCTCGATAACAACGGACCGCGATCTACTGGACGCCATCTCACTGGCGCAACTGACGCATCAAGACAAGGTTGATCTGTTTGTGCATGACCCTGAGACGGCACCACTCCCGGCAACGCTTGCACCGCAGCCCTCGTTGGTGACTGTGGCACCCTCTGAGAGCGTCGTGCGTGAGAGAAAGGTGGCGCACAGCGAGTCTGATGAGGAGAGCGAGATGACCAGACCTCGCAGAAAGGAACGTCAAGCAGCACCGGCAGCAGGACAAGAGCAGCTGATTGCAGGTCTTCCTAACGAGCTCCTTCTGCCTGGAGCGATAGTGACGCTGGCTGTGGCCATCATTGGAGTGTTTGCCATCTCAAGGATGTCGAGCAAATGAGGAGCGAGCATGACGGGCATTCCTGGGCGGCGGCAGGATTACATTTCTTTTGGCAGCGATACCACTCATGACTGTAGTTTAGTTTAATTGAACATTCCTTTGTCGTTGTGCCAGAACTCATACAAACAGTTCGGGCAGTTTCACCGACTGGCGACAAGTTGTTACAAAGCCAACTTGAGTGTTTGGCAAAGATGTAGTATGTGGTGGCTTATTGCGGAGATGGACATCAAGGTCGTGTTGGCTTGGACAAGAGTCGAAAGTGTACCGGTAGCTAGAAATGTGGAGGGAGGTAGCGGAGCACGGCCGGATTCTTGGCTCAGGCTTGCTCAGACCCTGGCTTTCTCCCTAGATAATGGCCAAAAAAACATTCGAGACGCATCAAACAAGCTCCTGCAACCATCAGCCCGCCTTTCTGTCACCATCGCCACGGCCTTCTTTGGTGTCCGTCAAACCGAAAAGAGTCCCACCGGAACACACCGAGTCTTTTGCACCTGACAAGTTTCCATAACCCGAGTAACGCGGCGCTCTCGCGGCGGCGCCTGAACCCCCACTCCCTTCCTCAGAAAACAAACACCATGTCGATTCTTCCCGCAGAGACGCACAGCGCACTGAGCCAGCTGCTGCAAGGTCTTCAAGCAGCCGACAACAGCATCAGAAGCCAGGCCGAGGAACGTCTGTCGACAGAATGGGCCCAGTCCAAGCCCGACGTGCTGCTCATGGGCCTGGTTGAGCAAATCCAGATGGCCGACTCTCCCACTGTACGAACGAAACATCTTTTTGACGACATCCGACTGACAAGTCTANNGGCCCAATCTTTCGCCGCTGTCCTGTTCCGTCGCATGTCGTCGCGTACCTCCAAGGACTCTGCTGGCCAGTCGCGCGAGCTGTTCCTCACTCTGCAAAAGCCTCAACGAGATGCCATCCGCACCCTCCTGCTACAAGGCATGGCTGCTCCCACAGTTGTCGCGCATCCTTCACTTCGCAACAAGGTCGGTGATGCCGTCGCCGAGGTTGCCAGACAATACACGGATGAAGACGTCTTCAACGACGATGGCTCCAGAGACACATGGGCCGACCTCCTGGCCGCTTTGTTCCAGGCCAGCCAATCGCCTGATGCCGGTCAGCGTGAGACAGCCTTCAGGATCTTTGCCACTACTCCTGGAATCATCGAGAAGCAGCATGAGGAGGTTGTCTTGAGCTCCTTCACCAAAGGCTTCAAAGACGACGATGTCGCTGTAAGTTGCTATAAATGCATCCTTCCCCTCACCACTGACTAACGTAAACCTTGCCCACCTGCANNGGTCCGACTGGCCGCCATGGACGCCTTTGCATCTTTCTTCCACTCAATCAACAAGAAGTCCCAAGTCAAGTACTACCCCTTGATTTCTGACATTCTCAACATCCTCCCTCCGCTCAAAGACATGTCAAACTCGGACGACCTTACCAAGGCTCTGGTTGCCATGATTGATCTCGCCGAAGCCGCCCCCAAGATGTTCAAGCCTCTGTTCAACGAACTCGTCAAGTTCAGTATCACCGTCATCCAGGACAAGGACCTTGACGACAAGACCAGACAGAACGCTCTGGAACTCATGGCCACCTTCGCCGATTACAGCCCTCAGATGTGCCGTAAAGACCCCAACTACACCCCCGACATGGTCACTCAGTGCCTTTCTCTTATGACAGATGTTGGCGCCGATGACGACGACGCCGAAGACTGGTGCACCACAGAGGATCTCGACCTGGACGAGGCTGACATGAACCACGTTGCTGGTGAGCAGACTATGGACCGCCTGGCAAACAAGTTGGGTGGTCAGGCCATCCTTCCCCCTACCTTCCAATGGCTGCCCCGCATGATCGAGTCGGGTGCTTGGAGAGACCGCCACGCTGCCCTCATGGCCATCTCGGCCATTTCAGAGGGTTGTCAAGAACTCATGGAGAGCGAACTCCAGCAGGTTCTTGACCTTGTCCTTCCCAGACTCAACGACCCTCACCCTCGAGTCAGGTGGGCTGCTTGCAATGCTCTGGGCCAGATGAGCACCGACTTCAAGGGCATTATGCAAACCAGCTTCCACCAGATCGTACTCCCTGCCCTGGTCGAGTCTCTAAAATCCGACCAACCTCGTGTCGCATCCCACGCTGCCGCCGCGCTTGTCAACTTCTGCGAGGAGGCCGAGCGTGAGATTCTGACNCCCTACCTTGATGGTCTCTTCACCAACCTCTTTAACCTCTTGCGTAACACCAAGACTCGCTATGTCCAGGAACAAGCTTTGTCGACTATCGCCACTGTTGCCGACTCTGCCGAAGCCGCGTTTGCCAAGTACTACAGCGACCTGATGCCTCTTCTGTTCAATGTCTTGCAGACCGATCAATCCAAGGAGAACCGCCTGCTCAGAGCCAAGGCCATGGAGTGTGCTACTCTCATCGCACTCGCTGTCGGCAAGGAGCGCATGGGCAACGACGCACTTCAACTTGTCCAGATCCTTGGCAGCATTCAACAAGGCATTACAGAATCAGATGACCCTCAAGCTTCATACCTGTTGCACTGCTGGGGCCGCATGTGCCGTATCTTGGGCGCAGACTTCCTTCCCTATTTGCCTGCTGTCATGCCTCCGCTGTTGGAGCTGGCCAAGGCAAAGGCCGATATTCAGCTTCTTGACGACGAAGACAACCTCGAGCAGGAGGAGGGATGGGAACTTGTTCCTCTCAAGGGCAAGTACATTGGCATCAAGACTAGCACTCTCGATGACAAGCACATGGCCATTGAGCTCATTGTCGTCTATGCTCAGCATTTGGCCGCAAGTTTTGAGAACTACGTCCTGGATATCATGGAGAACATTGCCATTCCTGGGCTTGCCTTCTTCTTCCACGACCCTGTTCGCCAGGCCGCTGCAAAGTGTGTCCCTCAACTCCTCAACTGCTACAAGCTCGCCCACGGCCTCCAATCACCACAATTCCGCCAGCTCTGGACAACGACCATCGCCAAGGTGCTCGAGGTCCTCGAGACCGAGCCCGCTATCGAGACTTTGGCCGAGATGTACCAGTGTTTCTACGAATCCGTCGAAGTCTGTGGCAACGGTTGCTTGAGCCCGGACCATATGGCAGTCTTCATCAACTCAGCCGAGGGCGTCCTCAAGGACTACCAGACCCGTGTCAACGAACGACTTGAGGAAGCCAACGAGCGTGAGGACGGCGATGAGGTTAGCGAGGAGACTCTTTTCGCCATCGAGGACGACCAAACACTGCTCTCCGACATGAACAAAGCCTTCCACACCATCTTCAAGCACCACAGTACCACTTTCCTACCCTTCTGGCAGAAACTCATGCCCTATCTCGACCAGGCACTCGTGAATCAGGACCCCACACAAAGACAATGGGCACTGTGCATCATGGACGATGTTTTGGAGTTCTGCGGACCCGATTCGTGGGCATTCGAGAGTCACATTGTGCAACCGCTAGTCGATGGTATGCAAGACGATGTCCCCGCCAACAGACAAGCTGCGACATACGGAGCTGGCGTTGCAGCACACAAGGGTGGTGCACCATGGTCAGACTTTGCCAATGCCAGTCTGCCGTTGCTGTTCCAAGCCACCCAAAGACCGGACGCCCGTACCGGCGACCACGTCTTTGCAACCGAGAACGCTTGTGCCAGTATCGCCAAGATCCTCCACTTCAACAGCAGCAAGGTCACCAACAGCCAGCAAGTTGTTGAGGCCTGGATAGGAACGTTGCCTGTCGTTAACGATGAAGAGGCTGCTCCCTATGCCTACTCTTTCCTGGCACAGCTTATCGACCAGTAAGTCTAGAATATACGTAATTGCGGCTCCCTATTTCTAACGATAATTCTAGGNCAAAACCCTGCTGTCATCCAGCAAGCAGCTCGCTGTTTCCACTTTGTGGCATTGGCTCTGGAGGCCGAGACCTTGCANGGTAGAACCGCACAACAGGTTGTGCAGTCGGCGAAGGCTCTTGTCACCATGGCCAACTTGGACGCCAACCAGCTTCTGGCTGAGATGTCGCCAGAGGTTCAGCACGCCGTTCGCGCCTTCTTTGGTTGAACGAAAAGTGTCTTGTGGCCTTCGAGGATGAGAGATGGTATTGGACTTGGGGGTTAGTCAGACGTGATAACGACAATGACATTCACGTTACGGACGTTTTAGTCCTGGTTTTCTTGTTCGTGTGCTGGAGGAGGGGAAGAAGAAAAAGTAAGAGGCTTAATCACAAACGATGTCTCCAATTGATTCAAAGCTATTGGCACACAATAGAAATACACTTGATAACTTTTTGATCTGACTTGTATTTTGCTCGGGCTGTCTGGTAGGTGACCAGAACTCTTTTGCTGTGATCCTCTACCTGTTGCCATCTGTAGACCACAAATATGCACACCGTCGTCAAGGATGTAACCAAGTCATTCACTGGTTACATCGGCACGAACCTGGCATGGAACAGTCAAGAGAAGCTTCTCTCGAACCGTGCACTGACTGCTGGCGGCAGCTCGAATGGTATATCGAGTTCTAGACTCGATGGTCCTGAAGAGTGCTTCAACGAGCACTTTGGCGAAGGCAAACATAATAATCGCTCAAGCTGCTGGTTGACCACTCTGCTGGATATCGGTCTGCAGTTGGAAGACCTGGACGAGTCAGAACCTAAATCATCATTCTTGAAGACATTGATAAGAACTTACAGCCATCTTCTTCTCCTCGCTCTTGGCTTGGATATCTGAAATCTGCTTTTCGATACGGTTGCTGTGATTTGGGTCAGGAAGAGCATACAGCGGAGGAAAAGCAGAAAAGGCACACATTTCCTTGTCGATGAATTCTAGACGGCCATCGACAGTGCTCTTTGCTTCGGATGCATCCTGCTTTAGTAGGATAGGGCCCACGAGCTTGTAGATGTTGGCATCTTCATCGAGATTTGCGAATTNCCTGATGAAAACGGGTCAGAACGAATAAGGCCAATGGAGGTGGATAGGTTTGCATACACTCTTGACACCTTTGTTCTCTTGTTGTTGAGATTCGAGCTTTTGCCTGGCTGCAACGGTGGTTTGAAGTTCTGTNNATGTTTAGATTAGCAAGATGTTGATGTCAAGGACTGTGGTGAGAAGATTGGCAGTACCAGTTTGCAGAGCGGTGTACTCGTCTGACAGAGCCTGCAGCTGTTTTTGTTGTTCGGGAGTAGCCATTGTGAAGGGTTGCGGGATTCTAGTGGTTTACTGAGTTCAAAAAGGAATGTCGTCGGCGTGCAAGATTGGTGTTGGAAACGGCGCGTTCGTCGGTGTGGGGAAAGCGCGAGACGGCGGGGAACATGGATCCATGGCTGTGTGTTGCCCTCTTGCCTGTCCATTGCATACTAATCTACTGACGACGAACCGGCCACAATCCATCGCCCGTCTTCTGCGTCGCCGCACTCGCCAATCCACCGGGACGCCCTTCGCGACACACGCAGACACCTCAAGTCCCAGCCAGCGCACCTTGAGCACACGCAGTGCCACACGTCACTAGACCTTCCTCGCATCACTGCCCTGTTGGAGACATGAGCAACACGGACTTCTTGGGCCGTGCCATCGATGTGGTCAAGAAGGCCATTGAGCAGGACACGGCCGGCGAGTACGAGAAGGCCTACCAACTCTACTACCAAGCCCGTACGTGCCACACCAACCATCTCAACTCGCCGAGACTAACCCTCGCCCAGTCGAACTGTTCATGCTCGCCCTGAAATGTATGCCCCACCTGCCGCTTCCATCGTCGCACACCACTCACACCAGCTACAGGGGAGAAGAATGCAAAGTCCAAGGAGATGATCCGCGCAAAGGCTGCCGAGTACATGGAAAGAGCTGAGAAACTCAAGAACCATCTGGCCGAACAAGACACGAATCGAAAGAAACCGAGTGCTATAGGCTCCAACGGGAAGACCTCGAACGGTGCCGCCAAGGGAAAGTACGCACTTTGCCCTCCCAGCAGAGCCCACCAACGCACACGCTAACCACGTGTCAACAGAGAAGACGAGGGAGACGATCAAGACCCCGAGTCTAAGAAGCTGCGAGGCGCCCTTGCTGGTGCTATCCTGACCGACAAGCCCAACATCAAGTGGGAAGACGTGGCTGGTCTAGAGCAAGCCAAGGAAGCTCTGAAAGAGGCTGTCATTCTCCCCATCAAGTTCCCTCACCTGTTCACCGGCAAGCGCCAGCCCTGGAAGGGCATTCTGCTTTACGGCCCTCCTGGAACCGGTAAATCATACCTTGCCAAAGCCGTTGCCACCGAGGCAAACAGCACTTTCTTCAGTGTCAGCAGTAGTGACTTGGTCAGCAAGTGGATGGGTGAGAGTGAACGGTACGTTTATACCAACCTGTGACAAACATGCATCGCCTTACTGACACCAAACAGTCTCGTAAAGCAACTGTTCGGCATGGCGCGAGAGAACAAGCCTTCGATCATCTTCATCGACGAGATTGACGCACTCTGCGGCCCCAGAGGTGAAGGCGAGTCGGAAGCCTCAAGACGTATCAAGACCGAACTTCTGGTGCAGATGGATGGAGTGGGACGCGATTCCAAGGGAGTACTCATTCTCGGCGCCACCAACATCCCATGGCAGCTCGACTCTGCCATCCGCAGACGATTCCAACGAAGAGTGCATATCAGTTTGCCCGACATGCCGGCCAGAACACGAATGTTTGAGCTTGCGGTAGGATCGACACCATGCGAGATGAAGGCAGAGGACTTCCGGACTTTGGCGCAGCTCAGCGAAGGCTACTCTGGAAGTGATATCACGATTGCAGTGCAAGATGCTTTGATGCAGCCCGTGCGGAAGATCCAGACGGCAACTCACTACAAGAAGGTTTGTTACTGTCTAGCACGTCTGGTATACTGTTTACTGACTCGGTCCTTTAGATCACGGTTGATGGACAAGAGAAGCTCACGCCATGCTCACCGGGCGACCAGGGTGCAACAGAAATGACATGGATGGACGTCGAGACAGATCAGCTTCTAGAGCCCCCACTCATGGTCAAGGACTTTGTCAAGGCAATCAAGGCTTCAAGACCTACTGTCAGTCAAGAGGACCTCAAGCACAATGCCGAGTGGACTGCAGAGTTTGGTAGCGAGGGCGCTTAGACATGGAGAAGCTGTATAGGTAGCGTTGGTAGCACTGAGAAGGTCGGAGGAACAAATGTTATTATACCCTTTTACAATTTAAAGGAAGCAGTGATGACATGGTGGTGACTCGTCCGGGGGAGATGACGAGGCTTGGCAGGACCCTTTGGGATAACCATCACACGCCCCTAGAGCGAGTGTAGGCAGCGTCCGACATCACACTACCCTCGCCGCCGACATGAAGATTCTCTATATTGGCGTACGCTCACCCTCTTTGTTGCAAAGACGGCACTGACGCAGGCACAGATCCTAAAGAATGAAGACAAGCCGGCCGTCGAGCTGTGCGCCGAACGCGACTTGAGCAGCTACTCCCGCTTCACCCGCTCCTCGGTCGGCGAGTTCATGTCGCTGTTCACAAAGACCGTCGCCGAACGCACCAAGCCGGGCCAACGCCAGGACGTCGAAGAGCAATCCTACACCTTCCACGCCTACGGCCGCAGCGAGGGCGTCGCCGGCATCATCATCAGCGACCAAGAGTACCCCGCCCTGGTCGCCCACCAGCTGCTCTCCAAGATCCTGGACGAGTTCCTGTCGCGCTACCCTCGTACCGCCTTTGCAAACTCGAATGCCGAGTTGCCCTTTCCTCAGCTCAAGGAGTACATTGTCAAGTACCAGGACCCGCACGCCGCCGACAGCATCATGAAGATTCAGAAGGAGCTGGACGAGACAAAGATTGTGCTGCACAAGACCATCGAGAGTGTTTTGGAGCGTGGCGAGAAGATTGACAACTTGGTGGCCAAGAGCGACGGTCTTTCTGCTCAGAGCAAGATGTTCTATACTCAGGTACGTTTCTATGGGCAGGGTACGAGTATACAAATGCTGACTCTTTTCGCACTANNGGCCAAGAAGCAGAACTCGTGCTGCATTGTCATGTAGCGCACCTAATGATACCCATGTGTTTTCTTTTTCTCGCTCTCTCTTTCTTCTCGCATGCTTTGAAGATGCCCCGAGGGTGGGTCAAACCGCTCGTCACTTTACTTGTTGCTTCTTATTACCAGGTTGATTGCGACAGACATGTGCATGTATGCAGCATACTCGAAAAAGTGATGTATTCATATATATATAAAAGCCAAAGCTCTGGGGACGACTTGCCCGATGAACAGCCCCACGAGCCCAGTCGCATCGGCGCCTCCGCATCTTCAACCATGCATCCATCCATCTATCCACCACTTTCTCCAAATGTAATCATCCACCCGCCATGCTTTCCCCAGAACTAACCAATGCCATCGACCACACAACCCTCTCAAGACTGAAAAATGTATTGAAAGACATCTGCGACTCTTTACCCGCGGCAGCCGCTCTCGTCGAAGAACAACTTCTAGCCCCGCCAACCACCATCATCGACCTCACCGACGACGACGACGACACCGACTCGACACCAATTGAATCAACCACCGGCGTAAAAAGACAACGCTACGCCATGTGCGAAAACTGCAAGGAGGAATTCGACGTGACCGAAAACGACGAGGATAGTTGTCAATATCACGATGGTTTGTTTCCATGTTTCTCATCCAGGCAGTAAGCCAAACAGACACTAATGCAGCAGCAAAAACANGGAGAACTAGAAGTCGACAGGCAAAGCAGCACCTGGAATGACTGGGATGAAAGATGTCACGGAACAATCGACAATGACCTCTTTGACACTTATCCCGAAGGCTTTGTGTGGGAATGCTGTAACGAGAGTGGAGATGCAGAAGGGTGTACCACTGCAGCTCATGAAGTTGACGATACCTTTGATCCACAAGCTAAAAAGAGGAGGGTTTGGGAGTAAGATAGGTGCGATTACTCTTTGGTGTGTGCATGAAGGTATCGAATTTAGGAACTCCTCTCTCCAAACATAAAAGACTGTTCACATTGACAGCCGTGAAATTTGGACAAACTGTGATTGATTTGAGCAGAAAGATAGACTCTCTACATATATATATTTCAGATGGCCTCATACAAAACAAGAAACCACTCCTGGTGAGAAATAAGCAAAATAAGAACGTCTAACGAAAAGCAGAACGTGTCGAAAAAGCGAAGGGTATAAGAATCGAAAACGTGGTCGTGTCCTCGAGACACAACGGCCTATAGAATAAAAACAAAAGGAAGAAAAAGAAGAAGAAAAAGGCACAGCCATTATAACGTTGATAGAATATTGGGGCAGAAGAAAAAATGTCCAAGATGAGGGATCAAGCGTGTATGTTTCGTCGAAAAGAAGTCCAAGAGGCGGTGGTTTAGGGGTCAGATGCCAAAATATCCAGTCAAGCGTCCAGCACCAGGAAAATCAGAGGCATCCGGCCATGCTCTTGCAACGGAGTCTTGCGGTCTAGCAGTGATCAAAACCTTCTAGGAGAAGCCTCGTCAAGCACAACCAGAGTACTCTTGCGGTTGCGCACATCCACGAGCTTCGGGCGCAGCGGTTGTTTGCTGAAAACAGGCATGGGAGCAGTCGGATCAAGAGCAGCAGAAGACTTTGTCTGCACAGGTGAAGGCACACTGAGTCTGCTGGGAGCAGGAGCTCTGCGCACCACTGAAATCTTCCTCGCGATCCCGATCTGAGGGCCAATGTGGGTTTTGCGTTTTGCTGCAACGTCATCGAGGGAGCTCGTGCGTGGTGGGTGTGGGCGGTCGACTGAGGCTGCTTGCTGCTCCAGCTCGAAGACGGGAGGACTCTGGCGACCTAGTGCTTTGGGAGGAATCGGTGGAGGGCAGGACATAACGGGCGTGTCGTTCCTCCAGTAGGTGTCTTTGGACAAAGGGGTGGCTTGCATGGCCACGGCGTCGTGGATATACACTCCCGTATCGTCGATTTGGTCATCGTCATCACTGTCATCATCATCGTCGTTGACATCGAAACTGACAAAGGACTCTGCATCAGAAGCCGGAGTCTGCGGCCGAGATGCGTCGCTCCACATGTGTGAGCTTGTGGAACACGCAGACGAGTTGTTCGTGGTGCTCGGTGCCTGACTCTGGTGTTCGCGCGAGTTTGTGAGTGCTCCTGGTGGCGCGGTCTGCGAGCGCAACAGGCGTGGTGTGTTTGAGTCGCGGTAGACGGGCACTGGCGTGGCCACTTGAGAGCCATCTCCGTTCGTCTCGGCAGCCATTGGGGTACGGCAACTAAGATTAGGTGAAGTGGCACGGCGTTGCAAGGCAGGAGACTCGGGAGCGAGNNCTGGGTAGGAGGTTAGTCTCTGGGTCTTTGTGTATCTGAGTAATTTACGACTTACCCTCCCCGAAGGCTGATCTGAAAGATTTAGTTGTTTCACCATTGTCTGTCGCCTGTCCATGATTGAGGTCTGAGGTTGAAGCAGCTTTTCAAACATGACACTGTAGCGCTCCATCTCAACAGCGGGAATATTGACGTTAAGCCTGTTAGGACCGCCTAGAGGAGTCGCCGGTAGAGAGGGGCCGCTGTTGTATGATGCAGCATCGAAGTACTGTGACATGGCTGATTCTGCACTCGGACTTCGTGCAGACGATCGTGGTGGAGGCTCCAAGGTCGAAAGATTGGCCGCCTTCAACTGAGGTAGCGCAGACCTGTCGCCCATGCTCTTTGTATATTGTTGTCGGGTACCAGTCTGAATTCCTCTTGTCTTGTCCACAGAGATTGAGTTGCGATGAAGCTTCTTTCCTTCTTTGGCCCAGCTCGCTGGCACAGAGCTCTTGGTAGACGTTCTTGGGAGTGCCGGTGGAGGAGCAACGTCTGCTGGATTGAAGTCAGGAAGCGGTGGCTTCGATTGTTTCCTCGAGAAGAACGACCTCCAGGTACCAGATTTTGATTTGCGCAGATGAGGCTCCTTGCGTGGAGCAGCCGAAGGTGCTTCAACCTTGAGAGGAGCAAGAGGTATAACCACTTCAACCGTTTTCTCCTCCTGCCTGGCTAAGGTAGGAAGGGGTTCGATAGGTGTAGTCATAGATCGCTTCGGGTTACCCGGACGGCTCTCGAACGCGACACCGGGCGTGGAATGGTTGGCATGTAAAGTCAGTCTGGTCGTGGTTGTTCGTGGCGATGGGGTCATGGACATTCTTCTTGCGAAGTTTCTTGCAGAGTTCGGCATGGGCACCTCGGGGTGTTTNNTCTCCAAGATAGGCACTTTGCTAGCAGTGCAAGGCCTCGATAATGCTTCTGGTGGGGTTTGTATTCCTTTCATTGTTGAGTCTTTGTAGCCATGGGCACTCTTGATAGGACGCTGCGTCTCTCTCTCGACATTGACGTCTTTTGCTTCTTGGGCAGTAGTTGTTTCATCAAGCTTCTTGCGCATAAAAGGTGTCTCTTTACGGCGTAAGGACCTTGATCTCTCCAAGAAGCCCATGTTTCGTGACACGCGACCTGCGGTAGTAGAATTCTGGTTGAAAAGATAAGGACCACCAGGGTTTCCGACTTTGGACCTGCCAGGAAGTATTGCTCTAACCACCCGCCAAGGAAAGACCAGAAGAAGACAGAGAGAGATCTTCAAGAAGAGTAGTGGATTGGAATAACAGCAGGTCGTTTTGACTGAGCGAAAGCGAGCGGGAAGTTTGAGGGAAGGGACGACGTCTGAAGCGTCTCACGATTGTTTCTGTCGAAGACGAAGAAGAGGGAAGCAGGTCCACGACCAGAAGATACCCACGCTTACCGCTGTTCGCCATCGGCAGCTTGTCAGACCCACGCGAGTATCAAAGTGCATTGGTACCTGCGTCAGATAATCTATGCCTCGCCCCATCTGTGCTTACTCGTGTCTGGCGATTTGCACGGGGCGCACATTAGCACGTCCACAGGGACGACCTGGTCCACGCCGTCACAAGAAGGCCCTGACGATCTCCAGTAAAAGGCGCGCCGTCTCAAACGCGTCGCAGAGCCCTGACGAATTGCCTGTCAAGAGAAATCACGAGTGGTTTCGTGGCGTTTCAGATGAATCAAGATTCTCGGCAACGAAATTGTGATGGCTTCTGACACCACTCACTGACTGGCCGTCTAGGCACCAAATTTCAGTCCATGTGATTGACAGTGTTGGATTCATTTGGAAAACTAGGTACCTTGCAAAACTAGGGCTTGTCGAGGCTGTTGGTCGCATGCATATATCTGTTGCATCAATAATAGAAACTAAAAACTTCGTGCGTGCCATGAATCGTCCGTCTGAGACGAGAAAAAACGGGTATCACCATGCCACTTCGTATATTGCGCCCAAGAACGCCACTTTTGCCGAGCCCATCTAAAATAAACTACTGCTCGCACCTGCATCTTGCATCGACTATCAAAAAGCTGCATTTCCCAGGTTGTGCTCCTTGATGTAGTCTGCTCCCTTTTCGTGATATTCCGCTCGTGACACGAACGACTGTCTGGAAGTCGGACTAGCGGCCCACTGCGCAGCACCTCTCCAGGCGTCGAGAACGGGGTCTTTGGCTTTGCGCACGCCGAGAGAGACGTCCGCAGGCAATACAGCGCGCAGCTCGTTGCGCAGACGCTCTTCGAAACCTTGGAAGTGTGTGTAGCCACCAGTCAAGAATATGTCCTTGAGCATGTCGTCACGTCTCGAGGAGCCGGAAAGACGCTGTGTGATGATGTCTTCGGCGATTTCGACAATGCCTGCTTGGTCAATGCCTGCGATGCCGGGCTGGAAGATGACCTCGGGCACACGGATCCGCTCGACGTTCAGATGTATCTGGTTGAGCTCTCTTTGACTCTCTGAATCAAAAGGCCAAGGACCGCGCAGGAATGAATGAAGTACGCTCTTAGTCCAGTCTTGCTGTGCCTCTTGAGTGCTCTGCTCTGTGAATGTTGGATCATACTTGAGAAGCTGAGCCTCGATGTTTTTGAGGTTGGCACCAAGGTCCTCCTCTTCTTCGTCGTCGCTCTGATCGCCAGTGGCAATCTGACGATAGATACCCCAGTCGGCATCGTCAGCGCCGAAGGTGTCATCATCTCCACCCCGGCGACGCTTCTTGGGGTTGTCAGATGCCAAATTAGCAATATTCTTCATACGGATCTGACTCGCGAGTGACTTGCGATTTCCGAGGTCCGCCTTGAGACGATCACGTTCTTTGATGCGCTGAATCATGTTCTGGCGAACAACTCTTCTTTCTTGCAGCCAACTTTCGGTGTCGTTCTCTCGGCGTTCGGAGTCCAGACGCTCCTCTTCGGCGACTCTAGCCTTTTCGCGTTCTTTCTCCGCCTTTGCACGAGCGCGAGCGTCGTGGTTGGACTTCATCAAGCGTTGCTGACGCTTCTGCTTCAAGCCTTCCTCGTCGAGCTCTTCGTCTGCAATATCAAGCAAAGGATAAGTTGGGACTTCCTCGGGCTCGTCGATATCACCAACATCTTTGTTTCTTTGTTTTCGAATGGAGCGTTCCATATCCTTGATCTTTCGCTCCAGTTGTGATTCGTCGTTGAAGTCCTCGGCTTCGAGCATGGTTTTGGCGTCCTTCTTGGTCGCGGTGGCAAGCTTTTGTTGGAGATCCTTGTAGTATTCCAACTCTTGTTCCTTGCGGATGAGCTTCTCGAGGCGCATCTTGGCAGCTTGCTCTTGTAGTCTACGACCGCTCTCTTTGCGCTTCTCGGCAGCTCTTGCAAGTTCTTCCTCAGTCTTCATGACGACCTCTTTTTCGGTGAAGGGCAGTTGGACCAGCACGTCGCGATCTTCGAGACCAGTCCAGTCTAGGTAGTTTGCCATTTCTCCATTGTAGTTCTGGGAAACATAGCAGTGTTGACGGACCAGATCCTCGATTTGAGTGTCGTTTATCTTGCCGGGCAATGCAGGGTACTTTGCGCGTAGAAGCTTGTTGAGGTAATCGGCGCATTGCGAGCGGCCCCAGTCCAAGCGCGTAGCCTGTGCAAGGAGCGGCTTGGAGTCGACGACAGGGACCAGGTGGGTTGATGTGTATGCAGAGGAGACAACGAGACCAGTGCTACCGCCGTTGTAAGCGTAGGAGAAGAGCGAGTCGACACCGTATGCAGCTGCGGGAACGCCGTAAAGCTCGAAGAGGATTTCGGACATGGTGCGCTTGGAGTACTGCAGGTTGGCCAAGGGCTCGGTCATGACGACAGGACGGTCAACGTGTCCCTTGGAGCCATCAATGCCCAGTTTGATGAAGAGGTAGTCCAGAGCACCCTCCAAGACATCCCAGTTGTTGATGATGTTGCTTCCCGGCTCATACAAGTTTTTGGCCTGGCCTCGAGCAGTACCGTCGAAGTAGATCTCAGAGCCGATGAAGTTGAGCTTGCGATTCAGCTTGCGATCCGTGTATCGAGCCATAAGCGGTGGTAGGGAGAGGCGTGGACTACGGTCGGACTGCCATCCGGCGCGGATATTGTACGAGCCTAGATGACGGGAAGTATCAGTGACGGGCAGAATAGAAGGTGCTGGGAGCGAGAGCATACCATTGTCGATGACTATGGCGCTGTCGGGAGCGCTGCTGCGGTATGCGCTCTGCTCGACGGCATGGTAGCCCTCGTACGGAGGGTCGCTGACATGGTAGGGCTGGGCTGGTCCTTCAGGCGGCGTGTTGCGACCGCTCTGTGTCTCTGACTTGATGTCGTAAATGCGATAGACCATCGTGCTCTGATGTCTGTTACATGATGCTTGGAGGGTTCGCGTTGTTGGCCGGCTTGCTTGTGCTCATGCTTTCCCCACAACCCTGTTCTGCATCCGCCGTCACAAACTCTACCAATCAAACCCACTTGAGAACTATTTGCCTCGTTTAATTGTTGTCCATCCTGTTTGAGTGAATTATTTCTATTTTCCACGTGTTGAAATATCAAAATCGGTCATGTGTGGGTTGAGATTCCTATCCTTCTACAAATATCCAGAGTTCGAGCCCTAACCACGCTATGATCAGCTATACCGTCCACGAAGATGTCAATATCATCGACAAAAAACTCCAAGATATTGCCACACTGTTTTCGGAGAACTACGGTATCTGGAGTTCTGCTGCTCAAGGCAAGAGCAAAGGTCAACGAATACGTTCAAGTCCAACGCGCCTCAGATCCGACTGCTTACCGGAAGCACCTGCTCGCAGTTTTCTTGTTCAAGCCAAAGACGGGGACCTTCTGCTTGGCCATGTTCTCGCGACTCGATGGATATTTCAGGGCATGAAAATGTGTTGGATTACTCAGTTGTGTGTTTGCAAGGCGTACAGGAACCAAGGATTGGCGACAAAGGTAAGCTGAATTGATACAAAATACTTTAGAAGAACAGGCCAGTCTCCACGGAGAGCGACTATCCCAAGCGACTCTCGATGGACATTTCTTGAACCTGAACACTACTGTGCATTTTCATAGCTTCCTTTCCAATCTGTGTTGCCAGGAGAGAGAGCTGACTGGTCTCCCTAGCTTCTGGCCAAGCTGAGCGAAAACAACGATGATGATGGTTTTGGCATTCTGACCTCGCATCCTTTTGCAATATCGGCAGCTCTTCGCGCCCTCGGCGATGGTCTTGACCAAACGAAATTATGTACCATTAGTGATCGGATTAGAGACATCATGGCCTCGTGCCCTGTCAACTACGTCCGGACTGCTGAACTTCGCGGCTCTTTGTTCGATAGCGATGTGGACGATGGCACAGTCTTTTGCGCAGATACTAAATTCTTCGTCGACCACGCAGAGCCTGATACCGCGTTGAAAACAGTGCAGAGCAAGGGCATCAAGTGGCCTTTTGGGAGACTGCCAGAGGGACATGAGTTCTTGGCCTTCATAGAACGTCCATAGACTTTTGAAGGAGGACGCGCTTTTTGAACCCGACAGCTTTCACGAGGCCTCGCGGAGGTTGTCCGTCGCTGCTACGCTCAGTATACGACTTGAGATCTCGACATCAATATCCAGCTTACCTTCGAGATGGAAGAGAACGTTGGACTGATAATTCTTGAACATCTGGGCAACAAGCTCAACATCCATGTTGTTGATGTTGATTTCCTGCTCGATTCGTTAACTAGTGACTGGAAATATCCGACAAGTTCAATTCACCTGCAAACTCTTGTTCAACATCATGACGGCCTCGTTTAGTTTCTCCTGAAGTCTGTAAACATTGGTGAAGTGGAGTGATTGTATGTGTCAACGTACCACATTGGTGATAATTCGGGAGAGCAGAACGTTCTGCTGGTGTTCATGAGGACTCTCCTACGTGACATCAGCAAGACAATCTACAATGCCTCTTGTGTGCAGAACATACCATGTTGATTGAGTGATGGCTTTGTGTTTACGTTCTGCAGCCGACCCAACAAGGCTCGGACCTGTCTCGCCCAACTTGGCCGACCAGCGGTGTTGGCGGCAGGTGCTCGGGAACTAGTCCCAGAATAGTAACCGCGATCGACTGCGTCATCCTTCTTGATATCGACTCCAAAAAGTGGCCGGCGGACGACGACTACCTTACTCATACACGGTCGCGTCTTTGATCTAGCAGTCCTTCCTGGCAGCCCTCACTAATTCTAGAAGCGACGCTCTTCTTACATCGACTCATCATGTCGGCCAGTCTGAACAGCGCAGAGACTCAATGGCTCGCTCAGCTTAGCGCCATGCGAGCCGCCATCGCCGAGCTCAAATTGCCTACCGAAACAGAAAGCGTGCCAGCTTACGGCCAGGATGTCTGGACAGACGAGGAAGATTCTTCAGAACCTACGAGCGGCGACGATGATCTCTGGGACCTTGTTGACGACGACGATGAAGATCAAGCCTCCCTTAGTGACTCCTCGTATCCCGTGCCCTCATATCCTGTGCCCGACGAAACACCAACTCCTGCATATGGTGCCGCGTGGTTGCGCGAGAGGCTCGCATATGTCTCATCTAGCATGACTGTGGATGAACTGCAGGATCACATCGTTGCTATACTTGGCTCGGACAGTAGTGGTATGCTGAATTTCTTCGCCGCAATATCTTTTGCCTCAATATGAACTCGTCTGACATATGACNNAGATGATGAGCTCCAGATGCTTCTTGCCGACACCTTAGGCTTCGACGAACTCGATCTGGTAGCCGACTTCATCGCCCACAGAAAAGAGATTACCACCGCTGTGCAAGCTCCTGTGAAGAGCGAATCCAATGGTAGAATCCTTACGCGCCGTGAACGAGAGGAAGCTCTTCTTGAACAAGACTTTCAACATAAAACTGCCTCTCTTGCTGTCGCCCAAGACCGTTCCGCCACTCAGTATCCTCATGTCTACCGAGCACACGACGCCGGAAACATGCTCTCCTCCCACGGTCGGAAATATATGCTACCGCTTGGGAGTGAGCGGACCGAGCACGAAAAATATGAAGAATACTCCATCCCTCCTGCAAAGGTTGGTACTCTCGGCCTTGGTCAATCGCTTGTCATGATCCAAGATATGGACATACTTTGTCGGGGTACTTTCAAAGGATACAAGTCTCTGAATCGCATGCAAAGTCTGGTCTACCCAGTCGCCTACAAGACCAGTGAGAACATGCTGATCTGTGCACCTACTGGTGCTGGTAAAACCGACGCTGCCATGTTGACCATCCTCAATACTATCGCCAAGAACATCACACCAAGTCTATCCGACGATCCAGATGCTACCGAGCTTGCTGTTGCCCTCAACGACTTCAAAGTTGTTTATGTTGCCCCCATGAAGGCGTTGGCTGCTGAAATCACCGAAAAGTTGGGCAAGAGACTCGCGTGGCTCGGCGTCCAATGCCGTGAGCTCACTGGAGATATGCACCTTACCAAGGCCGAGATTGTTGCTACTCAGATCATTGTGACCACACCGGAGAAGTGGGACGTGGTCACGAGAAAGAGCACTGGAGATACGGAGCTTGTTCAGAAAGTCCGTCTTTTGATCATTGATGAGGTCCACATGCTTCACGACGAGCGAGGTGCTGTACTGGAATCTCTTGTCGCAAGAACTGAGAGACAAGTCGAGAGTACCCAATCTTTGATCCGCATCGTTGGTCTTTCTGCCACGCTTCCCAACTACGTTGATGTCGCCGACTTCCTCAAGGTCAACCGAATGGCCGGATTGTTCTACTTTGACGGCTCCTTCAGACCAGTACCTCTCGAACAACATTTCCTTGGTGTCAAAGGCAAAGCTGGCAGCAAGACCTCCCGAGAANNAAACCTCGAGATCGTCGCCTTTGAGAAAGTACGTGATATGTTGGAGAGAGGACATCAGGTCATGGTTTTCGTGCATTCTCGCAAAGACACCTGGAAGACTGCCAAAACCATGTACGAGATGGCCACGGACGAAGGTTGCACCGATCTCTTTGATCCTTCCTTCCACGAGAACTATCAACAAGCTTTGCGCGATCTGAAGACTTCCAAAGGCCGTGAGCTTAGAGAACTCGTGCCCAAGGGTTTCGGTACTCATCACGCCGGCATGCCCCGTTCGGACAGAAATCTTATGGAACGTCTGTTCGCCGACGGCGTCTTGAAGGTGTTGTGCTGTACTGCCACTTTGGCCTGGGGTGTCAACTTGCCAGCTGCCGCAGTCGTCATCAAAGGTACTCAGCTCTATAGCGCAGAGGCAGGTAAGTTTGTTGATCTTGGTATCCTCGATGTTCTCCAAATTTTCGGACGTGCCGGTCGCCCTCAATTCCAGGACACTGGTATCGGCTTTATTTGTACCACTCAGGACAAGGTCCAACACTATCTCACTGCTGTCACTCAACAACAGCCTATCGAATCCAACTTCTCCAAGAAGATGGTCGACAACCTCAATGCCGAGATCTCCCTAGGCACCGTAACTTCGGTGTCAGAGGCAGTACAATGGCTTGGATACTCTTACCTATTTGTCCGCATGCAACGAAACCCCATGGCATATGGTATTGACTGGGCTGAAATTCGTGACGATCCTCAACTTGTGCAGAGGCGTCGTGAGTTGATCATCAAGGCAGCTAGAGTCTTGCAGCAAAGTCAGATGATCATTTTTAACGAGACAACTGAAGAGCTCCGCGCAAAGGACGTAGGCCGTATTGCAAGTCAGTACTACGTTCTGCAGACAAGTGTCGAGATCTTCAACACCATGATGCGACCTCAGGCTACAGAGGCAGATGTCTTGAAGATGATCAGTATGAGTGGTGAGTTCGACAACATCCAGTCTAAAGAGCCGGAAGAGAAAGAGCTGTTGCGTCTCCAAGACGAGGCTGCTCCTTGCGATATCGAAGGTGGTATCGGCTCACAATCTGGCAAAACCAATGTCTTGCTGCAGTCGTACATCTCCAGGGCGCGTCTTGAGGATTTTACTCTGGTATCGGACTCTTCATATGTTGCTCAGAACGCAGCCCGTATTTGCAGAGCTTTGTTCATGATTGCATTGAACAGACGCTGGGGCTACCAATGTCTCGTTCTTCTCTCTATGTGCAAGTCTATCGAGAAGCGAGTATGGGCATACCAACATCCTTTCCAGCAGTTCGACCTTCCTCAAGCAGTCATGCGAAACCTGGACGAAAAAGGCTCGAGTGCTTCGATCGAATCTCTCAGGGATATGGAACCGGCAGAGATCGGAGCGCTTGTCCATAACCAGAAGATGGGATACACAATTGCTAAGCTGCTCGACAACTTCCCTACACTGACCGTCGAAGCTGAGATTGCACCTCTGAACAGAGATGTACTGCGTATCCACCTTTACATCACACCTGACTTCAGATGGAACGAGAAACACCATGGCAAGTCCGAATCATACTGGATTTGGGTGGAGAACTCCGAAACTTCGGAGATTTACCATCACGAGTACTTCATTCTCTCGAGAAGAAAGCTCTACGATGAACACGAGTTGAGCTTCACCATACCGCTTACAGATCCACTCCCTTCACAGATCTATGTTCGTGCTGTCTCTGACCGATGGCTTGGAGCTGAGACTGTAACACCTGTCTCATTTCAACACCTGATCCGACCCGACACGGAGAGTGTGTATACCGATCTTCTCAACTTGCAGCCCTTGCCTATCGCTGCGCTCAAGAACCCTCTTCTAGAGGAGATCTATAGCCAGCGATTCCAGTTTTTCAACCCCATGCAAACCCAGCTATTCCATTGCATGTATCACACACCAGCTAATGTCTTGCTGGGATCGCCCACTGGTAGTGGTAAAACAGTTGCGTGTGAGCTTGCAATGTGGTGGGCCTTCCGTGAAAAGCCAGGCTCCAAGGTTGTTTACATTGCACCCATGAAGGCTTTGGTGCGTGAGAGAGTTCAAGACTGGGGCAAACGCTTGACGAGGCAGATGGGCCTGAAGCTTGTCGAGTTGACTGGTGATAACACGCCAGATACTCGAACGATTCGCGATGCTGACATTATCATCACAACTCCTGAAAAGTGGGATGGTATTAGTCGTAGTTGGCAGACCAGAGACTATGTACGTCAAGTCAGTCTGGTGATCATCGACGAAATCCATCTGCTCGGTGGAGACAGAGGTCCTATTCTAGAGATCATTGTCTCCAGAATGAACTACATCGCTTCGCAGAAGAAGGGATCTGTCCGAATCGTTGGTATGTCCACCGCGTGTGCCAACGCCACTGATCTGGGTAACTGGCTTGGTGTCAAGGAAGGCTTGTTCAACTTCCGACACTCGGTGCGACCTGTTCCTCTGGAGATTTACATCGACGGCTTCCCCGAGCAAAAAGGATTCTGTCCACTGATGCAGTCGATGAACCGACCAACATTCCTTGCAATCAAGTCTCACTCTCCAGACAAGCCTGTCATTGTCTTTGTTGCTTCTCGTCGCCAGACAAGACTGACAGCTCGCGATCTCATCAACTTCTGTGGTATGGAGGAGAACCCTCGCCGCTTTGTGAAGATGTCAGAAGATGACCTCGCGGTGAATCTTGCACGAGTCAAGGACGAAGCCCTTCGCGAATCGTTGAGTTTCGGTATCGGTCTGCATCATGCAGGTCTCGTCGAGTCGGACAGGCAGCTGGCGGAAGAGCTGTTTGCAAACAACAAGATTCAGGTACTTGTTGCCACCAGTACTTTGGCTTGGGGTGTCAATTTGCCTGCTCATCTTGTTGTCGTCAAAGGCACGCAGTTTTTTGATGCAAAGACAGAGGCATACAAAGACATGGATCTCACGGACGTCCTGCAAATGCTTGGTCGTGCTGGACGACCCCAATTCGACACTTCAGGTATCGCCCGTATCTTTACGCAAGACGCCAAAAAGGCGTTCTACAAGCACTTCTTGCATACTGGTTTCCCAGTCGAGTCGTCGCTTCACAATGTCCTAGACAACCATTTGGGCGCTGAGGTATCTGCAGAGACAATTGCTACCAAGCAGGACGCCCTCGACTATCTTACGTGGACGTTCTTCTTCAGAAGACTTCACAAGAACCCTTCATACTATGGTCTTGAGATCTCATCAGAGGAGCACAACACTATGGTCGCTCAGCAACTCGCTAACGAGTACATGGTTGAGATGGTTGACAAGTCATTAGCAGAGCTTGCAGATTCTGGTTGTGTCACTATGCACAGCAACGGTGACGTTGATCCAACCCCTCTGGGTAAGATCATGAGTTACTACTATCTCGCTCACAAGACCATTCGCCATCTAATCAAGCACGCCAAACCGAACGCCACGTTTGCAGAAGCTCTGGCTTGGATGTGCAGTGCAACTGAGTACGACGAACTACCTGTCCGTCACAACGAGGATCTGATTAACGCTGAACTCTCTGCGGCCCTGCCATTGAAGGCCGAAGATGCCATGTCGGGATTGCCCATGTGGGATCCTCATGTCAAGGCGTTCCTACTGCTGCAGGCTCACTTTTCGCGCATTGACCTCCCAATCTCGGATTACGTCGGTGATCAAACCTCGGTCCTCGATCAGGCAATTCGTATCTTGCAAGCGTCGATTGATGTGCTTACAGAGCTTGGTTTCAACTCGAGCTGCGGCATGATGATCACCCTGCTCCAATGTGTCAAGTCTGCTCGCTGGCCTGAAGATGGTCCTTTGGCTATGCTCCCGGGAGTCGAGCCTCCGAAAGAACGTCAACGTCTTTCCTCTTCGAAGAACCCCAAGCCCAAGAACCTGGTTGAAGCGACAACCACGTCACGCAAGGAAATGGAATCAGTGTTGCACAAGCAGCTGTCGTTGGCACCTCCTCAACAGCCACGCGCTTTCAAGGCGTTATCCGCTCTACCTCAACTTCGTGTCAACGTCTCCGACGTCACAGCACTAGGTTTGAACGTCTCGGTCGCCCGTCTCAACCCTGCTCTCAACCGTGAATTTCACATGTACGCACCGCGCTTCCCCAAGCCTCAATCCGAGGGCTTCTTCCTCGTCGTCGCGGATACCAAGACCGATGAAGTACTTGCTCTCAAACGTATCTCATGGCACGTGGCTACTCACGGCAAGCAGGCTGCACAGGCCAACCCCAAGCCTACTTCTAGAAGCAAAATCAGGCTGCCTCCTGCAGATGGTGAGAGAATGGTTTCGGTCAAGGTTGTTAGTGATGGATATATCGGCATGGAGTGGCATGTCGAGGATGTGGAGATTCCTGCTCCCCCAATGATTGTCGACGATGGACTCAAGAAGAAGCAAGGTTAATTCAGCGGCCGATGTAGTGACTTCACACCAATAGTGTTTCGAGGCGGCGAATAAACTAGCACATGATTCTCTCTATTCTCCTCAAAGCATGTCAGAAGAAGACCACTTTATGTCCCAGCGCAAATGCAGAATTTCAGTTGTCATCTCCCAGAAAATCCCCGGGACAAACCTTTGCAGCAATCTCTCTCCACATCATGAATTGCTTTCCGAATAACGGATGTGCATCCGGTCTTTCTGCAGCTAGCCTCTGGTCATTCACATTCCAAGGCTTGCCCATCGCTGTAAAATGCAGGACTGCCACTTGAGTGTAGAGGTCGAATAACTCTGTGTAGTGTTTGCGATGCGTCAAGTCAGTTCTGTGGTCGCTGGTTTCTGAGGAAAGGGAGTATGGAGTGCCAGGTTTTGGGGCTGAGGGGTTGTTTGGGAGGATAGGTGGGAGGATGCCACTTGAGGGGTGAGGGTAGTCTGCAATGTGATGCAGCTTTGGCTGCTTTTCGTCCCCTTGATCCGGCAGAAGCAGAGGAAGATTCTGTTGCTTTTCCTTTTCATCTTGCACTTGTTTTGTTTTAGTGTCTGACCATCTCTGTGTTGCCAATTTTTTGTAATCTCCATCTCCATCTTCTTCTTCTTCTTCTTCTGCAGCAACATCTCTTTTTCCAAGTTGTTTTGNGCTGTGTGTTGTTGTGTTTGCTTTGTACCAAGTAGGCAAATTCCAATCTTCCCAATGACTGTTCAACGCCACGTAGTTTCCCTCCAAAAGATGCACTTCCTCCCCAAATACTTTGTTAGCGATATCCATATCATATTCATTTTCTTCTATTGCCTGTATCGCCTTTTCAACTCTTTTGCTTAGGGATGGCGAGAGTTTGATCACCATCAATGCCGTCGAAAAGATACCGGGGTCTAACCAATAAGCTTGTGGTGCTGCTATTGAGGTGTCATTGTCGATGGAAAAGAATAAATGATCGAAGGAGTGAAGGATCAATTGATCTGCATCCATGATCATCACTCTCTGTATCCTCTGATCAACCTCTTGCAATTTGAACGCTTGGAGTTTTAAAAGACAGTCTGTGTAATAGTTTCCAGCTTCCGAGCTTTTGTGTAGGGGAGGTGGTGACTGAAACGATAGTGTTGCATTTGTTTGGCGAAATGCAGAGACGTAGGGTGCTGAGATTTCGGAAGTCAGGAGGATGAAGATTTGGTGGGNGGTGGAGTGGTGGGAGGTCAAGAGGTGGATGTTGACGAGGACTGAGCAGGCATAGGCGTCGGTTGTTGCGTAAAAGACGTAGGTGTAAGGGGAGGGCGGGGTCTGTGATGGATCGTTAGCAAAGGGTAGTGGTCATGATGTGCGAATGTGTTGTATGATTTTTCTTTTCGTCCTGGGAAGAGGGATCTTTTGCTGTGGTAAGGTGCAGCAGTGCAATCTCTTTACCTCTAAAAAAGCAAAAGGAGGCAACAGTGAAGAAACCCAGCTGTTCATCACACATACCTCTTCGATGTTCATTTTTGTATCACCTAACTTCTCCTCAGCATGAACCACCAATGTCTTTGCAGCGACATGTCTCCACGAGCTGTGAACTGCGTCCGAGGCCACACCCACCACTCGTCTAGATTCTCCCTTATACAACACCCCAACCCAAATAATAGCAAAAAGAACGAAAATGCAAAGATAGATTATTTTCCCTGTCCTCAACAACATCGCTTGGTGAACCTTTTCCGAGAAGACGTGTGTAGGATAGAAAAGAAAGACTGAAAACAATGAGCTGAGTCGGGTAAGTAAAATAAGCAGAAAAGACAACAGAAAAATGCAATCAAGGCAAAAAAAAAAAGAGGAACAGGGAAGACAAGAATCCTCATGCTCGAGGAACAAAGCAGTGAGGGATGATTTACCTGCCCTGTAGAGACCTCGTTCCATTCCTCGCATTTTCCTGCGTCTTTTTCTCGCCTGGGACAGACACCAAATTCTGGGGCCACCTACCTATAGAGAGCCCATGGAGACTTGTCTCTACCAAAGCTAGTCAACAGAGCCCGTGAGAATCTTCGATGCAAGTTGTCTACCGTTCCATGGTTTTCAGCCCTATCGTAAGAGCAGAGTATACTACAAAACCACACGATCAGTTTCCCAAAGCACATATATCTCCAAGGAGGGAGCCGCGACGATACCGACTCTCAAAGGATACTGCCCTACCTCTTGATACCACTGTGTACCTCTATAGCTAGCTTTAGCACACGCAGAGAGAAAGGGAAACTAGAAAAAGCACCTAAAGATAGGGATGGAACATAAAAAAGAAAACGGTCAAGTGGGTTCGGCGTTTCGATCACGCAACGTGAGTGCAGCGCGGAAACAAAGGCTTGGCAGCCAGTCGAGAAATATTCAACCGCATCAAGGGAGCAACTAAATCTTCCAAATAGAAGACATAGATCTGAAGTCCTTGGACCTACATACTACACTGCAGATGAGGACGATCTCAAGGATCAGAATAAAGACAGTAAACATTTATCATTATTTGCTCCCCATAAGGAGAAAAAGGACGAAAATAGAAATCCAACCCCTTGAGAAAGCAAAGCCGTTGCTCGCTATACATTAGAATCTGCAGCAAGGAGAAAAAGAAGAGGGCCCGAGCAGAACGAACAAGAGACAACGGCTAGCCGATCGCATGAAAAAAGAAAAAAGGAGGAAGAAAGAAACAATATCCTCATCTAATAATCCAAAGCCCATCGTGTGATGGAAGAGGTATAGTACAGAAGTGAAGGAAAAACAAAGATCGTGAACCAAAACTCGCAACGAAGCGAAGAGAGAAAGAAAAACGCTCAAGCCCATAAGAATCCATAAGAATCAAGGCATCCTCGATATATAAACAGTTTTGTGCTTTGCACCAGTCCAGTCGCGTAAGCTGCTGGCTGATGTATATTCCTTCTTGAGGAACTGTCGTGAAATGAATAAAGACACCCAAACTCCACGCTGCATTTTTGAAAGAAGTCACCATCCCGAATCTGTGGGCGCTTGGCCTCACACCCGAGGTGCAGTGTCACGTTTCTCTAACGTGCCGAACAAACTCTCCGGCGGGATCCTGTTCAGATTGGCATGTTGATCCGGTCTCAACTGAGGCATGGGCACGTAACCCTGTCTGCGGCGACGGTGTCGTTCGACTAATATGCCGATGACAACCAGCAGGAACGTCAGGGCGCAAGCGATTGCAAGGCCGATCAGGACTACAAGGCCAAGGGCAAGATGGTGGGNCTATGCATTGTCAGTATATGTCAATTGATCGTATTTTGAGCATCACTTACACTTGGAGCTCAGGAAGTTGCTGGGGTTTTGGACAAACATGCCGCTCAGAGTTCCTTGTCCACCATTTGCGGTTGTAGTAAGGACGAAAGGTTGGAAAGTGGTTCCGTTAAACAACACAGCGCTGGCGTTACCATTGTCAGGAAGCTCAATGGAACCGGTCAGCAACAAGACTTCGTTTGAGGGAACAAGGTCGCTCAGCTGATGCTTCTGGGTGAGAGAGATGATTTGGAGACCTCTGATGTTGGTTGCGGAACCGAGGCCAGTGACAGAGTGCCAGTTGGTACCATCATACTTTTGCAAGAACGAGGATCCATTGTTTGCAGTACCTGCGACCCACCAAGCATCGTAGTTGGGATTAGCCGGTGTCATGGAGGTGACGGCGCCGGGCAGATTGGCTGAAGCGCCCAAATCGGTGAAAGTCTGCTTCTTGGAGTCGTAGAGAGCCAGCCTGGTGTGGTTGCCGCCAATGGTAAAATCACCACCCACGATCAGTTGATTGTTAGATCTCCAGGTCATGGCGTTGATGGTACCACTCAAGCCAGATGCGGGGGNCATCCATTGTCCGCTCGATGTGTCGTACATGCAGAACGAAGGACAGGACATGGAGCCGGCGTTCTCAAAGTTGCCTCCAACAAAGACATTGGAAGAACCAGGCTGTGCTGCGACAGTGTTGACAATGACAGAATTGCCGGCGAGTGCTGCGGGCTGGCTGGTGGCGAGCGCATTCTTCGACAGATCCCAAACAAGGAGACCATTAACGTTGTCGCCATTGGCTGTTCCAGTGATTGAGCCGCCAGCGAAGAGACTAGTATCACGAACTTCGAGAGCAAGAACAGTCGAGTCTGCATCAATAGTGCTGGGAAGACCAATGACATTCTGGCCGTTGGTGTTATCGATGATGAGAAGGTTGTCAATGGTGGTTCCAGCAGAAGAGTTGGCAGTGAAATGACCTCCAAGAATGGTCATGTTCTTGCCGTTCTCAAGGTAGAAGTAGCCAGTAGCGACACCAGTGACATTCTGACTGTCAGCGGCTCTCTTGCGCATGCTGGAAGACTGCTGCGAAGGAGAGATGGAGATACCAAGCGGCGAAAGGTTAGGACGACCAGAGCCACTCAGGGCGACTGCATCACCCATGCCGATCTGCGAAGCAACGAGGGACCCGGCGAGGAGTTGGCCGTAGTTGGCTACTTCAGTTTGCGCCAGCAAGCCGCCGCTCAAGGCAACAGTTGCATTCGCCAAGTTGTGAAGCCAGTTGCCCCGAGAAGGTACCCAAGCGGCGAAACCCTTAGCAGAGTAGGTGGCATTGCTACCAACAGCGTTGACGCTGGTGAAGGCACCACTCACAGCGAGAACGGTTTCTTGATCTTTACCAGTAATGTTCAGTTGTAGAGGAACAATTGCCCACACGGGACCGTTCACACCAGCGCCAAGTGCCTTCCATGAGTTGTCATCAACGGAGAAAGCAGCAATACCGTTGAGACCAGAGGTTTGAGCTGTCACAGTGTTGGTGAAATTACCACCAACATAGATGGTAGACTCGTTCTGGTACATGGTGCGTACCACAGCATTGAGTCCGCCTCCAGGGAGCGAGGTGGCATTTCCGCTGCCAATACTGAAGATGTTGTGAATGTCGCCGTTCGAGAAGTTGCCAGCGACATAGGTCACATCTTTGTATACAGCAAGAGCGTTGATCTTGGCGCCCATATCCAGCGACATGGCAGCAGAGTCAACCTTGGAAGCGGAAAAGTCGGTGTTGACAGTGGCAACATTGGGGTCGTACTCGTAAAGGCCATTCAGACCACCTGTTGAGGTGACCAGCTCGAAGCGAACGCGCTGTGCCACGACAGTCAGAGGAGCATTCTGGCCAGCGACTGGAGTCAGAGTGACCTCTGGGCGGAAAGAGTCGGAGGCAGCATCTACGTAGCCGTAGTAGATTTGATCGTACTTGTCGTAGTAGTTTGTTTGGTACAGAGTAGTAGCGACAGCGCCTTCCTCTGTGGTCATGGATGCGGTAATGTTCACAATGCCGCGAGACGAACAAGTGTCGTCCTGGAGGCAGCCCGGAGTGTACAGAGTGACCGAGTAGTTTCCAGATTGCTTGATGTCGGGCATGAACACGACCTGTGCAGCGTTGGCATTGGCGGTGACGCTGCTGTTCAACGAGGCGGTAAGATAATCGGACGTACTAAGACCCGAGGGAGTCTGCACCCAAGGACCGGTAGCAGTCGAGTTGGCACCAGTGGTACTAACACTGTCGCAACGGGGCTCATTGAAATCGGAGATTGCAAATGCGTAGATGTCGTCTTGGAACAACTCGATACCACTCAAGCCACCACCAGCGCCGTACCAAGCAGAGATATCGATGCGGAAGTCGTTCATGCCGACAGAGTTGACAAAGTGGAAATCCTGGTATGAAGTGTTGCCTTGAGGCAGAGGGCAGTTGGCAGTGCAAGAGGCAAGGCCACCGCTCTCGTCCGTGTAGGTGAAGTTCATGATACCGTTGATAGGGAAAGCAGTGAAGCGCCAGGTTTTGGTTCCACGGCCATCCTGGTTGGTGTTGTATAGGCGCAGCTTTGTGGGATTGAAACCAAAGCCAAATGAACCTCTCCAGAAACCAGGAGTATTGTCCTCGAGGAGCCATGCGTTTCCAGCAGAATCGTCACCAGTCTGGCAAATGATGTTGCGGGGATCGCTGAATCCAGAGGTCGAAGTCGAGGCACCAGAGGTAATGTTTCCAGCAGAAAGATTGATAACCTGAACGTCCCTGTTTGTGGGGGTGGTTGTGTTGCCTAGACCTTCAAAAGAACCGCCAAAGATGATGGAACCATTGGAGCTCTTGGCGATGGATGTGACGGGACCGTTGAAGCCAGCAAAAGGAAGATTTGTCCAACCAGTAGTCCAGGCAATGGCGTTTGACGAATTGCCTCCGGTGAAAGTGCCTCCAACATAGACTGTAGAAGATTCGTCGTCGCAATACACGGCCGACACGGAACCGGAGAGACCGTCCAGAGGGGTGATTTTGGTCGTGTTCGGGTTCCATAGAGCAATTCCCTGAGCGGGGACGCCGCCCAGACTGGTGAAGTTGCCTCCTACGACGACACCCTGGAGAGCACCATGGCTGACGAATGGGCACATGGTAGTGATGTATGCATCGGCGAGGGCAAGACTTTGGAATGAGCCATCGGGATACTCGGAGAAGAGGTATTGACTGCCATTGCCAAAGTTTGCGTTTTGATTTTGTCCTTCGTAGGTGTAAAGAGATATTGAGTCGAAGTCGCCAGCTAGAGCGACGCGGCCGAGGCCAGAGAGATCAATGTTCGGCGACGGTGCTTGAGTGAAATTACGGGCGGATGCGGAAGAAAGAAGAATAGCGAGGGTGGAGCCAAAGGCGAGCGGGCGCGACGAGCATGCTGAGGGCCTCATGTTGTGCGCAGCTCTCCGTCGCTCGGTCTAGGACGTCGGCGGCGGACGAGCGGACACGGTGGCGATGGAAGAATGCGTGTAGATGATTGTCGAAAAAGAGATGGTCGCAGTCCAAGTGGTAGCTGAATGGAGTGAAGTCGTCGGTGATTGCTACGAGGCAGGAGCGGGCCAGGATAGGATGCAGGTGCGATGTTGTGCGAGCGTCGGGTCACGTTTTGGGACGATCTCGTGGGTGGCTTGAAGTCTGCGGATGAAATCTAGGAAGGAAAAGGTGAAAGAATGACTGCAGTTAGAATGCGTGCTGCTGGCTATGGATTGCGCCCCTGGTGGCCGCCGTCTGTCTCNGCGGTCGTCGTCAGGGAAAGAACTGAGACAAGGCAAAGCTGGTGCTGGTCAAAGAGCGTGGAATGCGCTGCNCCCCAACCAACGCCCGCCAGCAACACAAGCCGACAGGAGAGTCCGTCCGATACGACCAGCGCGGCCCGTGCGNNTTGCCGTAGCGCCAATCACGTTGGAGAAGGAAATGATGCCGAGCCAAACAGCCAAACATGAACGACGCGCGACTTGCGTAAACACGTCAATTTCACCACTGTGAACAACCTCGTCATTGCTGTNCTGGCTTATTGCTATATACCCAGCAACCCTCATATCGTCGTACCTCTCCGTTTGATCTTCAAACTNCGTCCCGGCATGCCTTGCTCAAGCTCCAGCCTTCTTCCTGCCTCTGCTGTGCATCCTTCGTTATGTCGTAAAACCGCTAGTCAAGGCCCCCCCTGCAGCCCCTGTAGCAAAAATGTCTTGTGCATCGTGCTGCTCGCTGGCAAACGCAAACCCGTTGTGACATGAGTCCATGATTTGCTCCGCCGACCATCCCAATTTCGAACATATCATTGCATCACTTTGCTCAAATGTCATTGTAGCCAAGCAGCCTCTTGGGTAGGCCCTTGTCCATCACCGCCCATGCCCATGCACGTCCTGCCTCTCCGCACCACAGTCCTTCTGGGTTGTCAGACTTTTCGACCAAGCCATCTTTCTCCAGCCCCTTCATCTCGTGGCCAGTCGTGTAGGTGAGGAAGTGCTGACATTGCTCATCATCCAGAGCAAGTGCATTACCTGAGATGCCGTGACACAAGCATGGCTCTTTGGTCANAAGGCCTCGTTCCAAGACACATTCTCTGCCCTTGCGAATGGCGCTGTCGATCCTGCTCTGAAGCTTGGGGAAGTGGTCTCTGATGGAGAGTAAAGAATTGATGACTCCCGGAGCACCATGGCACACCTGGACCAGCTTGTCTTTTGTGGGTGGGAGGCTGCTGGGCCAATTTCCCGTGTCGAACTGGTATGTCAGCAAGACGGAGAGATCGGCCTCGACGGCTCTTGCATAGCGCTCGGGATCGGTCAAGGTGACTTGAGTGATGATGCCAATGAGGCCGTGGACAGCGCCGACGTAGCTCTTGCCGTGCCATTTCCAAGGCCTTTCGGACCTCAGAATAGCTTCGACGACGTCTTCCTGAGTGTCGGATATCATGTGCGACACCTTGTCGTCGTCGACAAAGGCTGCCTTGACCAGACGAAGGTAGTACAGGTATCCTGCTCTTCCATAAAGCCACTCGTTTTCGGTATCATCATCCAGGACCTCGGCAGCATAGTCGCAGAGGGCTGCTGCCATGTCTGCATCTTTCGAACTGGCGGCTCCGATGGCCAGGAGGGCTAGGATATCGTCGGCGACACCACATTTGCCAACACGAGGGCCAGGGAAGGACTTGATGTGGTCTTGCGACTGTTTGAGGTAGGTAGCCGACCAGGTTCCGAGTTGGATGCCTTCGATAAGCAAGTCCGAGTAGAGCTGTTGCAGTATGAGGAACAGGTAGGCGACGCTGGTTGGGCCATGGTAGATGCCACCGCCGGCGCGTACCTCGGCCGGGGGATGCTGGACGACCAGACGAGTGAGCGAAGCTATGAGCTGCTTGTGCGGGTCTCTGCTGCTGAGGGCCTCATCGTTCTTGAAGTAGCGAGGCGGCATGTTGAGGGGAGCTGCAGCGATGCGCGAACAGGCGGGGTAACCAGTTTAAGCTCTGGAACACGTTGTGAAGACCGAGAGGTGAAACAAGGTCGAGAAGATGTCAAAGTGAAGAAACAAGAGGTGAATGTAGAGAAGACTGGAATTTGAGTATTGAATAATTTAGTTGTCAGATTTCATGCAGTTCAAGATGGAAGGGTGACACGAGTTGGCGCATGAAAGCACAAGAGAAAGAAGAGATGTCCGACGTACGCCAAGCCACTCGCTTTCCTGCTTGACCCTGACTGAGACTCCCTGCTCTCTTTGCAATAACCCAAAGAGAAAGTCGAGGCATATCTCATCTCTCAATTCCCACTCATAGGCAGCCCCTTCGTGCCCCTTCCGTGATCCTCTCCCAACACCTCACCACCTACCACCAACTTCTCACAGTCCTGCAACACAAACGTCATCCTCGCCCACTTGCTCTCACTAGGATTCTTCCACGAATGCATTGTCGCCCTCTGCACCGCAATATCTCCCGCCCGCATCAACTGCCTTTCTCCAGAATCCAACACCAATTCAATCTCCCCAGCAATCACAATTCCATAATCCAAAGACTGCGTTCTGTGCATCATGCACTCGAACCCAGGTGCAAAGTCTACCGTGCGACACACCGTGCCATGTGGATTCACGAGCCCGAGTTTTCCTGACGAGGCAATTTTGTCGTGGGTCTTGATGTCGGCGTTTTCGTTTAGGTCTGCTGGGAACTGAGAAGTCGTGTAGGCGACGTTGAAGGCCATTTCCTTATTGTCGTAGACTGTCCAGTTCGCTGGTCGAGATTGCTCGACGATTGCCTTGCCCGACGTATTATGCCCGGTTAGGTACGTGGTGATTGCTGGTAGGTCCGAGATCTGGGATTGTTGGGAAGACATGTCCAGAATGAGCTCAGTTGAATGTTTAATGTTAAAGCTTGCTGAGTGTGGTACAACGGGCAGTGAAGTGTATACAATTCACGTCAAGGAAGCTGACATTGAGGACTTGATATATGCTCCATCTACCCCGCTTTCCATCTCCATGGTTCAAGGCATCGGAAGGAGGTGCTGGAAAGGAATATTGATGCCGGTCGTAAATCTGTCTCGGGACCCCTTCGGACTCCGAGGTGGACGATTATCACACGGTCGAGTCTCGGGTAGACCCCCATTCACTCTGCCAGTAGGTAGCAATTATGGAATGCTTTTGTAATCTGACCAGGTTGGGTCCAACGTTTGTATGGTCATGGAGTTGATGGAAGGGGATGTGTCACAATGAGGGCTTAGATCAGGGTCGCTCTGCGGACAACATGGATTTCCATCTGACCGCCTTGGGCAGAATCAGATCTTATCATGAGCATTTGACCGAACGAGTCTCTCTGTCACGTCCACAGCCATGTTTTTCGCATGCAGGACATGTACTTTTTCATACGTCTTATATGATTCAATCGATCAACATAGTCTGATTTAGACGAGGAGATGGTAGGTGATATTGTCAAGGAGGAGGAGAAGGAAGTTGGCGTCCAGGACAACTCGAAAATGTTTCCACGAGGAGCGAAACCTGTGTCATATGGCCGCGCTCTTCTCCCTGCTGTGCATGCGAGCACTGTAGTGTTGTATAGTCTTTACAATACGTTGGCATACTGTATTCTTTGACAAGAAAAGTCAGATCAAACCCAAGCGATGATCGCTTGTGAGAATCACTCATCCCCTTGGAAAATCAGATCGGTGAGTATGACTTCAGAGTAACTGACCTTGGAGTCACTTCAGGACGAGTGTTTATGCACCCCGTTCGAAGGCCACCTTCTGCATCGGGCCATTGGAGGTAGACATCTAGCTACTTTCAGTAAAGAAAAGCGATGGAGATCCTGTCTTGTCACACGTCTAGAGTTGATCTATCACATGGTAGCGTAGCTACAGGTGTACACAATGCTGTCAAGGTAGAGTAGTGTCCATAGAGAGCCGTTGAGACAGCATCTCCCCATGGACACAGCTCTTACATCAAGATATTCGTGTATTTTTGCAGTCTCAACATTGCTCCGTCCGTGATGGAGATGGTCTCCAGCGCGAGATTGCAATAAGGGCAGCACGAATTGCGAATGCAGAGAAGTTGAGAAAGAGCGATGGAGGTTGAACAATTCGGGCAGCACGGACCAATGTCTCACCAAAGAGCACCTCTTCAACACATACCATCTCCTCGTGTCGCCTTACCTGTTGGCAATCTAGACGAACACAAGTTCGCATCTCCGCGACGACAGCAGACGAGAATGCCCCATTCCGACTCGAAATAGTCGGACCGTTTGGCCTTCGACGATAACGGTTGGCAATGAAGACGCCCATGCCGGTTGCGACTGCGTGGCTGGACAACGACCGAAATCAACCGTCTATCGAAGCATCGACCTTGCTGTCGCCTGTGATACACCGAGTCCATATCGTCTGTTGTCGTCACCGCCGTCCAGAAACCTCGTCATACTTGTTGCTGTAAAGCCGTTCTTGTCGATTGTCCAGGCAAGCTTTGAGTCGAAGCCTATCGATGTGCCTTCTCTACCGAGGAACAGTACCGGATGCATAGAAAGAGAACAATTGTCGCATCAGAAAGAGCACCTGAAAACAAGAACAGCTCGTCCTATATTGGAGAGCAAGGGATTAGGTGGACATGGGATGAGGTCTGGAGGAACATGAGGCAGCCGAGGCACCGGGTCCAGAGCGACGTTGAGGTCGGAAGGGAGACAATGGGCGGCAAAGAAGCATGTTCGGCATTAGATCGTCAACATGCTCAATGCTGCAGATGCTCACTAGGACCTGGTGTACATTACACGTAAGTCGCCTGATAACTCTGCTTCCGTCGCGAGACTCGCTTCATTATCGATTGCGCATCGCGATTGTCACTTGACTTCTTGATTCCCTCATGCTCATGCTTCCTATTCATGTTTTACCTTTGCTCCCTATACGCGTCAAAGCGCATAAAATCCACTCCTTGCAGCAAGTATCGCGCAACGGTTGCACAGCATAGGGTCGACCGTTGAAACTTCTGACCGGGTCTTGCTCCTGAGAACATCATCCACCCCCTTTGAAACACGCCTCTTTTTTTCTTCATTGTCTCGCGGATTACTGCAGAAACAATTCAGTGTGCGGACGCATAGGAAGATGATCAAGAAACATGTCTCACGAGACTGGTGTAAGAGGATGATTCGATGTCAATGCAAGAGCCGCGAGCAACGGCGGCGTTGGTCACGGCTTCTACCTGTCTCCCTCTGACAACCATCGGTTGCGTATTGGGAAAGCCGTTTTCCCGTGACCCTTAAACGTACCTTGCTTGAGCGAACGTGTGAAGGGAAGAGGAAAAAGTGGCTGGATTCAATAAGGAGTTCGATATAATGGTATAAGTAAAGCATCCAGCCATCACAATTCTTGGCCCTTTTGTTTGGTCGTCCATCCACTCTCTGCTTGTTTTTTCCAATTACTCGCTCACTCATACTACTACACATTCGCTTGTTCTTTTGGTTAACAACACATTCGCTCACTTCTTCTCTCGGGCACGACGCGCAAAACACACATCATCATTCGCATCAATCATGCCTGGTTCGAGATCAACGCGAGCCGTCCTGGTGACGGGCACGCTTCTTTCGCTTGCATCGCAGGTGCTGGGACATATGGAGATGAGCTGGCCTTATCCCCTTCGCAGCAAATACAACCCTGCAAACAGCTACACAATCATTGACTACAGCATGACTTCGCCACTCGTCGCCGATGGCTCCAACTTTCCTTGCAAAGGCTACCAGAATGACCGGCCTTTCGTCCCTGTCACTACCTTCTCTGCTGGTTCGACTTACAACATGACTGTCGCGGGTAGTGCTGTACACGGGGGTGGTTCATGTCAGCTTTCTCTTTCGTACGACAACGGCGCCACTTTCAGAGTAATCAAGTCCATGATCGGAGGATGTCCTTTGACCTCGACGTACGACTTTACCATTCCTTCCTATGCGCCTGACGGAAACGCTCTCTTTGCTTGGACCTGGCAGAACGAGATGGGAAACCGCGAGTACTACATGAACTGCGCAACCGTCTCGATCGAAGGATCTTCAGCATCCAAGCGCGACACTGAGAGCTTCGAGGCTCTGCCTTTCATTTGGAAGGCCAATGTTCCTGGAGTCAACACTTGCACTACTACCGAAGGCGAGGATCCGGTATATCCTATGCCTGGCCCAGATGTTCTTTACGGCGGCAGCAAGAGCAGTTCGAGCCCTGCAGACTCACAGCCTGGCGTCTGTGACGCACCCACACCATTTGGAAAGACATACAAGTATCTTGGTGACACCGCTGAGCCTCAGACGGCGACTGTTGGTGGAGCCTCTGGATCTTCGCCCTCGACTGTCAAGTCCGCTGCTTCTTCGTCGTCAACTCAGGTTCCCACCACTCTGAAGACGACGGCAAAGACTGTTGCTTCCAGCATCAAGCAATCTACTAGTGTCGCTGTTGTCCCTGCCCAGAGCAGTGCCAGCAGCAAGAGCACCGCGTCGACCGCGGTCACTCTCTCCTCCGTCAAGAACGCTGGCAAGACATCGGTAGCCAACACACCATTGCCCTCAACCTCTACTTCAGCCTCCGACGACTGTCCCTCAGACGTCACTCTCACCGTCTACACCACCGCCGGCGCCACAGCCAAAACCACTGTCCTTTCCGCCTCTGCCTCTGCTTCCGCATCGGCCTCAGCATCCTCCCACCCCGTCGACCCAGACACCGAATACGCCACCGCAGACCTCAGCACCTACCTGCCCTGCGTGCCAGGCACCTACATCTGCACATCCGCAACTGCCTGGGTAACCTGCGACAGCACCATGTACTCGGACGGCAGCACCTCCTGGGTCTACCGCGACGCACGCACTCTCGGCAACGGTGCCACCTGCGTACCTTCCTTCTCTCCCTACGCCGCTTCCACAAAGCAATATGCCCAACAAGCCGACTCGCCCGCAGGTTTCTACCGCGACGACCGCATCGCTTACCCCACCGGCGCCGGCGCGTGTCCCGAAAACGGAGATTTGCAGTGTGTAGGCACCGGAGGCTTCAACATGTGCAATGACCTGGTGTGGTTTGGTATNGGGGGTACCGCTGCAGGCACCACTTGCAGTAATGGCGTGTTGGTTGCTTCTTCGTAGAGCGGAGGGCACTATTATTTGTCTGTTGGGTATGCTGTGAGGCCTTGTCATGGTCTTTATGGTATCCTCTGCGAAGTCGCCATTCAAAGTTGATGGTGTTTTTGAGCATATTGGCGTTTTCTTCTTCTTTGTTGCGGTTTACTTCTTCTTCTTCTTCTTCTCCTACACCATTGCAAGCATCTGGGATCGGACCACCCTGGATGTATCCGTTTGCAATGTCTTTCTCTTTTGTTTCGTTTGGTTGCGGCATGGGAGGATAAAATGGGAGGCACTCTACTGCATGCAGGGATATGTATATAGATTATACCAAAACAAGTATGTAGAAACAACCACACTGACACACACACAAGTGTTTTTCTGGCGAAAAGCTAGGAGGAAATTACCAAAAGATCATACACACAGAAAGACACAAAAAGCTCATCTAACCATTATGGTGATTTGTTGATTTCGAGAATGAACCTTGGTTCACTGCACATTCTACTTGAGTATATCCCGCTGTTGAGCAAGGAGTAAAGAAACACCATTTTCACCTTCTCACGGTGAGCTCGGTTGGAGGTTGATCTCGACTCACCGTTTGGAAGGAACACCTCATGTGACTCTGACAAGAGCAAAAACCCGTTGTCTTGTTGCACTATGCTGCAAGCCACAGGGACATTTACCGTTATGACAGTCCACGCGCCTTGTGATTCTTGCTTACCCCTCCTGAAAGCCACAATGCGCGTCTCTTTGAAGGTCCTCACAGCAGAGACTCGATTATGGAGCCGCGGACACCGAGGACATACGCGTTGATTCCAAAGTAGAGTCACAAGAGTGTCACAAATACGAGCATCCACCAACAGCGGCGAGGACGAAAAGCTCAGCGATTTGGAAGAAGAAGATGGCGATGATGACGACGACGTCCATAATGGAAATAGAAACCATTTCGAATGAACATAGTGAAAAATGAACCAAAAAACACACAAAATTCGTATAGCCGTGAAGCGTATCCTGGAATATACAAAGATTCTTGGAGCAGACGAACCAGACATCAAGCCATGGTTGCCCTCACAAAAAAGAAAAGAAAACAAAAAACCAAAAGAATATCCCTACGCATTAGATTCCGTACAATTATTCTCAATCCGAGTTTTTCATAGATCATCTTCTTACAGGACCATGGCAACGGCTCCGGCGGCAGCAAAGGCCAGGCCACCAAATCCAGCACCGAGAGCAACAGCACCGCCAGTAGAGCTGGCGATAGCGCTAGAAGCACTCTTGGAAGCCGAACCAGCAGCGCTGGCAGCAGACTTGGTAGCTGTGCTCATGGAGCTAGCAGCGCTGCTGACAGCGCCAGTAGCAGAACTGTGGTGTGCAGAGGCAGCCGAAGAGATGGAACCCTAGCAGAGCAAAAGTCAGGAACGTGAAATCGATGGAGGTGTGAAAGAGTAAAGTTGTCAACTTACGGATGCAGAGCTCTTGGAGCCAGAAGCACTGGAGGCGAGGGCAGAAGAAGCAGACGAGATTTGCGATGCAACACTGCTGGAGCCGCTGGCAGCGACGGAAGATACGGAGGATGCGGCAGAGGAGACGGCGTCGGATGCGCTGACTGCTTGTGCGGAGACAGGGGTCTTGATGTTTACGCTGGCGGTCGTAGTAGCAGAGGCAGTAGATACTGTGCCAGCGCTAGAGCTGTCTGCCTTGTAGTTGTCATTCGAGATACCGAATTGTGTCGAGTCTGTTGTGACATGCGTTAGCATCCACCTCATTGCATTGGCGTAGTCTTTTGCGCCGCATGCTGCATACATTGGTATTGTCCAGTTCCGTCGACGATCAACTCGATGCCATAGTAGGTCTTGTTGGGGGCGAGATGGGTATCGGGGGTCCAGTCGTAGCTGCCAGTGTTGTCGATAGACTCGACAATGGTCTGGATGGGCTGCACATTGGTGGAAGGGCCGTGGAGCAGAACAAGCGAAACCTTGCCCTTGGTGTCGGGCTCCCAGGTGATTGTGAAAGGCTTGCCGACGGGGACGATGCTGTTAAGACCGGGCTCGTAGATGGCATTACCAGTCGGGTCGCCCTGGGGAGTGGTGTAGGCCGAGGCCAGGGGAGCAAAGGCAGCGAGGCCGGCGGTGAAGAGGGCGCGGAAAGACATTATCGTAGTACAAGTTCTTCTCTGTGAAAAGTATGGATGCGATGCTTGTGTGGCCTTGGGAGGTATAAGATACCAAGAGGGACAGAGAGCGACGGGGTTTACTACGAAGGATTGACTGGTTGTTGGTGAAACGAGTGACGGATAGGCGGTGATAGCCCTTGTGGATGAAACGAGCGTGGGAAGGAGTGTGATGTCGCAGACGATGGGAAGTTATAGAAACGGATGAAAAGAGAGTAAGTGAACAACGGGATCTAAACCTCTTGACGATGTTGCAGCACTATCGACTCACACGGGAAGGCAGCAACATCGTAGGAAGGCCATGCAGGAAGCCTAGAGTTTATTACCCAGCGTGACAATCAAGCCGAACGGTCGACCATCGTCGCAGCTCCCAGCTGGCTCAGGTTTCATGGCGCCCATAGCAGACCCTTCCTCTAACCCCGAACAACGTCGATTCCGTGGTTGACCTCCAATCGGACAGTGTTGATATGCGCCCGAGATGAGCTTCTAGACAGCAAAAGGGAAGGCGTGATCCCTCGGTTGGTGACCCGTGGCTTGGCCGCAATCTCCAGCCGTCGAAGCCGAGCAAATCCCCGACTCATGAAATCTCGCTGCCGCCTCTATCTCACTATCTTTGCACTTTACGCGCTCCGCCTCTCAAGGGATATGAATTGCTACTTTGTGTGCAAAGGATCCAGCAAAACTTACAAGCGAACCAGATATCGTGACAAGCAAATCTGGATCCAAATGCGTGCGTGGTGGGCACTTCAAAACACTTGACAGCTCTGCGCCATTGACGCACGGGAAATTGGCTCCTTTTGCACCAACAGCACAAGACACACATGCACCAGCTGGAATTGAATACACGAGAGAAAGTCATATAGATCAACAGTCAATTCATACAGAGGATAGGTGTTCGTATAACTACATGCATACATCCTTCGCGCTTGGGTTATCTCTTCCAATCCTTCGCTGCGGAAATAAGATACAATCCCAAAACGCTCGCTGATCGAAATATCCAATTCGACCATAACAACTTTCGTGTGCCCTATAATTGGGGCTATTCAGCACCGGGCTGAGTCAAGAAGAAGATGCGATGCATGACTTGGCGTTAAGGTCGTTATAATAGCATGTCGTTTCGTTTCTTCCCTTGGGAAGGGATGCAAACATGAAAGAGACGTAAATACAGGTTGCGTTTCATCGTGATGGTCGTAACGAGTGTAGCCATGGCCAAGTAAAACTGGAAGTTTCCGCTTGACCTGGCAGATATTGTATGCACATGAAGTGTGGTGGATTTGTCGAGTGCTTCACCAGTCGGGAGTCGCAACTTGAGAAATGCTTCTAATTGCATTGACCAGGGTCTGTTCGGAGGATGTGGTTAGCCAAAACTGTTGCTCCACCCCAGGAGGAGACATCAAAAATAAACTTACGGTTTCGGTTGGTGACGGGATTGGGGAAGACTCCGTTCTGCAGCAGTGCCTGCATGTCCCATTCGGGAGCACCCTCNNTGCGTATTCGTTAGCTTCGCTCCAAGAAGTCCGACATAGATTTAGAGAACATACCAGTCTTCCATGTCCAGAAGATCCAGCCGGCAGCCTTCTCGTAGCCGTCGAGTTGAGCTTCGATGAACTTGCCGACGTTGTCTCTGTAGGTGGCATCGAGGCCAGCGACTGTGCCGTGGTATTTGCCGTCGCAGCTTCCGATGTAGGATGATGATTGACCATTGTAGTTGTATGTGCCATCGTATCTTGCTCCGACACCTCTACCGTTCAGCCACTGAGCACAATCACTCATCGCTCCAGTCCATTCGCCAGAGATCGTCCACTTGTTGTTGGTTGCCATAGAGGCGCCGAATGAGCAAGCGCTGGAGATGTGGGTGCCGATGTCGTTCTTCAAAACACCACTGTCAAAGACCTCGTAGTGATGCTAGTCAAGCAGTGTCAGTAAGATGTAACCATTGTGTGCAAGTAGACCCTGGGTACTTACAGTATCGAGCAGCAAGTTCCACATGCCACTACCCCAGTCATTCCAAGAATTGACACCAGCAAAGGCATCGTGGAAAGTGACGACCAGGTTGGTAGACTTGAGATTACCCCATCCGTCCATGTAGAACTGGCGAACCTTGTCCATGCCAATCGACGAACCCATTGGCTCATTCAAAAGCTCAATAGTGGAGACGGCAGGGTGGTTGCCCATGTCATCGCGGATCTTGTTGAGTGCAGAAATGGTTCTGCTGATCGAATCGCCTTGACCCCAGCCAACACCGCCTCTTTGTCCAGAGTTGTCGAAGCCGTTTTGCGAATAGGGTGNCTGTGGTTGTGTCAGTGTTGGTATCTATTGTGGGAAGAAGGATAACAAACCTCCGTGAAGGTCAATCATGACTTTGAGGCCTGCGCCGCTTGCCCAGTCCAATGCACGACCGAGGAATTCGTATGCGCCTTGTACGTATGGTGCGTTGTCGTCTTTGATGATTGACCAGTAGCCGATGGGAATGCGGATGTGGTTCATGCCTGCGGCTGCGATTTGGTGCAAATCGTCTTCCGTGATCCAAGTGTTCCAATGGTTCGAGAGTCTGTTGTATGCTTCGGTGGAGCCAAGTGTTTGGCAGTAGGTGTATTCTTGTCGCTGTTTAGTGCTTGCCAACTTCCCCAAGGTCTACTGCAACATACCGTCCACTACATTGTCGGGCGTTGCCTCGAAGATGCTGGGAGTGATCCAAGGCTCGAGGACAAACCAACCACCAAGGTTGACTCCTCGGACTTTCTCACCGCCATAGTTGAATTTAAGATCGCGTTTGTTGAATTGCTNCACTAGTGGGAGTATTAGCAGGAGTAGTAGCTGGGGGCTTAGCTCGGTGTCTTACAGAGGTGCTGCTACACTAGTAGATGGCAACAAAGAGAGTGCCGCAAGGGCTGAGGATAGTAGTGTCTTGGACAACATATTGTAGATTGTATACGAGATGAGAAGGTGATCTGCCAGAGGATTGGCAGAGGATAAAGATGTTCTTGATGTGCAGAGAGATACGAGCTCAACGACGGGGAGCTTTCTACCTTTTGTATGTCTTACCTTGCTACTGCTACAGCTCTGACCGTTGCAATTAACGTAAATCAGCTCAGTAAAGATCATCCACAAGCCATGACTCCATAAGTGCTACACCAGACCACGAGACCAGTGTTGCAGCAAGTGAGCGGTCAGTATTCGGCCAACAGTCAAGATGACGAGAGCGATCATCTCCACTCTACACTTTTTTTCTCTGCGGCCTGATGTTTAGTAAGGCCAAAAAGCTGTATAGCAACGGCGATTGGTCACCCCATAACCCCAAGGGTCCACAGCTTGAGCAGGGATGACGGTGTGGAGAGCCAGGCACGCGTTGTGAATGGTCAAGTTCGAAAAAGTCTAGAGAGCTCACGGGAGCTCACGCGGAAGTGGCTTGTGGAATAGGGAGCGCGAGAAGGCGCGCGGGCCGGAGGCAAGGCGTGTAGTGTCACAAGGCATGCTCGGCACGAATCTGACCGCATCAAAGAGAAGCTGTCCGAGTCCCATAAGGAAGGATTGTCGCAGAAAAGTGAGCTTCTGACTTGGTCATGGCAAATAGCCTTCGAGATACGTCACGGATCAAGCTTTTCTCCACAGCTTTCTCCACGATTCAGACGCGCTTAGGCTTTGGCCAGAGGTGGGCCATGTCTCTGACTCTCGCACCGCCTCGGTTGAACATTTCCAACGACCTTCACGTGCCGTGTGACCTTGCTGCGACTTACAGTCATGTATCAGAAGCAACAGACGAGCTCGGAGGATGGTGATCCGGCGCGACGAGAAGAGGTTTGAGGATTGAGGATTGCCGACTGTTTTCGTGGCTGCCAGTCAGATGTACGCACGTAATTTGCATGCTAAGACTGCAGTGCTACACTCCAAGCAAACCAAGTGCCGCTATGTGACCAGAACACAAAAGGACTAAAGACGTTGATCCTTGATGACTGCATTGCCGACACAATGCTCGGCTGTACAAGAGGAAACGTACAGTAACCACTGACGTGAATGGCAAGTTGATATAGCGAGCATCTCCGGGGGCAAAACAGTGGTGTGTAGCATCTGGACAAGGTGAGAGCTTCAACAGCTCGAATGCCCAATTGGGATACTGCTACGTGGCGGAGAGTCGTTGCGATCAGCCTCGGTACAGGTCAGCTGGCGTGCTTGACAACGGAATGTTTGGGCGATCTCTTCAAGTCGCATAACATAACAAAATACAAGTGGTCATTGGTTTCTGCGTACTGTACAGATGATCGCACGTAAGCGATATCGGTGTGGCTTGCATGCGGAGATATGGAAGCAACTTGATGCGATTCTGGAAGGGATCGAGACGAACGGCAAAAGAAGCCACGCGCACGTGACTGGCACGTTGGCCGCACGCAATGTTGGCCCGAATTGCCGACAGGGGGGCGATTGCCAACAAATTATGCATGTTGCTGTTGCTGTCCAAACAACACAAAGTATCATGACCTGTGATGGGCCGGAAGAAGAAGGAGGTGTATGATGGGAAGCAGACGCTGAAGCAGGCAAAGGCAGCTTTCAAGGCGCGCGGGTCGACCTCTGTTACAGATACAGAGAAGCGCCAACTCGAACGTGGCGCCATTCTGCTGCAACGTGCTGAGCGTATCAAGGAGTCCGAGGCACGCCGGAAGGAAGTGCTCAAGAAGAAATCCCTCCAAGACACAAAAGCAACAAAGACCTGCCTCCTGGGCACGCAGCGTGTCAATGACAAGTTTGGCTACCAGAGAAGCCAGTTCCATCTCGGTGCCTTCCTGAAGCCCAAACATCCTCCTGCCCCGGCACCATTGCCAGCCTTGCAAGAAGAAGAGCCCGCGATAGAGCCTTGGGAGCACGACGACGTAGACGACGACACTCTGCTAGACTTGGCTGGAGAGTCCCCTGTCACAACACTCAAGGGACCGCCTACTCGAGTGTCGTCACAACAGACGCCTAGTAAGACTCATGGCGAGCCCAAGTTGATATCGCCCTCGACCACCGAAGAGTTTGGCAGCTGGGACGACTTGCTCGAGCGCAGCTCCCAAATAGCCCGCGACATCTCCATCCCTCAGAAGCCCACACCACCTGCGACGCGCTCATTCGATCGTATAGCGTCTTTCACATCGGCCGACTTTGATCTCTCTGCCGATGACCTCGAAGAGTTGGACTGGTCGGTCGATAATCTACATCAGAGCAACGCGCCTCTACCACAAGTGCCGCCGCGACAGGTCAGCAAGAATGACGACATGAGGTCTTGGTTGAGTGGAAAGGAAAACAAGAAGGACGAATCAGGCCGCGATATTGACCGAAAATTGATGCCGCCGCCCATGATACTTACAAAACGTCCTTCGCCCACGAGTACTGCGGCACGAACGACTGTGCCACCGGGCGCGCACGGCATCAGTCTCGCTGATCTCGAGTCTTTGGCTGGCGAAGAGATACAGTTGAGCCAGTTTGACGACTTTTGATGCGAGCGGCTCAATCTGTCCTGTGCCTGTCACGTTTCCTGACACGACCCAGATGTCGCCCTGTCGATGACTACGATTTTGGTCACAGCAGCCTGGTTAGGTGCATGTGCCTTGGGTGTTCTTCAGCGTCGATCTTGCGATATTGATCTGCAAGTCTCTGTGCAAACCCGAAATTTTGGCACACAAAAGATGACAGGGTCATACAGTATTGCAGCAGTAGGCAGTGATAGAGATTTTGTATTCGCAGACGTTGAATACGACTGTCTATCATATAATTGCTGTAAAAGTTCTGAAAGAATCGCAAAAGTGGTGAGTAGAATATCGATAGGCGCCCAGGCTGCATATGAGAGGTCAGTTTTGCGGCAAGAGCAAGCATGCGCTGTCGCCTGCATCAACCCGCATGTCAAGCTAGGTACATCGCACGTGATACCGTTCGTACCTTCCATTCTTACATCTTCACTCTTTCCATGATTTCTGGTCTATCAAAATCAGGCATATGCACCGCCATTCGTAAGCTCTGACATCTCAGTTGTCTTCATACAGAGCATTCTAGTCCACCCATTGCCTGTTCACCGAGCCACTCGACTGTGCTCTCGGAAGACACATTCTTACTGAACTGGATTTTGTCTTGCTACTGGTTTCTGGAATTGTTTCAGGAAGATTCCACGACGAACGCCAGCCTCGCACATCGCTTTCACAGCTTTTCACGTCCCGCTCGGCACGAGCGTGGCACCAAGCAACTGCGGGGCCGATCCTTACAGCGCTGTCAACATTGACATTCCACTTTCACCATCACTTACACTCGGTCAGGCTCCGATCTGGTTTTGACAAAACGTTGTTGCAGTCAACAACCCACGAACGGTACAACCTCGTCGCTTCGCTGCAGCCGCCATAAGTTCCAGACCGTTCATATTCTTCTACCTCCTACTCTGCTATCCAGCACCATCGTCCGACGCATCAGAACGCTCATCATTTCGCTACAGTTCCCTCCCTGTGCTCCCTGGTCAACATGGACCCGCTCGGACATCTCAGTCGTTCTGGATTGGCCCACCACATTGCCATGAGAAGAGCAACAGCAGATCGCTATGCTAGAAGACTAGCCGAACGTCTTGAGTCAATGCCCCCTGGAGACAGCGAGGACGAAGAGAGCTACAACTCTGAGCGCTCCGAACCCAATCCTCTCGCTCACCGCACCTCGATGCTAGATCTTTACGCGGTTCCAGATGCCACAAAACAAGCCAAGCCAAAGGAAGAGAAGCTCGATCCAAAGTTGGTGGGCATGTCTGTTGGTTTCAAGAATCTCTACGCTGGCAAGGAGGATCGTAGAGGACGCTTCCAGTGGCAGGAGACGATTCCCGAAGATCTTGTACCTCCCGCCGAGAACGCCGAGACTCAGAAGTGGGCCTTTATTGCCAGATACGTCAAGGTCTACGGCGACCCTCGTCGTACGCTAGCATTACACTCTATTGTCATCCAATCACCACTGCTCAAGAAAGTGCTCGAAGAAGTGCTTGCTGACTACCCAAACGTTACTGTGGGCCTGCAAAGACTGGAATTCAGTGGCAAATTCGAGTGCCTGATCCATCGCTTCCCTGAGCTCGACTCTACCATTGAGAAGCTCCAAGCATTGCTCAAGCACGAAGAGGAAGGTACTGAGCGCCTGAACTCAGCTACCAAAGACTCCGATAAGACCTCACCTACCAACGGCGTCTCTGAACAACACCAGAAGAAAGATGCTGCTTTGTCCAATAGTAAGTCTCTGGTCCCAGAGGTCTCACCAACCAACAGCAAAGACCCGGAACAGACGTCCGAAACACCTGCGGAAGCCAGCGAGGAGGGCTCCAAGGACGAGACCGCTTCCTCATCTCTGCCTAGCGAAACAGAGCTGAGCTTGAAGCACACACAGATTCTTCGCGATCTTTTGTACGACGAGTTCCAGGTCTTGATCGAGTCTTCACGCGACATGAAAGTACAAGGTGTCATGACGTACGAAGCTCTCTGGACAATCTACGAGCCAGGCACCATGGTGTATGTTCGCGAGGAAGGCCAAGACCGCGTCTTCAATATGATATCGAGCAAGTATGGCGTTGACAAAGACAATAAGCCGGTCTTCTCGCTCAAGATTCGCTTCATTGACTTCGACGGCACCAAATTCGGCTGGTCGAATGCCAGGATCAACGTTCCCGAGTTCCAAGGCACTTGCCCTATTGCCTCTCTTGCCGCGTATCCTATCGAATACCACGCTGACGAAGCCACTCTGCGGAAGACGCTAATCGGCCGAGGCTCCGCTATCGAGACCCTCGTCGGTACCCACTACCGTGCGTACGATGGAATTGGCCATAAGCTGGACATGTACGGCCAAAAGGAGCGTCATAGCGTCAAGGGCAGGATCATCGTCGACACGGTAGGCTGGAATCGCTACATGCCTAATCAGGCTGTCTACGTCTCGGCTTTGGGTACCAAAGGCACCGACAGAACAATTCACAACTCTCGACAGTTATTCCTTCCGGCATTCGGGGAGCCGCTCGATGAAGGTTGTGGTGGTGGCATGCCGCTTGACGGTCACTTTGGTGAAGAGGAAGACCTGAAGAAGCTCCCACCCCTCACCGATGAGCAAAAGATTCTCTGTACTCACTTGATTCGCGGCTATGCCCTAAAAGAGAAGCTGTGGCTCAACCTCTTTGTCGGCTCTGTGCAAGATGTCACTTTCAACAAGGAGGCCTTTGACTCGCTCGTTTTGCCTGAAGACACAAAGGAGCTCATCCTCGGGTTCACCTGCACGCAGCAAGCTACTCGTATGGCGTACGACGATGTCATCCAGGGGAAAGGTCGTGGTATAATACTGCTACTATGCGGACCTCCTGGAGTGGGCAAGACTCTCACTGCTGAGAGTGTGGCTGAGCACATGGAGGTTCCACTGTTCGTTATGAGCGCCGGCGACCTTGGTATGGATTCCAAGCACATCGAGGCCCGTCTACTTTCTGTCCTTGGCATGTGTACACGCTGGAACGCCATCCTACTCATGGACGAGGCCGACATCTTCTTGGAGGAGCGCAGTCGTCACGAAGTTGAGCGCAACAAGCTTGTCAGCATCTTCCTGCGTGTGCTTGAATACCATGAGGGTATTATGTTCCTAACCACGAACCGCGTCTCGACTTTTGACCCGGCTTTCCAATCACGTATCCATGTCAGCATCGACTATCCAGAATTATCGCCCGAGAGCCGTCGTAAGATCTGGGAGAACTTCCTCGGCCGCCACAACGACGCCCAAGCCGCTGCCCGTCTTACGCCGCCCAAGAACCCATCCTCGTCGATCAAATCAGCCTCCGAAGCTATCGGAGACAAGGATGATGAAACCACCAAGGCCAAGCACGAGGCCCTGACTCAGCCTCATGCCATCACCACGCAAGAGATTCGCCAGCTTTCGCTGATCAAAATCAACGGTCGTCAGATCAAGAATATGCTCAAGACGGCTCAGTTGTTGGCTAATCGTAAGGTCGAACCCCTTGCTCATAAGCATATCAAGATTGTGCTCGATGCCACCCAGCATCTTCACAAGGCCAAGCAGGTCTCTGAGGATACTCGTAGCAGTATTTTCAACTGAGCCATTGATGCTATTCTCTTTTCATGCCGTTCTCGTGGATGGTGCGTGACGGAGGATCTTGACGTTCATTGAACATGGAGCACACGGTCAGGATGGTGATAAGTGGATTCATGGAAGGAGCTATACAGAGCCGATCGGGAAAAGACCAGATCAACGGCGCGAGCATAGCGAGGGAGCTCTTCAATCTTTTTTCAAAACGATACCTTTGTTTTTCGTTACCTTCTTTAACTAGAAACACAAATCTCTCTCACTTTGTCCAACTCCCCTGTGACAGATCTTGAACCTGGTTTCCAGCCTTGCGACATGGAGTTGTGCTGTATAGAAAACAGAGGTGCTTTGCCCCTGACAAGAGCTTTCATGGAGCACAGGGGCCCTACCATCACAATCACTTGTAGCGATGATGCTCCGTATACAATAGCCTCTTGCAAGTGTAGCCATAGAAATGCACAATACTTTTCCAAAAAAATAAAATAACGAAACGGACGTCCATGGAAACCCTAGTATCATACGCTCATCTCCGTGGCCAAACATTTTGTCTACAAAAAGCAACTGTGCAGTTCCATAATATATTGATGACTGAACTGAGAGAAGATGAGATGAGGGTGATAGTCAGTAAGCGGCATCAGTGACCTAGTTAACCCGATCATACCAGCAAAGCAACAGAACTCTTCCCGCGCCTCCAATTTGAGATGTCGACAACGTGGCCATTTGCTGTGAGATGAGGGTAACAGAGTTTCCGTTCCATCGTGCTGGGACTTGCTCCTCCTTGGTCGAACCCCCTTCGAACAGACTACCCTCATGCATCTCCCAGACCCGCGGTGAGCAAAACAGGTAGCCATCAAGATGCACAGTTTATTATCAAACTTCGAGGAGTTCCGGTGAGATATTCTTGGTGCAGCATTTGATCGTGGACCTTCGTCAACGTCAACGCAGAGATCGAACTAGCAAAGAAACATTCACATGGTCGCGACACTGGAGTAGTCATATAAGAAGTTGTCTTTCAAATGCAAAAAGCTAGAATATGCCATTTCGTATCTCGCGCTCTCAATCTATGATAGTGAGGTAGTCTCTCCTGGACCGTGGGGTTGTGCAATAGCAAAGAAAGGGACAGAAGAGAGACTGGAAACCCGCAATTCCCATAGTCTCTCATGATTTCGCCGCATGTCGTTATCCTAATCAAAAGTAATAGCAGTAAAGGGGAATGGAGAAGAGAGAAAGTCGATAATATGGTAACCCGGTCTTTATCCCTTCCCATGTGCAATGTTTGGTCGTTCATGGCAAAGAAGTGTATATCATCAAAGCAGAATGGTCGTCCTCAAGCCTACTGGACGCTGAGCTGCTCTCTCATCTTGCTGGGCTCGGGCTTCTTGCGGCGACCCAACAATGTGGCATTGTC